ACACCACCGCGCCCTATACTACGCTACACTGGCTGCCGGCCGTTATAAAGAATCGAGAGACTTATTACTCTAGAAATATGCGGCACCTTCCGTCCTGGCGCAGCTCTTGACTGTGTACTCTACGCATTGAACTTGGCACCCTTTCTCTGACCGAGATGGCATTACTGAATACCATTAGCACACTGCTAAAGCAAGGTAGACGTCGGGGAGAGACATGAAGCGCATTAGTGTTGCATCCAATACTGCAACTAACTCCAGCGTCTGTCTTGGGCGACAAATGGGAACAACGCGTGCCAAATGAACGTATGATTCCTAGCAGTTGGATCCTGATAAAAGTATGGAGTGGGTATTAGCGAGTCGTGAGGGACATACTAGTACATCTCTCATGACTGAGGGATGAGGAGCAAATACCTCTCCTCTATCGATCAAGTTGACCGCAAGTGAGTTGGATAAAAGTTGGACAGACGTAACGTTTGAGTTCGCTAGTGAGCAACTGGTTAAGACTGCTGTAGTCAGTCTCACCATAGAGGCACACAATTGCAGACTCTATCTACAACTTAAGTAACTTTTACCTAAAGAGGCAAAGATGGGACCTGATTCCCAGGGACCAAGGGTCTATCGAGTTGCAACAGGGTTTTCAGGACGTTGAGGTTGGCTATGAAGGGATGGATGGATGGATGGATTTTACCAGTATTTGTTTGGGTCTCGGATGTGTGGTACCGTGGTATGAGGTGGTGTGGTTTCTCTCGTGGCCGCCACCAACTAACTCTATCCGATAAATGGGGACTCGTTTAGAGAAAGCGGCGTGGAAATGGCGTTTTTATTCGACCTTGTCGGCGCCGGTCTGCGAGACGCGAGGATGGATCTCGATTGGCTCGCTCCCGATAAGGGTCGAGGATGCGAGAGAGGCACGATAATGCACGGGGCGGTTAGAAGCCTCGTTTCTGATGCACTCCTCTTCCTCGTCCACCGGCGCTGTTCCTAGCCCACTCCTCCTGTCTCTGTCTCTGTCTCTGTCCTGTCCTATCGCTACATACATGTATAGAGTGACATATCTGCCGCCGTCTGCACCTCTCCTTACTGTATGTAAGTACTACACCACTTGCACTGACTGGCCCGAATCATATACCAGCATTCCCGTATGGTGTTGCTTTGCATTGCGCAGCCGAGACGCGCGGCATACCGGATGTAGTGTATACCAACCACACTTGATAGTTGGTGCCGTGTTGCCGCCTGTGTCTGTTATTCTTGACAACCTTCGAGACGATACCATGTAAAAATCCTGTACGAAGTAAGTAAGCACATGCATGCTGCTTACAAGGTACCTATCCCTGCACGCACGAAGTACAGTATGTTAGAAAAATTTCCTTTTTTCTTCCCGTTTTGTGATTGGTAAATACTCCCCTCCTCCTACGTCATGACAACCCCAAACAGTCTCGCCTCTCGCCATGACTGCAGATAACTGTTTTCAATGCACCGTACGTTGATTTTATATGGAGGCTCGGGTACTCAGAGGGCTGTCTGAATGGCTTCATACGAACAAATGTTCCAGTTGCTCTTATCACTCAGAAAAGCCGAACATAGCCACAAAGCTTTCGGCGTCCGATACTTTAAGCAATTATAGTGCTATGTAAGCACAATAATTTTGCTGATATTCGGATTTCTACGGTAAAGTGTAGACTGTATAATGTAGCATAAGAGAGGTGTAAGCTTAGAGGTCACATGGTAAGAGTTGGTAGGACGAGACAAAAAAAAAGAATAAGATATTAGGCAGTTCTGGAGTGCATGATCAAAGCAGCTAGTTTAAGACAGAATAGGAGTAAAACCTTCAGCTCCAGAATCCAGCTCGTAACCTACATGTACAATACTGTACTCAACGAAGAATGGGATAGCTTGGGTGCATCTATGGACCTACCTAGGTATGTAGAGCTGTTGTAAGGTAACGGATGATCTGGACATCCAGAAGAGCTGCCTATAATTCTGGCTCATATTACGCCCAGCTAACTCATATAGAGAAAGACAATGAATCAAGCAAGCTTCAGTGAAGACATTGAAGCTATTCGCAGTACCTACAGTATTTTCTGGTCAGAGCTCTGACTGCTAGTGTAACTACAGCCCTGGTTGCTTGCGAGACAGTGCGACGAGAGGCGAAGGGTGGGGTGGCACAGCGATGTCATCTCGAAGATAATACAGTGTAAGCGTACTACTACTCCATATGTAAGCTTGCTGGGTCCGTCTGTTACTAGCCAGATTGCTGAGGGAATCTTGGATCATACTGGAAGATACTCGTTGATAGGCATGCTCGGCATGGCACCACAAGATGTGACCTTCGCCTATGACATTACCCACCACCAAGACTACTTTCCTCATCGTACATTTAGAGAGGCGGGAGGGTAGACAATGACACATGAAGACAGTACTAAATATACGCATACAGTATTGCTGAAGAATCTGTGTCATTGGCTTTTAAAGACCTCTACTCTACTCATACTCGCCCTTGAAATACCTACACTGAAGTGAGCGAGGTCTCTACTTGCCTGGTCTAGTCCGCTGCAGATAAGCCTGTACAATTCACTTTCTATGTACTCAAGCGAGAGGCATTGTAATAGATTGCATTCGTCAAACTGCTGCTTGATAAATCCTGCCTCGAGTACCTCCTGCTGCTAGTAAGTTCAACCGTTGGCATTCTTTGCGAACTACGCACTGGATAAATAGGCCCTGCCTCTGTCCTGACGGTCCTTAGCCCCAACCAAACCTTAATTGACAAGACACAGTGCGGTATCAACAGCTACCTATGTACTTACGCTACTTAGGTATCTCGTCATTTGGCAGCGTGTCCCACCTGGGTGATGGGGCACAGTGCTGGAGCCATGGCTTGGCATGACCTACAGTACCTAAGTAAGTAGGTAGCACCAACGGCCGGTTGACTTGACGTGCATGCATGAGGCAGCACAGGAGGGCTGGTAGGCAGGTTACATGCAGCCAAGGGCTTGGAGGCGTAGAGCCCCCTCTACTAACTGTCAACGGTGTAGTGGCTGCTACGGTCCTGACCTACAGTCCCTAGGTACCTGCTATACCAATACTGTAGTTATACTGTAAGAGGGCTAGTACACGTAAATTATAGGTGGGTTACTGTTAAGTAGGTTCTCTTAGTGTAGGTACTTCCCCTCCAGGTACCTACTGCCTACCGCCTGCTGTGTACTGCCTCCCACTCCGCAGCTTGTGTAGGTAGTGTACTGTAGTGTACTGTAGTGTAGCTACTCGCCTCCACCACGGCGGCGCCGCTTACAGTATAGCATCCCCAAGGTACCTCGCACGCGGCCTACAGTACGCCATCTACATGCCTGTATCTCGTCACTGAAAAACCCTTTCACCAGGTGCAGGTAGGTATTAGTAGACTGCCGCCGCCTACATCCCATCTCATCCTTCCTCCCGTCGGGTTTTGCTGGTTACCAAACCTCCCGCCCTACATCGTCGTCACTTTGGACCATAGGCCTAGGATTGATTCATTGTACCAGCATACGAATATCCCTTCGTCTTGATTCTTGGTTGTTGCTGGGTGTGTGTGTGTGCAGGCTTCCCTCTCCTGCTCATCATCATCCTTACTCCGTGCCTTTGTTGCCACTCGAAACGCCGTCTCTCCATGGCCAAATATCCTTAGTTTACTCGGTGTTGTTGCTTCCAAGTGAGTCACTTTTCTAATCTGTAGCTATTCGGCACAAATATCCTTCACTTTTTAGTGATGGGAGAGGCGACTTTGCGGAACCAAGACGTTGACTGTTGAGACAGGTGCTGGAGTTCACACCATCTCGTCTTATACCTGACCCCCCCCACATACTTACTTCCTTAATCACCACTGCTCACTCTCCCATAACGCAACTGCGAAGCGGAATTCTGGACGGATCATCACCTGTGTGCGCGCGTTTTCGACTCGCCATTGTTAATAGTCCCGCCCTCTCCTTTGCAATAGTCTGCTGTGTGTTGCTTGGACCTATTAGTTGCTGTTGACCGATTATACTGCTCGCCTATATTTGACGAAGTTTATGATCTCGACTATTCTATTACATCCACGCGCCTCTGCTACTGGACGTTATTCTGCTGTCAACTCGTCCACCGTCTGCAATTCTAGGATTTGAGCAGTTACGCCGTGTTTTTGAGAACTCGTTTGCATTGTTGCTGGAATATTGCCTTTGTATTCGTGTAATCATCTCCGCAGTGTTCCGGCTTACTTTCAACTTGATTTATCTTAGGACTTATCTGGGTTTTCCCTAATGAACGGTCTTTAGTGTTTTTAGCCACACTTTCCGGTAAGCACCTTTTTCTTTCTAACCAGCTACTTCTTTGCACCTGTTTGTTATTTGAGACTTGCGTCGTTCGCTACACCAATTGAGACATCAGCGTTGGGTGCCACGTGGGAAGAGGCTGTTCCGGGATTTGGCTGCGATAAAAATGCGAGACGCCATTCCAGGCACCGTCGCCTGTGACAACCTGACGAGCTTTCGAATTCGTCTTTGATTGCTACTTGAATCGCATTCCTTTCTCAACCTTTGGACGGGTTGCTTGCCCCATGGCGTTATCATAAAATCCTCATAATGCCCAGTGTCCCACCACTGGTTGCGCGAAACTTTATGATCGCAGCCATTCTGTAGCAGCGTACCAGTCGATCAGACAGATACCAAGTATTTCTTACTACTATCGTCGTTTTAGTGCTTGTTATACCATGGAACTTTATATGTTCTGGAATCATGCTAATGCCACTCTCTTCCTTCCTAGGTTCTTACATAGACCCAAGCACCCTTTCCAGACATAAAGTCGTTGCTGCCGTTGGGGATCCTTCAAGATCTGGGCCGTGGTACGAAGTCTGGCAAACCGTCATATTTTCCTGCTTCCCTCGTACCAAACCTATCTATCCTAAGCCCAATAGCGTTATCATAGCCGATTTTCACTTTACCACGCTTCTCCCACCACCTTGTGTCATCCGGCAACCCATATCCGTGGGAATGCCTTACACGCCGCCTACCCATTGCTCGCCCCCGACCTCAGCTCAAATCTCACCAGAAGCCAGTCGGCGATCTTCATTCAACCAGAGCACGACAGCTCAATCAAGACCGGCGTTGCCACGATCCTCCTCCTACCTGACTAGACATCGCCGCTCCATCTCTGCCTCCGCAACTCCAATATCAGCTCTCAACCATGGATCGACTCCGGATATAACTCCCCCTGGTACATCGGATAACTTGAAAGAGATGGTAGCTAATCATTCGTCCAATGTCCGCCAGTCACCTCCCCCTGTTACCGATGCTAAGGTTATGCCGCCTGGTGCGATCATATCACCACCAGAATCCTCTAGTGAAGATGAGGGGGTACCAGACTTGGAGGTAGAGTCGAAGGAGAGGGAGAGAGAAATTGAGAGTATCAAAGAGCTAAAGGAAGCAATCAGCGCCATACCACAGTGCCGGGTTGGGTCACCAGTTCTGTGCCCTCCTAGTTACCCGTTGTTTCCATCCCAAATTGATCAGGTTATCGAGACACCGCCGAAGCCTGACGTTGACACAATCGCGCTCACACCCAGACGTGCAAAATCCCATTCAAGATCCAATACTGATACAGATCTTTATCTCTCTAAAATGACTGATGTGACGTCAAGTGGGTCGGAAGAGAACTCCGAGGAGGATTTGGCTCTGAAGCCCCCAATGGTGCGGAAAAAGTCTGGCGAACTGGTACGGCCTGCACTAAGGCCGGCGCATTTACGGCGTCCTTCAAGCATGCCCGGCACTCCTACATTTTCAAAAGCAGTTCATTTTGATTCTCACTTGGAGCATGTCCGACATTTCTTGCAGGTTGATAGACCTCTGGCGGTCAGCACAGACACATCACCCGCTGATAATTACGATAGTGACACAGAATATCCATTCAAGTCCGGTGAGAAGCGAGTTGTACAGGTACCTTCCTTCGAATGGGAGATTGTCATGCACAACCCCCCTGCTCAAACTCCCATTCGGAAAGGTCTGCCTGTCAGACTTGAGAGAGTGTGGATGTCTCCAGACCAAAAGTCTCTGATTGGCTTTGTTTCTGTAGCCAACTTGGCGTTCCAGAAAACCGTGGTTTGCAGGTTCACATTTGATTACTGGAAGACGACGTCAGAAGTTGGTGCAGAATACCACCACGACATTCGACCAGGGGAGAAGGAGGCTGGTTACGATCGGTTTCAGTTCAGCATCAAGTTGTCTGATATAGCTGATCTCCAAGCCAAGACTCTCTTCTTTTGCGTCCGATATAACGTGAATGGACTCGAGTATTGGGACAATAACAACAGTGTCAATTTCCAAGTCGACTTCCGTAAAAGATTCCCTACCCAGAATGGTAGGAAGGGTAGTCAAGGGGTGTCTTCACGACCATCCTTGCCTCGCAGCAACCGTCGTACAAATCCTTCAACAATAACCCGACCTAAAAGCATGCCTGTCGGTCCATCTGACGACTTTGGGCTCAGTTCGACGACAGCTGACAATCGACCGATACATGAGTTCCTTGGGGAATCGGAACCGCCCAGTCTGCGCCTGAAAAGTTCCAAGTCTACGGCCAGTCTACCTAGTGACAATTTGCCAGGACGCCTATCGACCCCAAGTGGTGTCGCATTTGCTAATCGCTATGATTTCGGTGCTTCGCTTAGCGCAGCCAAGCAAGCCCAGAGAAGTCCAAACTCGAGCCCACGGCAAAATGATGTTCTCTATATGAAGGCACATCAAAGAAACACAATCAGTTCACCCACGCCGGCCGACACCTCGCGGCCTCAGATTAGGGTTTCCCAGCCTACTTCATTCACAACCCAGCAACAGAATGGACCATCGATATACTCAGCCCCTTTCACTTCAAGCCCTGGACCGGCCTCTCCGTCGTCTGCCAGTATCACTTCCGCCTCATACGAGGAGATTCTTAATAAGTATTGCTTTGTACGTACATAATAAAACGTCTATCGACCGCTCCCATGGATCTCGATAACTACCTCAATCATCCGTATTCTCGTGTAACTAACGGCTTCGTCATTGTAGTTCAATGGCACCAAGCAGACCAGCCCGCCAATGAAGGACGGTACTCTGCAAACGGCCCGATACGATGGTACTTATGACTACTCCATCAACAGCTCAGAAAACAATCCTTCTCTGTCAGGCAGAAATGCCAGCAATGTCGTTTCTAACGGACCTGTCCCTGACCGGGACCAGTTCCACAGTATCCAACACATGTCAGATCGGTCTCCATTCGTATCAGATACCCATACTGCTAAAGCCATCAGTTGCTAGATGCTGCTGGGTACTCTGAAAGATCTGAATTTCTAGCGAGAAATCTACGAAGTTTTAAATCGCAGTCCATTTCCCCGTCTTTCGACATGAATTTCTAGGGCCATGGCGTTTTCAGGCTTTGCATCAGGCGTTCTTCGGACTTTGTTTTATGATACCCCCAAAATACACGAAAAGCGGGGTCAACAAACTTTTCGGGCAGTCATACTTCGACTGGCAGACAATGCGGGAGATAGGAGGGGAAAAGCGGCTTCAGGGGTGGTAATTCATGTGGCCTTTTGTCATACGCTTTCAATCGCGCTATCCATGATAGTGTTGGCGAGGTTTGAATGGGTGTGGAACGTTTTCTATTGCTTGGTTCAATAGACTGGGAGGAGTTGATGACTTTTCATCCATCCTACCTTTACCTGGCGTCATGATAAAGGCTAGGACGGCGGGTTCAAAAAGAATTATCAAAAGGGATATTGGCCAAGGGTAGGGTATGACCTACTCCGCTCTTGAGCAGTGGCGACATTGCTAACTGCTCAAACTGAAATTGACTTAACAAATATGATGATTACATGAGATGTACTTGACTCTGCAAATGTGAATGCTGTTGTTATCGTAGTATATGTCCCTCTTGTTTTTTTTATAACATTCCCCTCGAAGATCAAACTTGCTCCTGTGCTAATGTAGCGCTTTGGCGAGTAAGTGAGGCTCCGCGGGTACCAGTGGAAGACTATCTGAACAGGAATACTATCCTGACCCCCCTTTCCAGTTTTCATCTTCTTGTATTTCGTGATTGAGTATATATCTTCCTTATTGCCTTTAGGATTAATCAGTACTTCGTCCGTTGCAGATGTAATCGCTGTCTGCTGAGTGTCTCTTATCGATAGATCGTTGACTCTAAGGCACTCAATGATTAGAACAAGGGTGTCGAGGCTACTGGTGTGTAGATGAATGGATGCTGGCGTGGTAGGGGGATAGGGCTTTGAGGAGCTTCGTCGTGATACTTGCTTCTTTTGGAGTGGATGGGTGGACGTGGATGTGGATGTGAACTGTGCGGAAGTGTTGCGGACAACTAATATCGTAGGATCGTCGGATTGAAGGTGTAGAAGGGATCGGAAGAATATGCGATTGTTCTTCTCTGTTCTGTAGACCCCCTTTCTTCTATATGGCTTTTTTTTTGAGACTGTGTGTAGTACGGTCTTCGTGGTAGAGGTCTGAGCATGGCCCCCGTGGACAAAGCCGGATTACGTTTAAACCAATGCGTGTTCGTGCTGGTGATGGGGAGGAAAGCGGTAGAATTAGGTGCAGTATTCTGGAAGAAGATAGGTAGCGACGAGGTAAGATGGATTCCGTCTTTGATATGTCGACGGCTGCTTTATGATGTGGAGACGAGGCTCCTCCTTGGGATCGAGGCGCGTGCAACTACGTAGTCGACTATCTCCGCTTGGAAGCCAAGTTATTTTCTCGCCTATATGCGCTTCTAGGCATGTTTTGCTGAAGTCTTACCAGCGATCTGGATGTGGGCAGTTATGTTGAGCCTAAGCTGAATAGGGGTACGAGATGGACTGAAAGAACGGGATGAAGCCGGTTCCGATTTGCTTGCTCTAGGGATCAACGAAGTGATTATTTTTCACTAGGTATTTGGGCTTATTCCGATTTGATTCGATGATTTTTGAAAAGGGGAGAAGGTTGCGGTGTCTATTGCTGAAAATATAGTTGGCCCTGTATACTTAGCTTCCAAGTTGTGTAGGAATAGAGTTCTGATCCTGAAATATTCTGTCGAGCGCAGATATTTCTACATACACAGAATGCATCGTTTAATAACTATGGATCAGCACCGTAATATATGATGATATTGCTGATTTGGATGCTGGTAGGGTTGGGTAGAGCCTTCTTTCCGCCCCATTGAATTTCCGGCTTACTTGAACATGTGCAGATACTGCTTGGGAATTTCGGCGAGGAGATGCTGTGATCTAGAAATTCTCTTCTACGACGTGTATATATTTCCACGAATAGTTTTAACTAACCCTTTACCTGCCTGTTCAGGAGGACTATTCGAGAGAATGTGAACTAACAACATGCAGGTTACATGTACATTTTAAACAATGCCGAATGCTTCTATAGCGCTCGCAATCCGGAAACGTGAGAAGCTGAAGATTAGAATTATAGATTTTGACTAATATTATCTAATTGTTTACAAAATCTGTGAGCATTTAAGGCTCCGGGGCGTATCCTGCGGGAGGGTGTTGGCCATCAGGGATAGCGACCTTTGTGTCATAGTAGACGGGGGCCGGGTTGCCCTTCCAGGCCTTCTTGATGCTAGGGAGCACGGTTCGCTTCGACTTGCCGGAGCAAGATAGGTTGGGAGCAGGATATCTCGCGTTGCCACCGTTTGTGTTGAAGACACCAGCATACGACCAGTTGAAGTACATATTGGAAAGCTCGATCTCGCCATCCCAGGGGCGGACAGTGTCACCTGTCTTGTCGGCTACGAACTTGAAGACGTTGGCACCAACGTCGAAGCGACCCAGGGTGTGGAGACCCCAGTTGGCAGAGACTGTGGAAATCTCACTGTAGTGGTTGTAGTAATGGTCATCGGTGGTTCCCACGAGGTGCTTGGGTACGGCATCTCCCAGCAGGATACCCAGGATTCGGTTCTGGTCAGTGTACGTCTCGTTCTCGTCGAAAGTGATTAGGACAAGAGTGTTCTGCATAAATCGCTTGTCGTTGAGAAGAGGCTCAACGAAGGTGCGGGTCCAAGTACCAGCAGTGGTGATGTCTGTGTCATGACCATCGCTAGTCATATTGGGAGTGATAAACATCCATTGAGGCAGCCTTTTATTCTCAAGGTCCACGTGGAACTGAGTGAGGTTTTTGTTGACAGCCAGACGGTCAAGGTTACCGGCATTGGAGTTGTAGTTCATCGCGGGGTTGTGCTTGCGGACGTAGTCATTCTTACCGTTCTCGTGGTTGATCCAGGCCTGGCCTTGGAAACCACTATAGGGCATATCCTCCTGGTAGTGTGCCCATGAGATACCTTTGTCTTCGAGAAGATCGACAACTGTGGATATATTCTTGTCGATCTGATCAAAGTCATCGTTCTGCATTCCAAAATAGTCTCCACCGATAGAAGCAACGTAATTTGGCTGCGATGGGTGTGTGACGGCGTGGTAGCCGGATAGTGTAATTCCCTTCTTAGCAAGCCAGGCGAGATTCGCTGCTTATGGTATTAGTACTTTATGCGCTGGATACACATGCAACCAATAGACTTTACGCGAGGAAGCAGGACGTACGGTCATTGATGGCCATCTCATAGTCGGTGTTCTCAAGCCAGATGATAGCAATGCGGTCGAATGCCTTGCCCTTGACATGACTGGTAGGGCTCAGTGTCTTAGCAGTGGCAGCTGCAGCAGCGACCTCGGCAGTTCCAGTGGCCGTGTACATGTTCTCGATCTGAGCGGCGACGCCGCCAGCAACGAGTAGCACGGAGGGGTTGAGGCCACGCATCTTGACCAGAGGACAGCGAGTCTCAGCTAGTTTACACCTCGGGTGACAGCGGGAGGCGTGTCGAGAAACAGAGACGACACTGGAACAGGGTGTGGTCAAAGGATATTTCAAATGCCCAGCTGAGGCAGAGACGGGCGGCTTTAATACTAGCAGCTGAAGGGGCTCTCCGGATGAAAATCATGGTTGGTAACGGCGGTACATGCACGTGGGCACCTTACCATGTTGGTAAGCTCGTCCAGAACTGGTCAAGGGTATTGGTGGATGTCAATGAGGAGATTTCAAGAAGCCCCATTCCCATTATCCAAGATATGCACGTGTAACGCATGAAGGTCGGAATACGGCGCACTACTGTATGTGTGTCCAGATAGCCTGTCGACTAGGGCGTATGCTAATTATGTGATTATATTCCTATACTTGGTGGCTGGCGTAGTGATACAATTCTGAGTAACAGTCGGTGAGGCGCCTAGGATTGATCCGCAGGTCATCCCATCCCATCCCAGACTATGGTTCAAGTTGGGTGCCTTTCCAAGGACAGAGACAAGGACAACCGCATCGACAAAGCGAGTGTGAGGGACCCTAGACACACCTCGACACCTTACCTACTCAAGCAGGTATAATGGGTAATCGGCAACGCGTTGGCATGGGTACTTAAGTAGTATGGTTCATCGCGATGGTCATACATACACACTATTGTACTTCGTAAGTACAGTAGGGTTACATGCTGTCGATCGACATCCAGAACACGGTCAATTACGCCGTAACAAGCTACCACTGTACGCCGATTCGTAGACGACGAGCGAGCGAGCGGAATACGATGATAGATTCTTCACCGAGAGAAACTATTGTCGCACCACTTCGATCGCTGGTCGGGGCGATGGATCGGAAGAAGAAATGAAGAGATGAAGAGATAAAAGATATATATGAGCACGTGTTTAAGCGAAGGCCAAGGAGTGGCCAAGACCAAGAATGGGCTACCAAGCCCACGCTAGGAACGCCACCAAAATGCTTGTCCACCTCCTACGACGGGTTAGACCCGGGTCCCGCAAGCTACAGCACCCCGCTACCCCTACCACTAGCACTAGGTACTAAGTAAGATGTCGGATGTCAGGTCGGATGGATATCTGGTCGTCGAAGTGGTGTAGGTAGGTTTTGTAATGCCGTTGAATCGATTCGCTGCCGTAGAGATACTCTCTCTCGTCTCTCAAGCAGACACACGCCTAGGAATGCCACTGTCGTGACGAGTACCCATCAGTGGAAGTACTTACTTACGTAAGTTATGTAGTAGGTAGAGCAGAGTAGAGTATGTACATATGTATGTACCTTAGGTACGTAGGTACCTACAGAGAGGGCCCCCCGAACCACCTGCCGATTGTTACCCCTGTCTTTGCACGAATGGATCTCCTTCTCAAAGTCCTCCCATCTCCCACAACATAGATTGGCTGAGAGAGCATTTCATCTTTCCAAAGTTATAGACTGAAATACATATTGTTGAGCATTGCCTTTATATCCATCCCGTTTTACATACTCTACAATACATACTTAAAAAGTTGAGGTGGTGCAACCGGCTCTTCCGGCACCTCTCTTTTGCATTTAGACTCTCACGACATCAGCACCTATCATAGAAGAGCAAGATGGAGCTTTTGGATCACATTCGGAATTGGAATCCACAGCGTTCCGAGTATTCCAGTCTACCAACTACGCCAATAGCGACAACAACATCTGCTGGTCCCTCATCAACACCAGGTGACAGTGAGTGCTCGCATCCTACGGGCATCGCAGCCCGTCACTCACTGTCCCGGTTTTTTTCCGACTTTACTTTGGGTTTTGCAGATGGACTTACCGTACCGTTTGCTTTGACGGCAGGTCTCTCTTCACTAGGTCAGACTAATACTGTCATCTACGCTGGCATGGCAGAGATTTGTGCCGGTTGTATCAGTATGGGCATCGGTGGCTATTTGGCGGCACGGCCAGACAATAATGAAGCCGATCGTGGAAGTGATGATCAAGAAAATGATCAAGAAAAATCAACGTCATCCATACCTCTTCATCAGGATCGAGGAGTGGCCGACTACATAGCTCCATTGCAACTTCCCCCGGACTTGCTGCAGAGCGTCATGGCCCATATCAATTCGTCTCCGGAGATCGCGGCTCGAGTAATTGATAGCCCTTGTTTTGCCAGGGACGAGCCGAAAGAAGAGCCAACTAGGACGGCTCCCATTATTTCCGGTCTATCGGTTGCCCTCGGGTACCTTCTGGGAGGTTCTTTCCCGCTTGCACCCTATTTCTTCGTCGCTAGAGTCACTGAGGGATTAGTATGGAGCTTTGCCATCTGCATAATAGCTCTTTTCATTTTCGGATTTACGAAAGAGTATGTATTGCACGTTAACCCGACAAGGTATAAATACAACCCGAGGACACAAGCAAGCCGGCTACTTCAGTGGAATCTCGTCAAGCCAAGCCTTTGGGAGGGCGGCAGGATGGTTGTGTTTGGGAGTATTGCAGCCATCGCAGCGGTGCTGTGCGTCAGACTATTCGATGGCCTCGTATCCTAAGTCACTCGCCGCTTCGTTTATCATGTACCAATCAATTTAATTATAAAGTATATCACAATGCTACCAAGCTGGCCGTTGGCGCATAGCTGTGGTTTCGAGGGCCAGCATCACTTTATCTTTTACATCCTAGCTTTGTTGTGTCTTGTCACTTCATTGTGGCATTGGAGGCGGCCCGCCGCTACCGACTATCGGCATCATCGGAGGCGGTCCTCTGAAATTAGGGAGAGGACCACCGCCTCTTCCCATCATTGGAGAAGGTCCGCCAAAAGGCATTCCCATACCAACCCCAGGAGGGCCCATATTGCCTCCAGGTGGCGGCATATTGTGTCCCGGTGGAGCTCCTGGCCATCGTCCCATAGGAGCCATGCCCGGCATAGGCCGCCCCGGGTGTTGCCATTGCTCGTCGATGACCTCACTAGCGACTGAGCCATCATCGTCAGATGGACCACCAGAGCTCTCTGAACTCTCTGAAGTGTCGTTACTTCGAGATGGCTTGTTTTGACGGCTAGAGCCCCTCGAGCCGTGTGAGCGTTTGCGACCTATATTTGATTCGTCAGTGATTGCAGGCCCGGTATCAAACGACCAAATTTATAACCCTTACGGTAGAAAATCCAAATGACGACCAATAACACCACTAGAACTATGACCCCGCTTAGAATTGCTCCGACGTAGTCTGAATGGTTGGATGATTTTGAAGCTGACATTGCGGCAACTGGTACATCTGTCGAGTCTGCACCACCGTTGCCGAGTGTCAGCGTCTGAACGAATGTTGATTCTGGCCGCACAATTGTCAATGTGCGGACACCTTCGGCTTGTGGTATTCGTCTCTCCATAAAGGTTGTCTGATGTTCATTCATATCTGATGAGAATCCTACGCCCGCCATTATTCGTATATGACAGAAAGACGTTAGGCAAAGACAACCAAGTAGCTGTGATTTTGCGGAAGAAGATTCTGACTCTTACCATCCATTGGTTTCGTGGATATCTATTCAATTGATGCGCCGGGCTCCCTAATATAGTCTTGGTATTTAAAGACGCTAACACTTATCAACTCTACCCAGTTTCTCAAACCCGTGTCTACAGGTTAACCACACCTTGATGGCTGTAGATGCCCAATCACCTACGTTAGACACGTTATTTCTGCCAGGCACGCTTAGGTGTCTGCATCAAGCGACCGAGTCACCCCTCACGGTCGCCTAGTCTTGCTGCTCTCGACGCTGAGCTCCTTTCACATGTGGACGAGATACGTTTGTGAAGCTGTGACGGCCCGATCTGTGCAAGTTGGCGTATGCAGTTCACACACGACATCCAGCCAACCACTAGGCACATGTGCAGTTGAGACGAAAGCTGGGTAACACAAATAGCCACTTTTAAGACAATATTACTGCACGCTGCTGCAAGCATCCCTCCTGGAACTGGGTCTGGTACACTTACCTACAACGCAGCCTTGCCCTTTTCCCCACCCCCGAGATGTTCTTTTGCCATCCCCTTTCCCCTCAGGCAGGTCTATCACGTATGGAGGCTGGCGCCAATCGCAGAATGAACGGCGTTTGGTCTGATGCTGCACGTACCCGTTAGAAGGAGCCAGGCCCAGTAGCGTGGATGGGTTTTCGTTCCCTTTATTCGTCTCCGCTATGCCGTGGCCAGCCAACGCATAGATGACCTAGATCATGGGTCGTACACTTTGAGAAACTGCACATTGGTGGTGGCAGATATGTCTCTCTTCCCCGGTTTTTGTTGGATGTTTGTTGTCCCATGTTGGGAACACACGACGGCGAGACTGCGGGGACGCTTGTTCACGGCAACCCCGCCACTGAAGATAGGTATCTTGTCTCACTTGTCTCCCGCTCGTTCTTTTACGCATGTCAGAAGATCGACAACATGGGATGATATGCGAAATCAAGATCCCATGACTACTTCGACTGGCAAGCTTGCCCATCAAGATACCTTGGAATCTTCGGATATAACTACCCGGGCGGGGTTTTGCGTGTTCCGTCGAGATTCCTTGTTCAGTAGCAGAGGCTGGTCTACATGCAAGACAGGCCGCGCTAAGGAATATGCTTGATCTAGCATTCTACGCCTTGCATACGACACGCCTGCATCAATTGCCCGCGAGAGAACGGCCGGGTTATTTCACTCCACGCGTGCATTACCTGCCCCCTCCTCTCCGCGGACAACAAGCACGGCCCTTCCTAATTACCCACCTTCTTCCCTAGGCAACCTCCAATGCATGAGATTCTAATCTCAAGCGCTCATGGCTTGACGAACTACGTTCGATGAACCACCTAAGACGTACCTACCTAGCTCAGTCGCGCGCGTTTAGTAGATCGGCTCGGCCTGAGTGTCGGGGACCTCGGAAGTGGAAGCGCCTGCCGCCGCCTACGATACACAGTGCCGAGAACTGTTGACGGGCACAAACTAACGCCGAGGCTTTGCCCCTGATGTGACTATCGCGCGCTTGGGAGATAAGTAGGTAGATATCTGGATAGTGTAGTCAATTAGCGCTGATGTGCTCTGTGATATTGAAGGCGATCTTTGGTTGAGGTTTTTTAGGCGCAGAAGGCTATATCTTGACCGAGGAAAGTGTGTTGCTGGGTTGGTGGCGCTTGTTTTTGAGCCTGCTTCCTAGTCTAGAGCCTTGAGCATCGGGATCCAGGTCTTAGGGTCGGAAGGGACATTGTTGTTTGCATCTTTTCCATGTATGAGGTACCTACTTCCTGCTTCGTACCTAGGTAGTAAGATCAATTAAGGGTTACAGAGTCACTTTGTCCTGACATTCTACTTTTATTTCTGTTAAGATATAATTAACTTTACGAAGTACTGTCCTCGACTTACATCTCCCTTACTCACGAAGCCCTGTAGACAAGTGGGAGCATCGTACCTATACCTATTGATAACATAGGGTCCTTGAAATAGCTCATCCCCGTTCCAAGCAAACGGTTCAATAGGTAGCAACCTGGACCATGCACAGTGCGTTGTTGCTCCCTTCGCTCTTCTGTCTCGGAAACTACCGCGCTCCAGGCAGAATCGTTAGCAATTATAGTGATCCTGGTATGCTTCATCTAGGTAGTTCTAATAATAGGTACTGAACTAGGGTCTACGCATATCACGTCATTAATCAGGTCGGCATCGAAGTCTGCAATACCTACTACGAAGATGAGTTTGCCTGCGTAGTCAGCGGCTTCAGAATCTAAGTCTGTCACTCTCCTGCCTCTACCTAGTCTTTACGATGTGTTCACTCATGACAATAAGAACCTAATGCATTCAATTGCGTTTTATTCCATTGACAGCTTCTCAAGCAGAGAACTGCTACATGTTTCCCATGGAAGTCTAGGTAACTAACTGTCTATCTCCAAGCGCCACGATGATTAATAAGTAATGAAATAGACGATTGCCGCCAATTCCGCTTCAAAAGATCAATGCTGAGCGAGCTTCAAACTGAGCTAGATAACGCCTTACTCCTCATTCCATGACCCCTCCCGGCAATATCTCTAAACAGCTCTCAGGGCGAGATAGTACATGAAGCGGAACGGCATTGTGGGGGATTCCAGTATTTCGATCAAGTTGGATAGGCCGTTACTGACGCGATTAGACAGCTGTGACTCCTGTTTTGAGGAGATCGTAACTCTCGCAATCTTGGCATTTTCTGGCGAGGACGTAATCCATCGTCTTCTTCTGGCAGGCGCTCCGACAGCCACCGTCATGGTCACCACTCTTGACTTCCAGTATCACGTCTCTCCTGTCGCCGAACTGTGATTTCTTGAACTCGCGATGGAGGCAGGTTCCCTTGAGTTTTAACCGATAGCAGCCTTGGACTGGCACGGTTAGGTAATAGCCATCGACGTGCACTGTGCGCATCTGCACTTCGGAATCCATGGTGTAGTTACGTACGTTTAGATGTGATATGGATAGATCGGTGGTGAGTGGGAACATCTGCCGGGGATGTTTGATAATAGCGACGTGTGAAGAGGGGAAAATGGCAAGATTTGATCCAGTCTTCGCTGGAACTGCTATCGCTGCTGGTGAGACTGAGTGCTTGTTTATAATCATGACGGCGAGAAATCGTGTCAGTGTCGCGAGATTATATACACGGGAGAAAAGATACGATATATGAACCTGGGTTTGTTTCATTCCTAGCAGTGCATGTTCATAGGATTTCGACAATAGCGAGTGTTACAAAGGGAGCTAATCGCTGGCTTTATCCCTTCGGTTGTTGGTTACATGGTATTGTACTCACGAAGAGATGCCCCTTTATATATGGACGAACAATCATCTTTGTGAGCGGCGTCATTGCTTCGCCTTTGATCGTTAGTCCTATTGTTCCCACAATCACCTTGTCTTCGGCGGCTAGTCAGGCAGAGCGCGCCTAGTTGGTTGATAGTGTGTGATTCATCGCGAGTTGTTGGCCCTACTTTTGTGCCTTTTTACAATGTTGGTTTCTGACATTCAGCCTCGGAGGGTAGGTAGTGGAAGAACTGCTCAGCTGGAAGAACAAACCTTGCCGGATGAGGCTCAGCTGGCACTTGATGGGTGCAGCTGACAAGGTCTAAATATGTAGGGACTTACCTAGTTAGGTATGGCTAATTAAAGGTCACTAAGTAAGTACGGTACTCAAGGTAACCTTGAGCCTCACATGCGCTACCGGTGCCTAGCTTGGAGTCGTCCTAGTGCACACCCAATGGAATCTAGGGATCTCCAAGCAGGCAGCTATTGGTCGAATACGATCAGGCAGCAGTATTAGGCCCCCCCCATTATACCCCATCGTTCTTTACATGTACCACAAACCAAACACCACCAAGCCAATCCCGTGATTCGCCTCCGCCGCCGACAGTGGCCCATCGCATAATCGCCCATAGTCGCCCGACGACGACGACGACGATATCCCTCACGCTCTTATATACACTTGGGTCGACACCCAGACATTGACACATACATACCCGCAAACTATGCCGGTGTTTGCATTGGCCTAAACCCGGTTTTCGCATCCGAGAGCAATCAGTCAAGGGCAGCATCCCTGACTACACGAGCGCTTCTCGGTCCACTCACCTTTCCACGCTCACTCCAGGCACCCAAATTACCCACAAGTAGCCACGTTCCACTGCTCAAGGCAGCGGCATTACTGATAATTTTGACATTTCCTAGATTCGAATTGGCTTCAACGCAGAGAGTCGTTCATCTGTCGTACTCTTCATCTCACCACTTCACTTCCCCTCTTTTAACCCGTTTGTCTAATTTCTAATTGTCTTGCAAAATATCATGACGCTTGCTTGAAGCCGCCGCTATTATCCAATTGTGCTTTTCCTGCAAAGGACCATACATAGAGATACCTGGGGTTTGAGGCATACTTGGAATCCCCACATCTTCAGCCATCCCTGCCAGATTCACTCGTTGCCAGCCGCTGGCTTGACCTCATATCATGGAGTCGTACCTCCCCCGGGCTCGGATGGCCCTGGGCGTCCAGCGTCGATTGAGTAGGCTTTATAATGATACTAAGAAGTCATCCGACTTCGTCCAGGAGCCCTTACAGGCTGCCGATGATCCCGAGATCAAAGCTTTACATCGTAAACTACGCATTCAGAAGGACAGGCTTGTTAGCTGGGGCGTGGAATGGTCTGACCGCACTGATTCGAACCAGTCCCCCGAGATCGATGAGGCTTTGAATCAAGCTGGCTTGACGGACCTTGTTGGCAGTATCATGGGTACCATTAAGGATATCTTGGCCGAAGCAGAGCCCCTCTGGCTTGCCTCGAAGCGAACCGCGGGTAGTGAAAAGTCGCACGAGAAGGCCTCAGGGGACCGGAAAGCCCCACTGATAGTATGGGATAAAGGTAGATTTGAGGACCTTGTGAAGGATCTCACAGCCTCGATCGATACGCTTTGTGACCTATCCCGCACTCGTTCATCCGCCGCTATAATCAGCAGTACTTCAAAAAATACAAATACGTCGAAACAGTCTATAGAAGATCTACGGCCTTATGGTTCGACGCGAATTCAGACGCCTCAACAGATCGACCCCCAGAAGCTCCTAAGCCTCAGATCTTTCCAGGCTCAGTCTTTGTCTGAGAGTGCGCCATTACAGGAGAGACCACAGGAAATTTTCTTTATGAGCAAGCAGGATTATACCGATCTGACGCACCGGCCTGCTAGACGACCATGGTGTCCGCTTCTAGTTGAATATGCCGAATTCGATCCAATTTATTCCGCAACAGGAATTATGCCTGAGATGACCCGTTTTGAGAAGCTAAGTACAGGACTTCAGACGGAATCTTCGAGATCTCCTGGCGCGTGGATAGGATTACCTCTATTGCTAGGCTATTATGAGGACGTGGAACGTTCTAGGGTGGCCTTGGTTTACTCATTCCCTCCTACCTTCAGCGCTATCACGTTCGACAACGTGACGCAGCACCCGGTCGACAATTTGTGCACGCTTTCTAACTTGCTTAGTCGACCAAACTTTGAACCCACCTTAGAGGCTAAGTTTCGTCTCGCCTACAACTTGGCCAATACCGTTTTCGATATGCATTCCCGAGGCATCACCCATGGTAATCTTCACGGTTCGACAATCTCTTTCGTCAATACGGTTAACAGTGATACCGGCATGCCCAACGCGAACGAGATAGACATTCGGCGTCCAGTTATCTCCTCCTTCGATATTTTCCCCAACTCGCCCTCTTCTTCAACAGGTCATTCATCCTCCATGTTCCTCCTGCATCGCCATCCACTTGATCCACGAACCACCAGCCAGTCTCCATTAGCTGTGAACAGTGATACCAAAACCCTAGATCTGTACTCTCTTGCCATGATGCTCGTCTCTATCGGCCTCTGGACTACTTTGGAGAACCTTGTACCCAATCTAGACTCTCCTAGCGTTCCAGAGTCTGTTCTCGGTCAGCTGGCTATTCGATGTGGTACACCATATATGAGGGCTGTGCAAGCATGTTGGAATGCTGTTGAACTGGAACTCTCGCGGCCTGGCAACGGTGACGAGATTATCAGACAAGTACAGTCGCGAGCAAGTGGCTATCTCGAGGCATGCTGTATCCTGGATAGCGTCAGCGAGCTTGACGATCGCCTAAGCGATGATTTCATGCATGCACCCTCACGTCAGAGTATCAAGCCAAAGGCCTCTACCACATCGTTGCCAGGATCGTCTAAGACCAGTACGAAGAGCCAAAGTTATGACATAAAACGTGCACTGCCACAGGAACGGTCACAATCCTTTCCCACCGAACGTGAACCCCTTGTGAAGTGTAAGACCTAATCAAAATGGCTGTCGTACTTCGATGCTGACTTATTTCTATAGCGCACCCAGTGGAAAGCATATCAGAGAAGTCAAAAGAACTTAAAGAGCCCAGAGAGAAACTGCCCAAGCTTCGTCTGTATCCTCAAATCCCATTGCCAGACGACGTAGTTGAGCAATGGAATGAGATCCTGATGCCGCAAATTAATCTAGCTTTACGACATTTTTACCGCAAGCACCCGGAATCAGTCGAAATATCAATTGAGTCTATAGGCGAGTCTCCCCAGAAAACTACACCCACTGTACTAGTTGTGTGCACTTCAGTGAGCAAAGTGCGTGCCATATTGAATAAAAAGCTGGGTATTCTATTTGATGGTACCACAACGAATATAGCACTCAAAGTATGCCGAGGGTCTATGGTGAGATCAAGGAAAGGTCCCGTACGAAGCATGGCAAAGAGCGATACACAGGGTGATTCGAGTCGACATAGCTACGTTGAAGGAGATGAGTCTGAGGAGATCCCTGCAGCTAATCCCGATTATCAACAAAAGCCACAAAATGGCGCGAGCATTGGGGCATGGATTGGAGACAAGCATCTTCCACCAGTGAGCTTAGGAGGTGTCATTATCGTGGATGATAAACCCTATGGCATGACTGTACACCATATGCTAGATGACCCCGACCGTCCTTTTCAAGGATCAGATGATTTTGAAGAACTTACGGATAGCGCAACACGAGCCAGTGCACCAATCTTCAGAAGCAGTGCATCGGCACGAGACCTGTCGTATCTCACTGAAGGGGAGACGTCCTCTGAAGGTAGTGACTTCGCTTGCGAGTTCTCCGACACTGAGTCTGAATACTCTGCGACAGATATCACTAGCGATGAAGAGGATGAAGATGAGGATGAGGAGTTCAACCAGCCAGGCGACATTCCCGGGATAGAACCAGGATGTGGACACGGTATGTAAGGATCAGGAATAGCCAACCCCTGAATCTAGTTCCCAGGTTGATTGCGATGGTCTTATTCGAGGGTAGCGGGAGGTGATCTTACGGCGTCGGACCTAGCAAGAAATGTCACCCCGCTGATCTAGCCTTTGCAGGATACATTGTAACACAACCTGCTCTTGACGATGTGCCTGACGGGTTTTATCCTTCCCCTGAAACGGAAAATGAGGTAATATGCTATGCCCCTTATCGTCATTCTCCGTAAAGGCGATTTGTTCTAGTGAATTGTCATCCTAACATCCTGTAGGATCACATTGATACTTATAGCGTTGGTGAAGTCTACGCCTCTTCTGGCATTCGAAGACGAACCGAAAATACTCTCATTCATGAGATAGATTGGGCTCTATTTGAATTTCAAGATGATAGACTTCCGGATAAGAATCTGTTTCCGCCAGTCGATGCTGGAGACCACCGGGTTTTGACCTTCGATCATTTACAGCCAGTGGAGGTGGCTCCTGTAAAATCTCTACCTGGACTAGACGTACAATGTGTAGCTCGCACTAGTGGTACACAAGTAAGATAAATGGAGTTTTATTACGCCTTGCTAGGCAACAGCTAATCCTTGTCAGGCTGGTCGAATTCTCCCCGCCCTCACGACGGTTAAGATTTATGGACGTGCCTCCCCAAGTCACTCATACCAAGTTAGCGGGAAAATACCAGGTGTATCCAAACCCATGACACCTCCCAACCAGGCAGGACATGGTGTATCCCTCGGCATACCCGGAGACTCAGGTGCCTGGATTGTCGACAGACTTTATGGCCGCCTTTGCGGTCACATATTAGCATGGAGCGAGCGTAAACAGGTTGCCTATATATGTCCTATGGACGTCCTTCTACTCGACATCGCGGAAACGCTACAGACGACAGACGTACGACTACCCAACGGAGATATCCTCTTCGCGAGTTCCGATAATAGGGCCGATAACGACGTAGTAGAAATATCTGGGTCCGAGGCTTGGACAGAAGATGATATCCCTGATACTGAAGACATTTATCAATCATCGCAACCTCCTATCGGGAAGGACAATGTGAACATGGATATATTAGCGAGGGATATGGATAAGGTACATATCCAGGAAACGGAAGTTCGGTATAGAATGAAATGAATTGGACATGACGGGTATTATAAGCTACAGCTGGTTACGAAGATCATGATGGTAATTAGTAGAGTGTGCATTTGGAGGCTCATTTTTCCTCGGGATATTCTTCGCGTTGTTCTCTCCTCTTATTATCCACTCGTGAGCTTTTTATAGCTCGATACAGCTATTAGGCACTTTCCCCCTGCTCAATCTTCGATGTCCTTGCATTATTTGGCGATGTATTCAACTCTTTCATGATCTGTCGATATCATGCGAAGAAATATAAAATTAGCGTCGCGACTAATCTATGTTATGAATGTATGGGTTAGTAGAGTGAATGTCGGCGCGTACTATTCTTCTTGTTATAGACGGGTGACTTACACGGTTAACAGATTATGAGAAACACTGACGGACGCGGACGCTCTCGACGTAGTCGACCCCGCCGACGGGAACAGTGATGTCACGGTCAGAGTGGGCCTTATCGTCGTCGTCGCGTTGCGCGTGATTGTTATCGTCGTCGTTAGGGAGGAGTCGCCTTCTTCCTGTCCTCCTTCGGCTGTGCTGTCGGTTGTATCGCTTTTGCTAGGACTTGTCGTAGGTCCTGTCCCTGTCGTTGACATTGGAATTGGGATCGGGATCGGGAGTTGCGGGATCGAGGTTGTGGTGGTTGGGGTTGTTCGCGCTGCGATGGGATTTGGGGGTTGTGTTGGGGCGATGGCGGTGTTGATGGTTATTGAGTTGAGTGGTGTTTCCTTTGCTTTGGTCGTGGGGGAGGATGTTGAGAGTGGGAGAAGGAGTAAAGATGTCGATTTGTATCGCATTGTGCTGTTGCTGGATGGATGGCGAGAGTGGTGACGATAGCAGTGTCCCTGATCAATGGAACGAAATTCAAGAGCCCGGTTGCGATTGCCGTAGGTAGATAGGTAGGTAACTAGATATCTAAATGATCTTGCTGCTGCACTTATACACAAGTCTAAATATCAATTTCCTTCGTGGTCCCAAGGCGCTTGCTTGAATAGTTGTTGTTTCTTTCCTACCCTTCCATATCATCTCTTGGATCATTTACCTCCCCTCTGTCGCTCGACGTAGATAGATAGCATCGCGACCGAACCAAATGATCTATCTACCTTGCCTCAGAGGTGCCTACCCACCAACTGGTAATGGGGATACACATGACTCCGGAAGAGACGCGCTTCCGGAGACGAACCCGCGTTCGTCAATCATGCCGTGCCGTGCCTGGCATAATATTGGCGATAATAACCGGTTTGGGGCGACGGGGTTACCTGGCCAAAGCAACCCTCCAGTTCTCTCGTTCGCTCTTCTTCTCTATTGTTTTCTAGACCCCCGATTGGAGAAAGTGTGGAGGATTGGAAAGTAAATTTAATCGCCGATTAGTTATTCCTTAGGGGACATATTGCAACTTAGTGTATAGGTTGGGATTGTAAGGTAGATGTGGTATGTTTGCGGATAGGAGATGGATAGATGCGCTTGGATGTGATGGGTTTATCTATGTTGGCGATGCGTCGCGAGAATCTGACTGATTTACTTCACGATTTCAGATGCCGGACTGGCTTCATATATGTACTAGGAATCGTATCCTCACTCACTAGAAGCGAGATCAGTAGATCGGCCGTACTGTAGTCAACTTCCTTTCCACCAGCTGCGCTCTCAATTATTAATCTCTCGGACACTTCATAAGCACTTTAGAATTACTTATAGACACACGTAGTAGTATAAGCGTAGTGTATTCTGGTCCCCGCCTACCCGAAGCACCATCTCGAGAACAGTAAGCCACAAGATCTCCAACCATATGGCACAAAATCATCTTCGCGCGGCGCATTATCAAGCCAGAAACAACCCGTCGTCGTTCCTCGAGCTGTAACGCACCGAGAACAGGCAGTCCAGGCGTCGGCGTCTCCTCAGAGTGGTATCCCGGCGTTCTACCTACGCACGGCCATGCTCGCAGACGCCAACCGCCCCGCCGGATCAAAAACCCTCTGCGACAAACTTGGTTTCCACCTGGTGAGAAACCGCTTGCTTTATCTCGAGATAACATTCTAGACTACCTCGCGCTGCTGCCCATCGAAGCCCAGCTCCACGTTGGCGCGAACTAATCCTCCGGATTTGTGCGTAGCGGTCTGCGCGCGCGCACTGACGTACGTCAAGCCTTGAGTTATCCCCGGCGCCCGCAGCAAGGCAACGTATTTGTCGCCATGATAATACTGTCGTGAACGCTGAGCGGCGCCCGATAATGTGGGAAACCGGTTCGAAGTTAGGGCGAGACTAGGTAGTGTATTCCTCCAATGATCAGTTTTGTGCGGCCGTTAAGGAATGCGCCAGGCACCAGCTTTGAAGCGGCTGCCGTCATCGTCGTTGTCACTGAGACATTTGCACTCGCCTCTATGCAGTCACTTCCATATTACTTCGTTGGCGGCGAAATACCGCATGCGCCGCGAGAGTAGATATCCCGGAGGCCCTAGCCGCGCTGTAGGAGAGATGCGGTTTCGCTCTCCCGCGCGGTGTGCGTCTTGGTGTTTGTGAAGTGTGGGATTGGGCGCGGCACCAGACTGGGAGGTCCTTCCCCTTAAAAAGATATACCTAGAATGCGGTCTGTGGTGAGATCTTCTTGATTGTTTGCCAGGGTTGATGACCTACTCTTGGTGTAATTGAACTCGTGTCTCAAGCAGTCGAACTCCGGACACCCATTGACGGCTTTAATATCTAAGAGTCGCGCAGGAATGTATGATTCCACATCAGATCTGCAGCCAGCTTCGCTCCTCGAACCTCCCAGGTCTTCGTCTGCGGGTTTCCATTGGAGGCGAGGGGTGGGCAGATAGAATATGCCGAGAGCAGCCAACGACAAATCTTCTACCTGCCCTAGTTCCTACGAACATGGTCGTTGCTAGTCCCGTCCATCAGTGTAGATAACCATTAGTAATAGGGGCATTATACTTCTTTTAAAAATCTTACGTCGACTCTTAAGACATATTTAGGACAATTATATGCGTGCCTTCGACGGGTGAGATCTAGGTACGGTTCAGAAATGGAGTTTTTAGGCTGTTAGGCTTATAACGCGAGTTGCTAATTAACGAATGAAACCCCCTTGTTCTAGTCAGCCAGCCAGCCAGCCAGCATGTTAGGTGCTTGGCATTCGAACATCACCAGGATTGGCACATAAGACTGGCATACAGAGGTGTGCGAAAATGTACTTGAAGTAATGGGTATCAAATTTGTGGCTCTCAACTTGATTATTAAACGCTCGCGCGCACGCCGTAAAGAGTGGCGGATTTGCACAATGTGTTCAGAAGACATGCAAAGTCTAGTGCTCAACGCCTGTTCGTAAATGCTTTCTCCCCTTCCCGTGTAATTCAGCCTAGTGATAGGTTTTTTTTAGTTGTTTATTTCATCCTTATATCATGAATGCAAATCCAGCCAGCACCATGATACCAGTTGTGAGGAAAGCTCCCATGCCACCTAATGAGGAGACGTGAAGGGACGGCGCAGCGTTAGGGGTCGAGGTGTCAGATGGCGATGATGTTGTGGTCGATGCTGGGTCGCTGCCACTGTCCTCATCGTCGCCGACGGTGCTGCTGCTGACCATGCTGCTCAGGGTCTCATCGGTGACGTACGACGCTGTGATAGCAGAACCGTTGACACAAGCTGATGGGGTGTCTGCAGTGCCCTCGACGAAGCGAACGGCGGCGCACTAAAAAGAAAACCGAGCATTAGCGTTACTGCACATTATATCCATCTCGATGCGCCGTTTAGTTTAATGATTGTCTTATTGCAATTGCTACATGGTCCAGCTGGTGGCTCAGACTCATGTGGGAGTATGTGGAGAGCCGAATATGTGTTGCAGCTCTAACTTACCTGGTACAGGAGGCCATCGATACCAGATCCAACAATACTGAGAATGGCCTTTTGTCCAACATACTCGGACGGGAGGGTGACAGCGTCGACACAGAAGTCGCCAGGACCACTCTGTTGGACAAGGCCGTAGATCTGCGTCCAATTGTTGTTGGAGAGAGCATCGCTAGTGATGCGGTAGAGCCAGGTCGTCTGTGGGTGTGTCGATTTCGTGGCCACGGCATCGCCGCCGACGTGGAAATCAACTGTTTTGATGGAGTTGATATCTGGGTTATAGCCGCCACATGGCGAGTTGTCCTCGTCGTCGTCCTTGAACGCTCCTACGGTGCCGTCGACGTCTGGGTATTGCACGGTGAAGTGGGCATGGGCACCAGCGGCAAGGAGAAGCGTCGCGGTAACAGCGGATCGCAGCATCGTTGGTGTGTAAGTAGGTAGGTAAGTACTGCGAAAGAGACGTATGGCTGGATGAAGTGCGCAGTGGGAAAGAAGAAGCACGAGTCAATTGGGTTAGTTAGCGGGAGAGGCGAGATATCTGCGAATCTAAGGTGACGAGGAGATGTCTTAATCTTAAAAGAGAAAGCGAGACCTGGTTTTAACTCTTATATATAGTACATACTTGGCTGTGGTATGAAAGACAGACCGGCCCGCCACCTCAGCTCGAGAATTGGTACTGTACGTATCTACGTATCTATCTCCATTCAGACCATTTACTTCATACATCAATACCATGCTAAGTACATGCCTATACCTATACTTTATATTACATGTATGTAGCATGCACGGCCCAGAGCACGTGGATATAGAGTAGCTAACCTGCTCAAGCTCCAAGGCCCGAATTGCCACCCGGGTTCATGGTACCTATCAGGGTGGCTAGATCTCAGGGCTGTCCTTAATATACCTACGCCCTAGCTGAGATGCGAGTCTACTTGTAGATACAGACTCTTCATCGCTGTACACAGCCTGGTGCATGTTTCTTCACATCTACTGGCCCTGTCTAGCTAGTACGGTACTTCGTATGCCAGGGCTGAGTCTTACTTGATGCACCATGTTGGTATTTCACCTCGCGTACTTACGATGTGTCGTAGTGCGCAAGAGGTAGGCACCATGAGGTCAATATGAGCACGATTCTCTACAAAACAGACAAGGATTGAGTAGCCCCTCATTCATCATTCATGACTGATGGTCCATTGCCAAACTATAGTACGTACATACTTACTGATAAGTAGGTACTTCATTCAGTGCGGAGTAGATGAGGCAACATACGAACGAAGCAGAGCTACAGTAAGTAGGTAAGATAGGTAGACTGTTTCTACCTCCGGCATACGTTATTCCCGGTACCACGTTTGCACCGGTATAATCGCAAACATCGGACGAGGTCGCATTCATCAGTGATATGGTACCAGAACACGATGTCTACTACGTAAGAGATAAAACAAGCTCATGTGGTGGAGTGATGGAGATGGAGAGATGGGGGTTCGCATTGGCAGCTGGGGAATTAGCGGTAGCAGTGGGGACTGCAGAGGACGAGGGCAGCGCTGTGAGTGGTTGCCAGGCTTTCCAGGTTTCCGTTGAGGCTATTTGAGCAAGTTGTGGCAGGCGCTAACACGCTCGGCCGGCATTCCACTCCATTGAACCCTGCCCCGGGCAGCCAGAACCCCCCTGTCTACCCCCTGCTTGACGATTTCTCCGCATCGCTAACACGTCCTTCTCACATCGCTATCAGATTCCCCGACGAGACCGAGTCTGCCACTGCTGCTCGCAGTTCTCGATGAGTGAGTTCTCGAAGACTTGAGTTACGATGGTTCAATCAGAAAGTTGAAATCATTCGACTGCCATGTACTCATGCCTACTTTAACAAGTGTCCCGCCGAGATACTCTCTTCCTTACTTAATATCCAGTGAATGGGCTCTTTAGTAGGTACCTAACTATGTATGTATCATGGTCCCGTCCAAAGTACTACCTAGTACGCAACAAATCCTTTTGTACCATCATATAGGCCCTTTCTTTGTCTCACTGCGTACAGCTCGCTGCATCAGTAGAACCGAATGGTATAAGATTAATCTCATCTGAAATCTCTTCTGTATAATCATAATGCCTTGTTTCTGTTGACGTGTTCGATTTGATGACATTTTTGTGAGAGGACGTGGCCATTGTATTCCTCGAGGTAGGCGTGATTTCTCCAACAACACGTCCCACTTTGCATTGTTGCATGCCCATGTGGTGAGCAAGTTTCCGCTGTGAGCAAGTTTCCATTTAGGTAGCGAGGCGAGGCGAGGCGAGGCGAAGCCGTGGTCCATCTTTACTTACCTACATGCACCTTACATGCAAAACATAGTGATAGGTAAATCCCCATATACCTCATCATTTGGTACCCAGCACTCATTCAATGAATCGTAACGAAAGATTGTCGTTGTGACTTACTGCACGTACTATCAATCTAGGTACATGCATGCGGGATGCCACATGTACCACTTCAGCGCTACACTGGGGCATGATATACCGATGACATTCCACCTTCACGGAATTAGCTACATACTACATACCTAACCTACTCGGACTCCAACCTGCATCTTGAGAATCTATACCCTTTTCCCTCACTACTAGATTTCGAAACTGTGCGACACCTCTCTCTCGGGACGACTTTATCAGATTCCTGGGTTTAGTTTCTACAAGCACGCCAACCACGCGGCCATTTGCGCTAGTCAAGATCTTGAGAATCACGATAGACAATAGACGAAAGCAACTACCGCCCTATCTTGTCGTTTTACTTCGAGTGATGATAAATTCATAGTCCCGAAGCATTGGCCAACACGTCTCTCCATATATAGCGCCTTGAGCGCCAACATCACCCCCCAAAATGGAGCGCAGGCACGACCATGGCTCCACGAATCCCTTATTCACACCGACGAACGAGGCCTTCGCTCGGGGCTATTGGTATATCGTCGCTGGCGTCGTGTTCTTACTAGCAGTGATTCGAGGAATCAACCTTCTCCAGAATACACTTAGGTAAGACTGCGCTGGTGCTCACAAGGCGACTTGAAGTGCGCTGATGTTAACCTTGGAATTGGCAGACTTCGTAGATCTAGAATTGCTTCTGTTCAGTATCCCACGAAACCATCTAACAAGTTGATGCAAGTATGGGCAACCTTGACGGCCGTAGGGCGGGAGATGAGCTATCCACAACTCTACGTGCCCGTCCGATACCTGTCTTGGTTAACCCCTCCTCCTCTCGGCCGTGTCCTCGTGATGCTTGTCTACTGGGCCGTCATCATCTATATGATGGTCGCCGGAGCTGTGATTGATGACGTTTATTTCTGGGAACGCATCGGTTATCGGAATGCCTGGGTTACGGTGACCCAAGTCCCGTTGCTCTATCTTCTTGCGTCCAAGACCAACACAATAGGATTGATTATTGGCACGAGCCACGAGCGGTTAAATTGGCTACATCGATGGGTTGCTCGGACCATGTTCATTACAGCCACCGTTCACGGTTTCCATTTCTGGTCTGAGTGGCTTTATTATGATATTCTACAAGTCGAGCTGGACACCCTATCCACCATTGTGCCTTATGGTCTTGGTGCATGGGCTATACTACTCTGGATGACCATCACGTCTTTCAAGCCATTCCGGTCCATGGCCTACGAATTCTTCGTCATTCAGCATGTCCTAGCGGCGGTCTTTTTCCTGTACGTGGTGTACGTCCATGTTCCCGTTTCTGCGAGGTATAACGTTTGGTTCGCCATCGCTGCCATCTCTTTTGACCGAGCTTGTCGCCTTGTTCTGCTGTTGTGGCGCAATGTGAAGTTCGAGCCAAAGAAGACATGCTGCAAGGGTGGGCAGCGGCTTGGCTACGAAACCCAACTTACCGCCGTTGGAACCTCGACTACGGTCCTAACTATCTCGAATGTGCACTTTGAGTGGTCTGCTGGACAGTTTGTCTATATATGGGTTCCTCGAATTGGACTATTTGAAACACACCCTTACACTATCGCTACTTCCCACCCTCTACCCGGCACTTGTATCTGCAACAGTATCCAATTGGTAGTACGATCTCACGGTGGATTTTCGAAACGGCTTAATCAGTTCGCCCAGAAGGCTGAAGCTGCTGGTACAAAGGAGACGGTGACGACCTTCATGGTTGGCCCTTACGGCACACCTCCACGCTGGGATATCTTTGAGACACTAATTCTCATTTCAGCATCGACAGGCACTTCATTTACATTACCAATACTTGACAGTCTCCTTGCATCAAAAGGTACGAATTGCACCAAGCGGGTGGACTTTTTATTAGCAGCAAAGCAGGGCGAAGAGGTGGGATTTTATCACGAACGGCTTCATGAAGCCATAGACAAAGCACAGTCGATAGGCATTGATCTCACGATCTATATTGCTGTGACAGGAAATGGACAACTAGAAACAATAAGTCCAGGATCTACTCCCTCAAACCCTAGTACGGAAAAGACGATGGGACAAACCGGGACCGGAAACGCAACAACGCGGGTCGAGTCATTTTCTGAAGGCAGGTTAACACCTCGAAAACGACTCTCACAAAGCAGTGTCGATTCGCACATGTTTTACTCGGCGGCCAGGCCCGACGTTGCAAGCCTCATCAGAGAGGCGGTAGAAGCAACAGGAGGTGAGACGGGCGTAGTGGTGTGCGGTGGGCAGTCTCTAGTGGCGCAAGTAAGGACGAGCGTAGCAAAGCTGAGCGATGAGCGAGCAGTACATAAGGGCACTGGGGCCCAAGGCATTCATCTACACGTTGAAGAGTACAGCTTCTAGGTTCACATAGGAGCTGGAAGACTCGCACAATACCTGCTTACACTAGATACCCGTTTCACGTATATACCGGCATAGCGCATCGATTGTGCTTGCCATATCCTCTTTCTTAATAATGCCGGATTGGTCAAGATATAATATATCAGATGAAAATCGATAAGCTGTTGTTTCATTTGGATTAGAGGGATCTAGCTGCCTGGGCGGTAGCGTATTTAGACGCAATGATAGTTTGATCGATGAATGAAATGACTAAATGGAATCAAGACAGCGAAAAGTATCATGGCATTAGCATATAGGTTACTCTCAGGTTCATCTTGGTCACTGGCGCCAGAAAAGACAATATTTTGTCTAGAGCTAGATGTCCAAAGAAACAACACAAGTGCTCAACAGGTTATGAACATTGATAGTTCTATGACGACCCCATGAAATATATGATCATGATGGCGGCGCTGGCAGCCACAGGATTAACTCCGGGCCGGATCTAGCACCAGGCGTTGGCGGCGTTCAGACCCCTGTAGTTCCATGACTCTAGGCTTCTGCTTTAGGGCAGAATCTACCTAGGTACGGTAGGGGTAAGGTATGACTCCTACGCGCGACAACTGAAGCTCTTTTCTCATCACCGAAACGGTATCGGCGCCTGTTGACTCACTGGGTAGGTAGACAATTTCAATCGGCTGCTCTCCAAGTACTTACTTACTGGCCAGCTTCATATGCTCGGGCATGTCAAAATCAGGCTGGACGCGGTGCCCAAGTCTCTGAGTGGTCGAATCTATGCCAGTGCCTTCAGCGCACTCCTTTTCATTCGCTTCTTCCCTCGCCGCTGCTAGTAGCACTACTAGTAGTGGGCATTTGTACAAATTGTACGTACAATTGCGCGGTGCTCAGTCCCTGCGGCGCAACTTTAATTTATTACCACTACCCCGCCAAAAATTCAAGCACCCCGCCTTCCACACCCAGCATCAGCATCAACAACGTTACCACCAACACTCCCGTCCTCACTCTTCGTCCCATCGGCCTGGCTGTACGCGCCCGTCTTTTGTAGATTCTTCCTTATCTTCTCTACGCTTGGACGACCAACCCCAGAACCTCTCACGTCTACAAAGGCGCACTGTCACCATGGCCGCAAATGCTGCCGATAGTCAGCTCTCGGCCTTGTTGCAGCTGGGTTCCCTCGACGAATACCCGAATTGCTATCCCGAGATCAACCCTCAAGACATCTACCGCGCTCACATCACTTCCATCCTTCACAAGATCAGCGGTGTCGACAAAACCATCATTTATAATGCCCTCCAATGGACCGCCTCGTTGGACAAGGGCGATATGATCCTCGCCATCCCCGCCCTTCGTGTCAAGGGCAAGCCCAACGAGCTTGGAGATAAATGGTTGGAGAGTGTATGTTCTCACCTTGTTCAGCTGTCCGGAACGTCTCTTCTCTTTGGCTTTTCCTGCGCTCATAGATGTTCTTGTAGTGGCCCGAATCTCCCCTCGTCGAAAAGCCCGTCGTCAACGGAACCTTTATGCCCTTCTTCTTCAAGCCCGGCCCTCTAACACAAGCAACTATACCAATCGCTCGGAAGCTCGGACATGAGTTCGGCGCAAACAAGGCCAACGGTCTCAAAGATCGGGCCGATCCATCAAAGGGCAAGAAGCGCATGCTCGTGGAATTCTCGAGTCCGAATGTAAGAAACGCCGCAGCTTCTATTCAGTAGTCTTACCTAGCTATCGTGCTGCGCTCATTAGATGTTAACCTCGTGCAGATTGCCAAACCTTTCCACGCTGGTCACCTGCGAAGTACCATCATTGGAGGATTTCTAAGCAACCTGTACACCGTTGCGGGATGGGATGTCGTTCGCATCAACTATCTCGGTGACTGGGGAAAGCAGTATGGTATTCTTGCTGTCGGCTTTGAGAGGTACGGCAACGAGGAAGCCCTGGCTCGGGACCCCATCAATCATCTCTTCGAGATTTACGTCAAGGTCAACAAGGAAATCGCTGAAGAGAAGGAGAAGAGTGAAAGTTTACAGAAAGATGGGAAAACAGAAGAGGCCCAGAGCATCATCGAAAGTGGCACCGATGAGCAAGCCCGGCGTTACTTCAAGCTGATGGTGGACGGGGACGAGAAAGCACTTGCTCTATGGAAGCGGTTCCGAGAGCTCAGTATCGATCGATATAAAGAGACTTATAACCGACTGAATATCCAGTTCGATGAGTATTCAGGCGAAAGTCAAGTGTCAGAAGAGGCCATGAATGCAGCGGCCAAGGAGATGCTGGAAAAGGGTATCGCCGAGGAGTCACAAGGAGCGCTCATTGTTGACTTCAGCAAGCACGTGCCAGGAAAGGTGGGCAAGGCACTAGAGAAACCCATCATCCGAAGGAAAGATGGTACTGCCCTCTACCTCACTCGTGATATCAGCGAACTTTTGAATCGTGAGCAAAAGTACCATTTTGACCAGATGATATACGTCATAGCTTCCCAACAGGATCTCCATGTCAAGCAGTTCTTCAAGATCATAGAGCTGATGGGCCATAAGGATATTGCGGCCAAGGTGCAACACATCAACTTTGGGCTTGTCTTGGGTATGAGTACTCGCAAGGGCACTGTGAAGTTCTTGGACGATATTCTTCGTGACGTCGGTGACTACATGCACGATGTTATGAGAAAGAACCAGGACAAGTATCAGCAGGTTGAAAATCCTGATGCAGTTGCTGACATTCTTGGTATCAGCGCCGTTATGTGTCAAGATATGACAGGCAAGAGGTGCGCATTATCCCGAAACTATATACTTGATATTCGTCGATGCTGATGACATGGCTAGGATCAACAACTACCAGTTCGATATGGCTGTTATGACCTCGTTCGAGGGTGATACTGGCCCTTATCTTCAGTATGCACACGCTCGGTTATGTTCCATCACCCGCAAGGCTGGCCTTAGCGAAGAAGATATCGCCTCAGCCGACTTATCTCTGCTCACCGAGGTTCACGCCGTCAACCTTGTGCGTGTATTGTCCCAATGGCCCGACGTCGTACAAAACACACTTCGTACACTGTGAGTTTTTATACCCTTCTCTTTAGGAGTCATGTTTCTAATAGCCATCTCTACCTAGTGAGCCTACCACGGTCTTGACCTACCTTTTCAAGATGACACACATCTTGAGTTCAAGCTACGATCACCTCAGGATTGTAGGCCAAGAGTCAGAGCTCATGAAAGCTCGTATGGCTTTGTATGATGCAGCGCGAATTGTCCTTAGCAATGGAATGCGCTTACTCGGACTTACGCCCGTGGAAAGGTGAGCACCATGAGGTATTCTCTAAGTCTAACATAGCGATATGCTCACTGTTTAATAGGATGTAAGCGCTTTACCTTTAGAAGAAAGGTGTTGTATCACCTTTATGAGCACGATAAGACCACGACCGATTCGTGAGGGCCTGGATCCCGCAACAATATAGTGGCTTCCAGAGTTGGTAATCCGAAAGTCCGTGGTCTGCGCCGGAGCTAGATCTCAGACGCCACTGCATGAAAAGACGGATAGTAGGTATCACGAAGATTGTGCGACACATCTGACCCGTCGACTCCCAAAAAGGAGGTGCCACCAGTTTATAGAAACTTTTTGGTAGACAAATGAATAACGTGAGTCCGCCGTGGCTTCAATTGATCAGGGGGTAGCCCGCTAATGTCTGAGTCCTGGGAGTCATAGCATGTGGATTGGTGCGAAATTAATGTGCATAAATATGACATCCCTGTGCCTTCAAGTCTCTGCCGTAACGTTTCTTGTGGTACCTAAATTTATGAGAACAAGTCCAGCATCCGCCCCCTTCAATACTCCCTAATATTCATATCCTATCTATTCAACTCTGGCTTTTTGCAGTGTTTTCCAGAATATCCATAGTCACCTAATTCAGAAGATTGGTGTAAATTAGTCGAAGATACTTCGGAGTATTGCTTAAGCCTCTTCAACCGGCGCACATGAGATAATGGCGGCCACCTTTCACGTGTGGGCCCAGTCACTACGGTTTATGCTTTCGCAGCCCCGAGACGTGCAGATAGCCGGATTAACTGACTCACGCCATCGAACTCACGTCAATACGAACAACAGTAACGGCCTTGGCGAGAATATATTTCAAGCTTTGATCCTGACATCTCGGGCTGGGCTCTACATCGCGGCTGCCCAGCCTCGCTGAGGGTGACGGTGGACCGCATCTTTGACTATCATATCCGTCGATGATAGAAGTAGTTATAAGCTGAAACACAGCTTTTGCAGCCGAGCGGGAGCATCTATTGGCAGCTGATGTACCTACATGGCTTGGCCACATATACTCAGCTGGCCACCTAGTATTTGTCCCTCGTGAGCCATCAGCCATCCTATCGGTACGGTATGTAGTTCTAAGCATGCAACTTATAGCTAGAGTCGGCCCTTCGCCTTCTTCTTTCACCGCGGTGGCCATAGCTCCCTAGTACCGTAAACCATCAAACTACCTCGGGGGGGGATGTTTCACAGAGATTAGCTAACCCTGCCAGGTTCATTAGCGGGACTTTGACAAGCAACTGTAATGGTCTTACTTTAAGCCCTCGGAACGAGGACGGATTTTCAGATCCCGTCAAAGTCCTGGAAGAATTTCCCGATAGGAAGACATTCTCGTATGCTCGTCGTGCATCAACGTTAAGCCCATCTCGTACTAGCGAAGCCGGTCAATGTTTTCTCAGATTAGGCCCCTTCCGTGTATACTCTTACGGCCACTCAACAACACGCCCTTGACTAGGTAGTCTTTGTTCCGATCTTGTGTGTGGCAGACCACCATGGCCCCTTCGAGGAGTAAACTTCCAGGCAGATTCATGCCACCACCCTCACGTCATAACGATATCATGAAATCGATCCTTGCCGATATAGCACCTTGGCTTCGAGCCCAGAAGAGGAACCCTTGCCACCCAGAACAGCTCGACGGGTGCTTCACAATCCCGGTGGCTTTCTACATGCAGTAAACTTTCTTTGCTCTGAACCGGGGTTGAATTAGCTTCGGAAAGGAGGCTGATTTCTAATCGGATCTTGACAAGGAATGGCGAATCATGGTTCAGGTTATAAAGTCCACATTATCTCTAACTTCAGGCTTGAGGATTCCGGATAGCTTGATTCTGTCGTCGTATGGCCAACAATTCACGGCGCATATGTCTATACATTAGCTCCTTGATGTTGTTACCATGGCCTTCTTCCTCTTACTAGTAATTGTTGGACTAATACTGTACGTCTTGCAAGTAAGAATTAGTAGGAGGAGAATCCCTCCTGGCGCTCAACCTCTACCAGGCCCTAAGTGTACGTGGCTATGCATTCTTAATACCCTACCTTGCTTTTAAGCTTTGCATGCCTTTTTGCTAATATCAGCAGCCTATCCGATTATCGGCCGCGTTCACGATGTACCTACAAAGGCATCGTGGATCAAATTCTATGAGTGGAGTAAAGAGTACGGGCCAATTTACCAGACTGAGATCTTTGGCACTGTCCACGTCTGGATCTCGTCAGAACGGGTTGCTCATGACCTCCTTTCCCGCCGTGCGGCCATTTACTCGGACCGCCCGCAAATTCCCAATCTGCCCGACAATCGCACGAAAGGAGACTACTTAGCTCTGACAGGTCGCAATGGTAATTTTCTATTAATTTATAGCTATGAAGGAGAAATATTAGTTGCTTATACAGTCTATAGATACGTGGAAACGTCAGCGCAAACTGGCTCAGCAACTCATGACCGCCAATGCGTCGTTACACGATTATCCCAGAAAAGAGCGCGATCGTTTCCTCTATCTGTTGTCGACCGACCCGTCTCAATACCGCGAATTCATCGAGCAGTTTACATCTCGTACGGTAGCCCGGTTGACATGGGGGAGTCCACACTCGGCAGATCGACTCCGTGTGACCACAGCGGGCCTCCTCGTGACGATTTCGCCGGCCGGAGCGCTGCCCAATTTTATCTCGTGGCTGATGTATCTCCCGACCTTTCTGAGCCCGTGGAAGAAGGAAGAAGCGGCCCGGCACGCAATGGAAGCCCAACTCTTGAAAGATAATGTTCAATATGCTCATGAGCGCATCAACGAGGGGACTATTCAGCCGAGCTTCATTCGCACGTTCATCAAGAATACAGGCCTCCCCGGAGACAAAATGGAGAGCATCGGAGAGGTTGAAGCTTCGTATGTAATTGGGCAGATGGCCATTGCCGGGGCATTGACCATCGGCAGCCCTATCCAGAGCTTCATTCTAGCGATGCTGCATTATCCAGGATGGCAACGGAAACTCCAGGATGAGATCGACAGGGTCTGCGGCGGCGCCTGTCCACAGTGGGAGGATCGCGAAAAGCTGCCCATGCTCCGCGCCGTCGTCAAGGAAATCATTCGGTGGAGGCCTCCTGTTCCGACAGGTATGTTATTAGCCTTGAGCATTTTAGCCTGTAATACGGAGGATCCATTCCTATTTCTCGTCACATTTCGTTGTCGGTGCTAATAGTTGTAGGAATTCCTCACGCGATCGAACAAGACGACGTATATAATGGTTACTTCATCCCCGCCGGTGCCACCATTCATGCGTTAGAATGGTAAGTCTAACCCCCTTTCCAGATTCCCTTGCCTGTCTAAAAGACGACTTAACTGAAGCAACTAGGGCCATGACAAGAGATGAACAGACATATCCCGACGCCGACGCCTTCAACCCGGCCCGTTGGCTCGAGCCCAAGTACCCGACGTACAAAGAGCCATTGACGGAATATCCGAAGCTGAACGGGTTCAGCCAGTTCGGATTCGGCAGGCGGACATGCCAGGGCATCCCGCTCGTCGAGCAGGACTTGTACCTTGCCATGGGCGGCATGGCATGGGCCTTCGACCTGCGGAAGAAGAGGCGCCCAGATGGCAGCGAGGTCCCCATTCACTGGAATGAATATACCCCGCTGCTCATCGCCAAGCCTATGCCTTTTGAGTTCGACGCTGTCGTACGGAGCGAGAAGAAAAGGGGCCTCCTGAGGAGGATGTGGGAGTCTGGGAAGGGCGACGAGTAAGTTTTTTCTTCTTAATGTTATGATACCATTTTCTCTTTTCTCTTGTACCCTTTCCCCCTTTTCATATTTTCCCTTTTTCGCGTTTTCCTATCTTACCACAGTATTCAGAGGTTTCACACTTGTTGTTTGACTCCTCGACTTCAACTCGTATGCTCCCAAAACACTACCGCAGGCACAGCAAATGATTGACTCAAAATTCTATAGTGATATTGAGAAAGAAATGAAAGAAAATATTTCATTACCGCATTTGCTCTACCAGAAGATACACCCGGAGTACGTCAATGCCGCGAGGAAGAAGCGGCATGACAGTCTTCTCCCCCTTGTCGTCGACGACGCATTAAGCGACCGAGGCAGTGATACCAGCTTCCTTACCAATTCAACTACTGAATCGGAAGGATCATCAAGAAATTCCGACTCTGATACAGGCGAAACAGAGCTATCGGTGTGACGGAAGCATTTCTTCCCTATCCCACTATACGTTTTTTTTTTTTTTCATTTAAGAGGCATGACATTGAGGATTGATTTCTCATTTTCATCTATTTATTATATAACGAGCATACGAGGAGTAATGGGTGATGAGCAGAGCAGTATTTCTTATTTGGCTTTTTCTTTTTTTTGGACGCATAGTCTTTGACACACAATTGCTTTGGCGCACAATTGGATAATCAGTGCCATAAACAAACGAAGATATACAAAACAGTCGCTGGATAAGGTATCCTTTCCAGCGTCATGAATACCATTTGAACACCATTATCATCTCTAACTTTGACCTTTCGTATCTTGACTAGTGCCATAGGTTATCTGTTTTACGTGCACTTATTCACGAAGCAATCATAACAATTCATGTATTGAGGACATCCGAATGTCAGTGTGTTGCCTTTCGAACCGCCAATCCTTTTGAGAGCCTTTTTTACACCCTTGTAGATCTGAAGATGTCTGGTCCCTGGTTTGCTATCTAAAGTCTTATCTTAAGTGGTCTACACTAATTTTAAAGCGAAAAAGCTTATATACAGGATTCCTACATATCATATGTGATACTTGTAAACACGAGAAAGCGTACATCTGGTTGAATGATCAGGAGCCGGTCATGTGAAGAGATAGATTCAAATCGTATATGTATCTATTTTCCGTATTTCCCTAACGTCCCTCTTGAACATGCTTGTCACTTGTGCATTTGAAGCCTCGGAATTGCCCGATACGACAGTTGGTCCTTACTATGACACACGGGTTGGGCTGCAATGAAGCATGTACCGAGTTCCTTGCAAGGGGGTGCATTGCGATTTTATGATTGGCTGTCTGGCCGGCTACTGCTGGGGATTTGAACACTATTTACAAGGCACTCGATTCGGTTCTTGACAATGTGTTGGGAATATTCTCTTCATTTTTTAAGAATGTGCAATACTAATATGAAGGATCTAAAGACATTAGATGTGGCTAAGTCGACTAAGATTGAAATTCTGGGTTCTATCGCCGCAGAAAGCGAGGATTCTACGATACGCTGTGTAGGTATCTGTGTATCTACATCTACCTACTTAGTTCAACCAATCGTGTTTGCACCTTAATCCTTACCGGTTCCTGCAGGGTGACTGATGGATAGGTGTCATCCGTAGTAAGAACACGAGGTGAGATGACCAGATGAAGCTGATTAAACAAGGCATGCCACATGATGTAACGCAAAATTAGACCGAGCGATAAAACTGTGCCGCAAGATTACATTTTTACGAAACTACATATTACGAGAAACGGTGCCTGTTTGTTCCTTACGGGGATGCGGCCAGGCTGAATTACAAAAGTTCTACAAAAGCGCAGTGCATGACGCACAAGTGACTCTCACATGTGAACACCGACTAAGCATCCCAGCCATGTCAGGGGTCTCGTAGACCAGGATAGGCCCTGGTGTCCACGTTAAGATCTCGCAGGGTGCTTAAGTAGATATCAATGACAGGGATCTATACCATGTCATTGCAGTGGAAGAAACCTTGGATGTAAATATAATGATGCGAATGAAGTGTAATATCTATGTGCCATTTGCCGTGAAGGGGACCTGCCCCTCTCTATATATCCCATGCAAATCTAGGTTCCTCTCTTTCCCGTCCCACCATCTCCGCTTCTAACCGCTGATTTCTGCCATTGTGAGAGTAGTATATAGATATATGTCTGATTAGTGCCCTGATTTGAACCCTTAACCGTCTCCCCTGAAATCGAGATCTATCTGAACCCCCCTTAGCCTAATTTATGCGCCTTGCGACAAATGTAGATCCATATGAAAAATGCAATACAACGTCTTGTCCCCTGATTTTGAACACCATGTTCTCTATATGCCCGTGTGGAGTGATCCCCTTGTCTATATGCGCGTCCGTGTGTGATGTGTTTGTGTTCGTGCCTGTGTTTGTGTCTGTGTCTGTGCAGCTTGCTATCTCATGGGCTATTAGCCAGCATAATGCACGCCGCTGAATAGCTTCTGGCATTGATGATAGCATGAGGGTATCAATAGCGTCATGATGTCGTTTTCACATCGTAGTTTTGACATCATGTGAAGCAGTTGCTGAATAACCGTACAATGCCCCGCGTTTAGTTGATCGATTTTACCGCCCGATCCAGTACGCGGGACTGAGCTCCTGTCGCGCGATGGCCTCGGCAATCTCGGCGTCGCTCATGCTCTCCTGGCCATTGAGTGCATACCACGACTCATCGGCAAAGAGGTAGTACATATCCCCCATGGGCACGGCCGGCGAAAATGCCAGAGCGACTCCCGTGCCCATCAGTCCGCCTGTCCACATCTCCCGCAGCTGCATCCATACGTGCTCCCGCTGAGCCGCGGGTAGAGATCGCGCGAGATAGAACACGGGCGTATACGTCTTGTCCGAGCGCGGTGTGAACTTGGCGCGGAACGACCGCTCAGCTGTCATCGTCCCCGTGCCCGTCCCGTCGTCCAGGGGGCGGAGGTGCTTCCCGTTCAGCGAGAAGTAATCCATGCAACTGCTACACGGCTTCGAGGAGAGAAGCATAGCGTCCACGATCGGATATGCGCCCGGCGAGTCGAAGCTTTGGAAATAGGCTAGCAGAAGATTCTCTTCAGCATGATGGCCATGGGGAACGGTGTGTGCGGATTGCCAGAGATCGGTCTCCCCGTTGCTGAAGAGGAGCGAGGTCACTAGGTCGAGACTGTAGTCTCCGCTTGTCCGGAGGCCGCTGCGCACGTACTGAAGGAGTGTTATCACGCGAGCTAGATGCTTGGTCGATAGGGATACGGAATTGCCGTTTTTGTCCTTTATGCGGAACGAGGGAAGCTCAATGAAGATGAATTGAGGAGCCATGGCAGTTTGTGTGTCTTGTTCGATATTAATCACTTATCTCTTGTGCTTCGAAAATGTTGTGCGACTGCGCTCGATATTTGGCGGATAGTCTTTCTTCACTTTATCGTGCTGCCCCTCAGATGTTTGCTTGTTGTTTATCTATGTTCGTCGTTTGTTTGTCTGCGTCATCCCTTGATACTTGTACCGGCAACATCGTCTTATATAAATTTGTTGCATGATGAAATGGTCTTATTCACCTCGTACAAGAAATAGGCATTCATCTTGTTGAACCTATTGCAAACATATGTCTTAAGACAATGACGTCCATCAGATTTCCCCAACGCTTAGTTGGCAAACAGCGAACGGATAGACCGTCTGAATGGCTGCTGACTTCGTGTCTAATTTTGACAAGGCGTAAATGGTCTTCCATACGGGAATTGTCATTCCCCGCGAGCAAACTATGTAGTCCACGATTTATCGACATGACAGACTACTGCTGCACGTGCGGATCTCCTATCAAAGCCCCATAATTCAGAAGGGTTTCGGCGGGATCCATAGCTTACCCGTCTTCCGCTGACTTCACGCCTTTTTGCACGCCGGTTGGCTATGGGGGCCTGTTGAATTGTAGTGTGTTGAGGCTCAATGACCCAGGTTGCCGGGCTCGGGGAGGTAGGGCTGAAGGAACCGGCCTTAGCTAACTCCTTATTTGGACTAGAAATTGTCAAAATTATATTCAGGATGAATCCTTCAAGTTCAACACATAGCAGTGGGAGCCCACTTTCAGAGGGTTTCTGGAAGACTACTTACTATGACATAGCGTTGAATTAAGGGCACAGCTTGACTTGCAATGCAGAGGAATCGGTCCGTTCTTCAAGTGTTCGGGGGCAGTGTTATCTTGGGTAGGCTAATAAGGGATTCGTTTTCAGCTTCAATGAATAGGTCTAACTAGGATGGGCTGGCGACTTATTCTACCATAGGTTCTATTACAAGATTACGTTCTGACCGAACCGTTCAGCGGAAGCTACCGAGATCATGGCTTGTGTCGAGGAAGGCAAAGCGCAATGTCTGGGATTCCGAACTGCGGCGGCCTACGGAATTCTCCTCTAGAAAATCACATTTTTAGACGGGGACTAAAAAAGAAACATGTTGCAGTGTCTGCCATCGCATGACCTTCTAGGAATCTTCGACTATTATTGGCTCACTTGTCTGCCCATTCAGCCGCCTATGCCCTTCTTTCGATCTAGGGTATTTTAACAGCAGACCAATTTTTTCACACCAAGTTCGTTACTGTCGTGGTTATACATAGCTGCTTCTGCTGAGGTCATCTTCCCATGACCATGTGCCGTACAATTGCTTACGTCGCATAAACTAAGACGATACCCAATCATCCGACTGCCAAGTCCCCAAGTGAGGCTTGGCTCGATCCTATTGCCAAATACAGACCTCCATGGCCTATTCAGGAATGTCAACAGGACCACTGATTGGACACGTTTGACTTATTCATTTAGACCTAATTGGCGAGGAGAAAGTACAAAATAGATTCAAATCCTTGTCACTCTCTTGGAGATTTTTATCGCTTTGTCAGCGGCAACGTGGTGGATCTTGCGGGAATGTCTAGTCAATGTGAAAACTATGACGTCGGGCTTCAAACACGAACCGGGCCAAGAAAAGGGATGCCTAAGTAGGATTAAACCGGGGTATTTTTTGCAGTATTCCTGGATAGCGAAAGTCGGCGCTGATGACTGAGATTTATTAAAATACCATAATCGTCCGCGATTAGTTGCTACCCATCCGGACTTGTATGGAGCCCGTATAACCGTCTTAGGCTACCTCCGAACTCGCTACGGCAAACACCGACTGAATCAAGTGATCTGTAAGTATTTGATTCGTGTTGTGGTAACCCCGTCCCGGAGTTTATTGAGTTTCAATAGACTGGTCGCTAATTCTAAATACTTACATATGATTTAACGAGGCCCATATGAAAACTAAACCTTCAAGTTAAGGACATTAATTCCTATGGTATATTGCAATAAGCGGCGAGCCCAAAAAAATCTTTGTAACGCACTTAAAGATGAGAGCCAAATGATAGGGGCATCTTGTAGGATATGAAGGCATCAAGTGGTTAAAAGCCGAGCGTGGAAGGCCGATCATGCCAAGAAAGAGAGAAAATGTGACGGCATGCTTGAGGGTAATGATACAGGCATAGGGTTGCAATGCCCGGTGGATGGAGGATGTAACGACCCGACGTTTAAATATATGTACTTGCTAACTGCTACTTGGGAAACCTCGATCAGTCTCGATGTCCCAGGCTAGATATCTGACAGGTTGTGGTAAAAGACGTTAAATGAATAATAGGTGATTTCCGACGAGAAAGTGTGGAATTTAGCAAAACAATGCACGATATAAGCGGGAATTTCAACTTAATCGAGGTGGAAGGTTGATTCTGATGCCGAAGAAAAAATCAAGAGCGTGAGCTCTGTTACACTGCCCAAGCTCTCGCAAGAAACGAGGCACTTACGTTCTTTAAGTGTGGAATTTAGCCAATCAAGCGAGTAAGCCATGTTTCCCAGCTGCGAGAGTGGTTTCCACCCAGTTTACTCCCCATATAAAGTTGGCACACCTTCATTGCGCGTAATTTACTGTACCCACCATTGCAAGTACTCTCAGCAGCTCGTAGTATTGCGGTACATGTAATACCAGGTAACCAAACAATGTTTGTAACTGCCTGAGTCTCGCTACCAAGAGATTACAGTAACCGTCACACTTGGGTCGAGTCAAGGAGCGGTTAAACTAAGGTCCTAAGATCACGTATGTATTGAGCACACTGCTCAATCGCATGTCGAGAAATATAGCTAACTGGAGCACATAATTATATCTTAACTTGATCCTTTGCGAGCCTGGAAGACTCTGATATTAGCCCACTGAAGTGCAAGAGTAACAGTATTGTAAATACCCAGTCTGCCAGGTACTTAGGTGCATTGAGTAATGTCAGTAGTTCCTGCGCGCCTAGTATAATCACGCGCCGTGAATGAAATAAATACGACAGAGGTTACCTGGGAGATATAGTTTCCATGCAATTCTATGAGATTGCCTAGCAATTGAGAACATATCTTCCCTAAATGCTTGATCATCTTTGTTCCGTCTTTCTTCTTATTTTTTACTCAAGTAAGCCAACTACTATTTTCACAGTTACAATGGCTCCTTACTTACACGTTTCCCGGGTGAAACATGTGGGCATCGTACGCAACTATTCACGATCTTTCAATACATCCTCGATACCTGAGTCGTTGGGGCGAAAGGGTATCAACTACTGCTCCAAGAACGGGCTGCGCGACAAACTGCTCAATGATGCTGGTGCCAACAAGCTGGCGTTCCTGGCTAGACTAAAGCCCATTGACCCAACGTACAACGGTCTCCGAAGACTTAACAGCTGGGGAGAGCAGGCCTTGGCACATGAACATGCTTCCATTGCACGATCCATATTGAAACGCTCCTTTGGTTATGACGACTTCCGCCACGAACAAGTATGCTATTATCATATACTATTCCATATGATATAGTTACTAACGTCTTTCTGTACTACAGGCTGCAGCTATCAGTACTATTCTTCGGGGCGAAAATGCGCTTGTCGTGTTTCCTACTGGCGCTGGCAAATCACTATGTTACCAGGTATACCATTCTTCGAAATGCATTCTCTATGATGTAGTCCTGATTACCATATAGATACCTGCCATTGCGTTTGAAGAACTCGACAATGCGGGCTTGACCAACAGACGGCCGGGAATAGCAGCAATGGGCCCCGGAATTACCATTGTCGTGTCTCCATTGATTGCCTTGATGAAGGACCAGGTTGACGATTTACAGCGGCGCGGTATTTCTGCTGCTTGCTTGGACTCGACGAAGACCATGAAAGAACAGAGAGACATCAACACATCTATTCTGGAGGGTCGTTTGAGACTCCTGTACTGTACGCCAGAAAAACTCAACAGTACAGGCTTTGTCGAAAGCATGAAGCGTATTCCCGGCGGCGTCCGTCTGGTTGCTATTGACGAGGCCCATTGCATTTCAGAATGGGGACACTCTTTTCGTCCAGACTACCTCAAAATTGCTCGTTTCGCTAAGGAGATTGAGGCAGAGCGTGTCATTGGCCTCACAGCCACGGCTACACCTCGCGTCGCAGAAGATATCTGCAAATTTTTGGATATCAGAGAATCTAATTTGTTCAGGACCTCCGCATACCGACCCAACTTGGAACTTAAGGTGGAAGTTATAAGGCAAAAGAGAGAAAAACTCCGTCCATTGCTTGAATTCCTCGACACCCACCACGGACCTACCCTGATCTATGTAACGGCTCGGGATCGTGCCGAGATCCTCGCAGCCAACCTACGGAATGAGGGTTATGATGCAGCCTATTTTCATTCTAAAATTTCCACTCGAAAAAAGATGCAGACTCAGGAAGCGTTCATGGCAGGTAGTGTCCGTATCATGGTAGCCACGATTGCTTTTGGAATGGGGATCGACAAGGCAGATATTCGGAACGTCGTAAACTACGACATACCGAGCTCAATAGAAGAGTATTCTCAGCAAATTGGCAGAGCCGGACGGGACGGGAATCAAAGTTCCTGCATGCTTTATATCTGCAGGGATGACTTTTGGCTGAAAGAATACTTTGCTCAGGCTGATCTACCCTCTCGACACTCAATTCAAGGACTATTAGAGGACATTTTCCTTAATAAGCCCACATTCAAGCTCCCTGGCAATCGTGGCAGACTAATCAAGCTAAACGAGCAAGAATTAGAGGGAAAGCATGACGTAACTGGCCCAGCTCTTAGTATCATCCTAGCAAAGATTGAACTGCATTTTGGCCTCATTCGTGCCATCACCCCTGAATTCAAGAATTATCTGTTCGAGGCTCCGCCAGAGTACAGGAATCATATCGAACACGATGACTCACCTGAGGCAAAGGCAATTGCTAGTTACTCCACGAGTACGAAAAAATGGCAAGCCATCGATGTTAACGCTATTGCGAGAGATTTTAACCTGGTGTGTGCCGACATTATGGAGAAGCTCAATGAATTCAATAATAGCGGCTTTATTCGACTGAAAGGAACAGGTCTAATACAACGGTACCAAGTGCTCAAGCAACTACCTAGTACACGCCAAGAAATAGAAAAGCTAGCTAACCAGTTGTACACTGAGATGGAATATCGTGAGAAGGAACACATGAAGCGATTCAACACCATTTGCAGCTTATTGACTGACAGTAAGTGTTTCGCATGGGCGCTGACAAGATATTTTGGCATGGACCTTCCAGGAGGAAAGTCGCGGTGTGGGCATTGCACCTACTGCCTAACGGGTGAACCCGCTCTACTACCTCCTAAACCCGAAACCTCTATCGACTCATCGAAGATTCGTGCTATACAGGCTCTTTGTGATGTTCGAGACGACCCTCGATTTCTCGCTCGTGTCGCATTCGGAATCGCGAGCCCCAAAATAGTAGCGCTTGGCTTCAACAACCCCCATTACATGTTTGGATCCCTTAAAGAACATAGCTTCAAGGTGTGTCTTACATTTCTTCCTTTTCTATCGTGCTCTTGGGATTTGCTAACTTGAGCCCATATAGTCTTTGTTAAAGGAGTTCACTAAAGCTTGTGAGGCGTCATAATTTCAAGCTCCTAAGAATTAAGCTTAGTTGAACTTGCATGAAGATTCGCGCGTGAATTACATAGAAGATACACAGTATCTAAGATACGAGACAAACAGTCACCCAGCGAATGTTGGCTCATAGTTATAATAGCTCTAGATAAGGGTTCATGAAGAAAGCAGTAGGAGACCGTTGGTCAGCATTTCATAACAGTTTTAACGAAAGGTGTTGTGCAAATAAAACTCCTAACAGGAGTGAATGCGGCTCTTGAAACAACGTGGTCTTAAACTTTGAGCGCATTTCCATAACCACTGTATTGTGTGTCTAGCTTCCGCCCAGTACTCCGGGAAGGTCGGGGTAATATTCTTAATAAGGGAGCTATGTATAGCATTAAACAAACCAAAACACAAACACGCGGGCTTACTGGCAAGGTGATGCCCTTTTAGCCACCAGTTGAAAAGTTTCCCAGGTCATTGTATCTCTGTCCCTATTCACTCTTTTTCTTGTTCTAGGAAAATGAACAGTTTGTTCATAACAGATGCGGCTTGATGCCCTCGACACATATATTTTGGCCGAGTTTTAGCTGTAACTCACCGAAATGACCAGGTGTTTGGTGCTCACGGTGCAACAATTGATATCCCTACCTTTCGGGCTGTTAATGTCCCCCCTTCCTCCCCTTGCTCAGAAGGTTGCGCCACAAGGTCTCCCTTCGTTTTTGAGTATATGTGTCTCTTCTCAAACTGGAGCTAGGGTTGGTAGATGAAGCCTACCTACTTCCAAGGAGGACAGCGTGATAGTAACTGGTGACGTAATGAGAATATACGTATCTCGAATGATTTGTTTGCTGAAAGGTAGGAGATTTTCGAATATAAATAATCAAGGAAGAGTTGAATTCGTTCATTACACATAACTTTGATCTCAACTCATGTCAACTACTCAAATCATCCATCTGCTACTTTCTGAAGCCTCAAGCATACAAGCTATCCCAAGGCAAGACCTAGAATTGCTCAATCAATAAGTATGAATCTATCGCAATTAAACGCTACAGAGTGCCGCATTAAATTGATACGAAGACTAACCAATATATAATCTGTAGATATTCTGCCCTATCGATATCCGAAAGACCCTGTTACAGCCGCCTCACATCTCACAATGTGTCCACACAAGCGGGCTGTATATTCTTGTCTTCACAAAAGCGAGTATGCTCGGTATTGTGGAACATGCCCTGACTATCCCAATTGTGTGCCGTCGTACCAACCGGACCAACGTGAATTCACCATCAACTACCCATGCTATGCTTGCCGCACATACTCTCCACCCAACACCCACAACCCTGACAGCCTGGACCCACCAGCAGAGCCCAAGCGATCATCAAAGGGCAAGCGAGGAGCCCAGAAGTGATGTCCTATATGCACTATCACTCTCAGCTTACCCGAATTGTGCCCTGATTTCTTTTTCAATCCGGCTGCGTTATATGTTCGTATAGAACTGGAGGGACTTATAGTGGCTCTGGTTGGGTTCCTTATGCCTATCACTCGTTTGTACTCGAGAAAGCAGGTATTCTTTCGTACGAGTTGCTTATTATGTATCTATAGTTGGATCTCTTATGTTTGTCTCTAGTTCTGTGAATCGGGCTGAGCTCTATATTTGTAACATAATCTGTAGAGGGTGTGGTGTTTCCACGTCTTCCACTTGTTTCGGCATTGGGTTGGGCTATTACTAATTATATGAGACTTGGTTGCATCTTTCACAGAGTCATTTTCTATAAACTTGATATACCACCTCACCCTCCCAATTTCGGCTACCTCAAGTGATTATTTATTTTATATTGGCCTGTCTGGCACCGATCTAAAACTGCCAACAGGGGCGCTGCTGTGATTCACGCCCATTGCATGCACGTGCAAGCCAACAACGCTTCTAAGTGTACTGTGCCGCATTATTTATTAGTATGTTGGTTCCATGAGTGTGCGCATTATTAATCCTGAAGTTTCCCTCTCCAAGATTACTCAACAGAGTTACTTAGGAGTTCGGAGTCCAACCACTGGAAGCCAGCATATACGATCTTGTCAATAATGTGAATGTCTGACGGGTCTGCTGTCACGCCAATAATGGGCCTGATGTTATAGATAACTCTAAGAGCTGTATCGAGATGGTCATCATCAGGAGGGCCAAGCTACGAAAGTAACCTACCCGATTCTAGGGAGGGAGGCGAGCCTGGGGAGAGTATGCGCTGTATACATCTATTACACATAACGGCAGATGGACAAACTCCTTCGTGAGGTATATTGGGTTACAGCAGATTTATAAGAATGGGATGCAATTGGATATTCTTACAACAATGGATACATTTACCAACCATTCAACAAGATCCTATAACCAATAATAGCGAGAAGTAGCCGCCGCTCTTCCGTTACGATTTTCTATATGGTCCAATCGAGGGGTCTCTACCAACTTATCAGCATCGTCCAACTCCTCCAACACAACTTAGACCCAAGAGTCTGTTCTGTACCCAGACTGTCCCGCATCATATTCCACGGTATCCTTCACACCTACCCTAGCAAAAGTCTCTTTGGGTATCCTCGGTGTCTCCGAACGGGTATCTCCATGGCGAAAGCTTGTCAAGTTTATATCGTTCTGACACTCAATTCTGACCCACTCGCGACCATCGCTAGTGAGATGACGACTGTCGCACGACTTCAAGACGCTACTCCCAAATGTAATCTTCGGCCTATTTTTGGAGGCGCTAGATGCCGGCATGATCTTGGGGAATAACTTGACGATCAAAGGACGGATCTGGGGCAGACAGGCACATATGAGAGCCACGCTCATTTCGATTGTAGTCCACATGGTCGAGGCGACATCGTATAGGGGATCACGGCTTTTGGCTTGCAGATTCAAGGTCGTGGCCCTGAGACAGGACGTTATGACCACACTAATTGTTGATTAGCGAAGATTTTAAGTTTCAAAGTTCAGATAGCAAGACTTACAAGGCACCAAGTGTGAACACGAAAATCAGCGCGGCCTTCTGCACACGTGGGATTTGAAGCGAGTGCACAAGCGGCATGGGAAGGATGAGAATAATGATGTCGGATGCGATGGAGAAGCCGACGTTTGCAAACCAGAACTGCCCGTTATTGATGCATGTCTTGTTGGTAATTGTCTTGTCAAACGCTGCAGCAACGGGAATGCACTGAAATATCGTCGCTACAATGACTGCAACACAGTATAAAGCGACAAAAGCGAGTATGGTCAGACAGGCCCGTCTGAACCATTTAACGCCGCTAAATATGCGCATATACAGTAGCAGAACCGAGGACTTGGTAAGGTTTATAGACGTCTTGTATGTGATTTGGGTAAGGTAAAAGGCCTGCCAAACGTATGAGCTCTTCTATATTGACAGCGCTAAGTGATCTCAATAAAGTTATTACCTTGAAGGCCTCATATCTTTGACTCTCTGTCAAACTTGCAGCGTGCTTCCCATAACCGTTGTAACAAGCCCAAACTGTAAGCACATCGGTGGTCATCGCAAACACCTTGATACCATCCGTATCAGTTATGAGGTTCTTATCGCCGCATTTGAGATTTGAGAGCACTTACAAGAGATACTATGATCGTATAATCATCTGCTCCCAGTCGTCCGCCAGCCCTCTGCCTTGACCATATCCTAGTGCCTACGATCATAGGGCAGAGGAACGCGAAGATCCAGGCAGGTATATAGATCATAGGGCTATTATCACCAGCTAGATGGCCGGCACTGACATCTCTACTCTGATGTATTATTGCCATATTTGCAAATATTCGGAGCAGTTACCCGTAGGATCATCCTCATACAAAAGCACCTAGTCGCTAGCCGTCCGCACGGAGTAATAGAATGATAGGATATCGATTTGACTTATTTGATTCCCCGGGGTGATGAATGGGTTCTGAAACGTTGTTGGAAGTTGGATAAAGTTCTTGGCGGCCGTTGAACAAGAGATAGACCTTGTATATGTTGAAAAGTCCCAACTTTAGGCACAATATATTCTCTGAAATTTGCTTCCAGAGCTGAATGAAGCAAAGACATCAGGATATAATGGAGCGAGGAAGGGGTGAGCACTACTCAATGAGTGAGGGGGTGAAGAGGCTTGATGGGCTGAAGCTGTGGTGTCTAGCCAATAGGCAATTCTCAACACTGGCAAATGCATAGGTTTGCCTCGTGATCGCACCTTCAAGGCGGTCGTAATTAGTCCTGCCTTATCGACCCTGCTGGAAGCCACCTAGAGTGGGCATAAGCCAACTAGAAGATGGGGCGAATTTCCTGTCTTTTCCCAATGATCGTAAAATGCCAAAAGGGCAAATCGTTGTAAGTCAGGCGAATGGGGTAGCTTCATCCATTCCCGTTCCCGACCCAATCTGAGTGCGAATACTCCCAATCAAGGGAATCAACTCAGCTACACCGAGGAAAAGTGGCTGAACGTTGTATACTAGAGGCGCACTGCTTAGATGTCGCTTGCACATGAGCGAATCGGATAGGATGAATAGTCTGCGATACACACAAGAGAGAGGATAGGCGGCCGGTGTTGTGCATGTGCGACCTTTCGGGAAGCTGCTCACTCACGCGCTCATAGCCTGATTGAACATATCTTCTCCCTCGCTTCCCATGTCTCTACTTCTTCTCGAGTAGATGGGCAATTATGGAGTATCCGGGCGTTAGATGGACGAGATGGGACGAAGCTAGTTTTCCAGACCGGAAATGACACTGAGATCCCCCCGCGACATATTGACATCTGAAGCCAGCCACCTACTGCTCTAAGGATTCTTACGGCCGTCTTCGCTTGAGTGGCGTGCAACTGTGATGCTAGAAGTGGTCTGATGTTTCTTGCAGCACTTAGGTGCTACCGTGATTCATTGTGATGAGTATAACTGGTAGGATAACGGCCAGCCACGCCATATTCGAGAATACTAACCTAGAAAATCCTTACTCAGGTAAGACAACGCGATAATGAGTTTCATGACGCCAGTCGCTCTTGGACGCATTGATGTTAGTAGACTGATTGATCGATGCCGAAATTGTAGAAAATACCAAAATGAAATCACTTTGGTTTAGTCCCATTGATAAGAAATGGTTATTTATCTTGACATAGCAAAATAATTGACTGATAATAGTGTAATTAGAAAGATAACCGGTCGACACACTCTTCTCCTCTAACAGACACAACAGGCAAATTCAAGTCGACATTACATGCCATCTCATGTGACTTTTGCCTTAGAATCATTACAGAATTCACAAGTTATTATATCACTTCTACCAGATCAGTTGGCAGGGCTATTTCCAAGTGATACTTACCTCCCAGTTATGTCAAGCGGTTCGAATATTTGGGTTAACTGCCACTTTTCAACTACCGACATCACTCATGGAGGGGGTGTTTGAGATTTCCTCTCAAGGTCAGGTAACGCAGGTACCAGCTGTGGCGAGTATCAGACATTTCATGTCTCGCCACCAAGCCAGCCGTCAAGTCAGATCTTCACTGATTCCGGTCTCCCAGCCTTTGTGGAGGCGACTATGAGTTGACACAAATGAGGGGTTTGCCCCCCAATTGGCTCTAGCCGTGAAACTGTCTTACATCGCGGTTCGCCGGCACATCACAAGCTAGATGCGGGGGATACGCTTAGCAAAAGAAACAAATGCAGCATCTGATTCATCGACTGTAGTGCTGCGTTGCATTCTATGCTTATCCGCCAGGCCGCTATTTTCTTGGCGGCAGGTAAGGGGGAACCAACGAGCTGTTGTTGGTATGACGATGTCTCATCTGAAGATCTTTTCATGAAAATAGTAAAATACGGCGTATATGCATAGATGGGTCAAATCCCCTCTGGTGAATATAGCAGAAACATGTCTGCGCATCGTTCTAGATAGGATCTACTCTGGTACACATCAGCACTCTCCCTGATCGTTCTCGAACCACGCATCTTGGAAGCGTGGTGGCAGATTGTGTGTACAGGGAGAAAACCCATCAGGTAAAAGCAAAAAGTGTCAAGCTGCGATCTAAATCCTCTCGCTATTCAACCCGCTCAGGACCTATCTATATTTTGTGCTCGCCGTGTCTGTTTTTACTCAGTAGCATCATTGTTCACCCCCGCGTCCTCAAAAATAGCCCGCGCTTAGCTTCACCCGTATCATACAATAATCACACGACTGTATATCATTCGTCCCTCTTAAAATACGCCGCACAATAACGCCACCGACAAGGATCTGTCACCGCCGCCGCTTATAAGAATACGTTGGGGCGGTTCGTCAAGCAACGGTCATGGCTTCCGAGAAGCGCTCGTCGTGCCCTCAGATAGGGGAAGATGTCCTCACCCACCATATCCCCATTAACCCAGATATAGAGGGGGCTACCGATAGCAAAGCCAGCGACACCGATAGAATCGATCCCCATGTTGAGAGACGGCTCCTATGGAAGATTGATCTTCACGTATACCCTATCCTATACGTCGTGTACGCCCTTTCCTTCCTGGACCGCATTAACATCAGCAATGCTCGCATCCAGGGCCTCGCCGAGGATCTCGAGCTGCACGGGAATCGGTTCAATGTCGCTTTATTTGTAGGTTATGCTTCGCTTCAACTTACGACGATCGACGGAACTGATGTCTGTTGCTAGGTCTACTTCATCCCGTATATCCTTCTCGAGATACCCAGCAATATGATTATCAAAAGAGTGCGGCCATGTAAGAACAAGCACACCCCAATAGTGCTATGGATCATGACTAACCCCTCAACAGCCTGGTATCTCTCTGGCCTCATGTTTAGCTGGGGCATAGTGAACATGTCAATGGGCTTCGTCAAGACGTACGCGCAGCTCGTCGTCCTGCGCTTCCTGCTAGGCGCCCTCGAAGCGGGCGTGATACCAGGCATCATCTACCTGACGTCTATGTACTACAGACGCCACGATTTCCAGGTCCGGATGAGCTTTTTCTTCACCTCCGTGGTTGTGGCGGGAGCCGTTGGAGGAGTAAGTACCTATTTCAGAAGAAATCAATCTTCATAATGAAATTCCCATTTTGTCTCTCACCCCCATGTTTTAATTACTTCTTTTCTATGCCTTCAGTGATAGAGCATTCGTTCTTGTGCTATTGACTTACTAACGCGCCGATTTTCTCCTTGTAGCTCCTCGCGTACGCCATCGCAGATCTAGACGGACAGCTGAACATCCGCGCCTGGCGCTGGATCTTCATTATCGAGGGCGCGGTGACTGCGTTCGTCGCTCTGATCGCTGTCTTCCTAATCGTCGACTGGCCCTCGCAAGCACGCTTCCTAAGCACAGAAGAAAAGGCTCTTCTCACTCGCATCCTCGCCGAAGACGGCGGTGATGAAGCGCGCAGTAAGTCTTCACTCGTTTTCGTCTCCCTTTCTCATTCTGCCTTACTTTTCCAGAATTGCAAGTGCAATGGTGTTTGACGCAGGGCATAACAGCGGGTGTTATTTTCGCCTTAGGTCTTGCAGTTTTCACAAACGGACAATACTGATGAACGCTGATCGCCATCTTAGTGGACGTACTAAACAAGCAAGCCTACAAGCTCATATTCCGGGATTTCAAGATCTGGCTCGGGTCTCTGATCTACCTAGGCGTGGGTGCAACGGGGTACTCCCTCGTGTTCTTCATGCCCACCATCCTCGTCGAGTTCGGGTGGAAGGCCCGCGAGGCACAGGTCCACAGCATACCCGTGTATGCCGTGACAGCGGTTGTTATGGTCCTCGTGGCGTGGCTGTCGGACCGCCTCCGCCACCGCTACGGCTTCATCCTGCTGGGCTGTTCACTTGCCACCGTCGGCTACGGCATTCTCCTCGGACAAGACGGGCTTAGCCGCGACGTCAAGTACGGCGCGCTGTTCTTCGCCTCTGTCGGCGGATACATTGCCACGCCGATGGCGCTCGCGTGGCTCTCCAACAACATCTCGGGACACTGGAAGCGCGCCTTCGGCGCTGGGATACAGGTCACGGTGGGGAATATCGTCGGCGTCGTCTCGGCGAACGTTTTCCTCGAGCGTGAGGCGCCGAGGTACCACACTGGGTACGGCACCGCGCTGGCATTCAATTGGCTTGGCGGTATTGCCGCTACGGCGATGTTCGTGGGCATGTTGCTTGAGAACCGCAAGCGAGACGCTGGCGGTAGAGATTATAGACTTTCTCGGCCTGACGAGGAAGTGCGGAATCTTGGGGATGACCACCCCTCTTTCCGGTTTACCCTTTGAAAAGCGCTGAGGTTCTTGACCTGGGGAGAGGGTAATCTTTGTATGTAGAATTGCGACGACAAATGCTCACATGTTCGTCAAAATGCAAATGGATAGACTGCTTGACTTATTTACGATATCATTCCTAAGTACTTCGGAGAACGAAGATAAGAGTGTGATGAGCATTGTGAGATCAGAGTGGGCAATTAGTATTGTAGATTCGCATAGATGGTCGGTACAGCTCCTCAGTGTAGGCTAAAAAGCAGTGCAATCGCCTTATGTCATTTCATTTATACATTATCGAATCTCAACTGGTAACGTCATAACTCCCGAGCGAATCAATCGCCAACAATTCCACGTATGCCCTGTCTTTTGCTTTGCTTATTAGGATTTAGGAAATCAAGTGGTTGGTGATTTCGAGAAGGAGTTAAGGGTCGCTCTTTTAAACTTGGAGGTTACCAGATCATAGATGGCTAGATTCATGCTTGGCTATCATGGCTAGGACAGACCTTGAATCTGGTTTTTACTTAACTATGAACAAATTAACAACTTCTTATCACCCGCTTTGGTTCCAAACAAATTGAGACCAATTACTACAGCAACAGGGGCGATAATAGGCACGGGGAATTATAAAGGCATCGCTCATCGACACCGTCTGTTGGAACTTCATAATTTGATACATATACATCATACATACATACATATAATCCCATCCGATCTCTCGCTCGGTAAAGGACGGCTTTATGTTCTGGGTCTAGCCCAACACCATCCATCCCACTGTTCCCACCGAGGCCCAAGATGTATCAGCCGCCCCCTTCCCCTTGCCTTGACCGAAAAAGAACAGCACTTAGCTCTGAAGGGCTCAGCGTTGACGTTTCAATCTGGCGCAATTATTGTTGTATCAGCCACTCAATGGCTATTGTGACAACAGCAAGAACCGAACTGGCTCCCTATGGTATCTTAATGTGCGGATAGATTTATAGGTTGCAGAAACAAACAAGATCTGCTTAGGGTATATGAAAACTTCTTAAAGAGTGAGATAGGAACTTGATAACATCGGCGGAAGCAGACCGTCATACGACGGTCGCACCGTGTTGGCAAAGCGAGTTGATTTCTTGCTAGTGGCAGCTTGTCCTGCAATGCATAGTAACTCAGGCGTACAAGCTAATTGTGGTCTTAAAGTTCATCCTTGATATGGTCTACTGTGTCCTTGACCTTATCTGTTGCTGATGCAATGTTCTCACTGGCTGCTTCTAAGCCAGAGCTTGCAGCGTCGCTTATGATACTGGCAGCACTGGCGGCTGTTGCTGATGCAACGCTGCCGATGCTTGACGCTGAAGAAAGCCCCGTTGTATAAGCATGGGCAAGTCGTGAATAAACAGACTCGGTATAGCTCGGCTCTTTGCCGATAACTAGCTCAGAAACGAGTGAGCTTACAGCAACATATTGTGATGAAGCTGCTGAGGTGGCAGAAGCAGCGTACTCTTCCACTAGTGATGATGCAGCAGCTACTTGATCAGCAACAGCTTCAGAAGCAGACACGGCCGAGTCTCCCGCTTGAGATGCGTAGTCACTGGCGGCCACATACAGGTTCTCGTACCACGGCGTTGGAGTAGACGCACCGTAGACTTGAGAGCTTACACGGCTTACCAGTCTATCCCAACTCTGGTCGATCACGTCTTTAGCCTCTCCAGCTAAGTCGCCTACAGATGAAGCCATTGATTCTGCGGCTTCACTAGCAGCAGAGACTGCCGATGATGCTGATTCCTGGATATTGGTGGGTGTAGGTGTAGCTGTTAGGGAGCTCACAGCCGTAGAAGCGACCGACAGAAATTCAGAGTAGCGAGCATGGGCAAGGCCTACTCCGGCAAAGTAGTTGTGCTTAGCTTGGTCCAAGAGCTTTTCGGCTCTCTTTTCCGCCCCTTCAAGGTATGTACTTGGAGTTGGCTCGGCGGCCCCAATTGCAACTTTAGCAGAATCATACTGATCAGAAGCCCAGCTCATTGAATCCTCGAACTTTTGTTGCGCAATAGATTGTACTCGTTCCCAATCGACCGACGGGACCGTTGGCATAACGGGGAGTCGCTTGGTAGTGGGAGTGCCATATATATTTTCAGATGCTACTGTCATGGCTTCATTTAGGCGGGAATTGGCTGCGGCTATGGCGCCGAAATATCCATTAGACACCGAACTAAGCATCTCCTCGTGGACAGGTTTTGGTTCGCCAGATATCTGAGCAGATACGGCTGACATGGCGCGAGAATACTGATCAGCTGCTCCAGCTAGTGCGGCCGTATAAGCGGATTGCGCAGCGGATGTGATGCTCGCAGGGGCATCAGACTGAGCCACGGACAGCGCACTCGACGCCGAGGAAAGTACATTGTCATCTAAAATAGGTTGCCGGGTGGGGACGGACTCTGCGGCCGCTCCGAATAGTACTGACTTTACAGTTGTCGAAGCACCTTCTTTATCGATCGTATGGATCGGTAAATCGGGCGATTCTATAATGGTCTCCTCCATCTGTTCAGGTCCATCAACTTGGTCTACGCTACTCAAAGGCTCAGATGGTTCGGCTGCATTTGTGGGCTCATTCACGAAGCGTTGGGATTCGGATTCGGATTCGCGTGTTGTGGGAGAGCTGGAGTGTAGCTCAATGGAACTATCAGTGGGTTCGCCTGCCAAACTTTCCATTGGGGGCAAAGCAGATGTATCAACATCTTTCTGGGCAGCTTCCTCGGATGCTAAGCGCACTGATTCGGCAATTCGTTTCTCGGCTGCCTCGGCGGCTAATTGCATCCTGCTGCTGTCAAAATCATCCGTGAAATCCTGAGCAGTGGCCTTCCATGCTGCAACTTGCTTCAATCTACCCAGCTCCGTTGCTGCTTCGTGCGCAATAGCCATACCTTCGCCCTCGATATTAATGGCCGCAGTCTGGGCTTCCACGAGACCAGGGTGAGTAGTAATCAGACGTTTGAGTTCATCTGTCCACTCCTCGAAACGAGCCCGTAGCTGGTGATACTTTTGCCAATCTTTGTAAGTGACACCGTCCATCCAAGCCCACTTCATACCAATCTTCTGGAGCGCTAGGTCGCGCGTTCTCTCGATAATGCTGAAGTGTTCCTCTGCAGCTTTGGTGACAGCAACTTCTGTCTGTTGTTCGTAGCTCTGACGCCAGTCACGAATATTCTGGGCCTTGTTCTTAATGTTCAGGCCAGCACTGCGAACCGCGGCTGCAACATTTTCATCCGTCATTTTTGAGTCGTTGCTACCACTTTCCAAAATGCTGACAATAGCTTTCTTGAGACTATCGAGCTCGGAGTGGACAGTCGTTTCTAGCTGAGATACAAGGGACTTGCCGATAGTGTTGGCATGGTTCTCGATCATGTCCGCAGAGATCTCATCTACACGATCCTCAATTTCGGCAGCTCCTTCTTCGGCAACCTTCGTGAATTTGTTCTGCCATAGCTCCAAATCTTCCGCGACAGTTTTCGCGGCGAGATCGCGAACTTCCTGTTTTGACTTCGGCGTCTCACTAGGGGTAGATTGAGTATCAGAGGGCGCTTCGGACGCTTGGGGGTACTCTATATCAGGCACTTGCGAAGGGGTCTGTGTAGGCGCAGCAACTGAAACCGTAGTGGACGAGATGGAGACCGTAGGTTTGATAAACGTAGCTTTGGGTGCACTTCTATTCATTGATCAGCAAATAAAGCATTACGTAAGAGTGTAATACGTACGACTCGTTTTCCTCCACTACAGCTTTCGGCTTCTTTTCATTGTACCGGCCTAGTCTTTCACCGATACGAACTAACTGGGGTTCTACCTTCAGGATGTAGACGTCCCGTAGGTGTGGCCAGACTGCAGAATCCAGGAAAGCATATGTCTTATTCCATGCCCAGACTGTAGAAGGGAGGACAGTATTTCGAGTGAGATCGTAAGCAACATCATAACACTGGCTGGCGTAAGGGTGGACAAAGGTGTAAGTTGGGACGATAACTTCGTGGTAAGTCTGGAGAGCATTTGTCCGAGCTATGTCATAGTAGGGTGCGATGGCGGTAGCAGCTTTATCAACATGAGGAGAAATAGTCTGGTCGTACTGTGCCTTGGCCAGGGTCTGGTACTTGAGAATCTGTGGCTGGAGATTCTTTTCCCACTGCGCATGCCCCAAAGCCTGGACTTGTGCCACGCGTGGTCCTCCGTACTTGACAGCATAGGCGCGGCCTGGAGTGATGACTTTGCTATCAAGAGTATCATAGTAAGGACGAGCCAGTTCGACATATGGGGCAGCATAGGCATCGTAGTAGGGGGTTAGGTGTGGCGCGACGGCATGTTTAGTATATAAGTAAGGCTTGCAGATTTTGGGCGACGTCTCGTTGTATTCAGCGGGTGAAGAAGGGCACCAAAATAACAGTGTCAAGATCGTGTACCATGTGAAAAGCCTATATGACAATGTCGAAAAATGGCTGGAGTTAGTCATTTGGAGTCATTTTATCAGACCTGAAGTTGAGGGACATACCTGGCAATGGCACCAGATGACCGAGCAAAGAAGCCCCTCCGTCTCTTGGCAGGTATGCTTCCCTGCGCCGTGACTGATACGGCTGGCCCATGCCCATTGACACCGCTGAGGGCTTTGGGTCCCTTGGGTGAATTGTTCGTCTGGGGCTGGCGCTTGCCATTCATGGTGACAGCCATTACAGCGCAATAGTGTGATGATGGTATGGAAAGGCTTCGGTTCCAACCGTTTCCCCTTTCGGGTTAATGTCGCAAGTTTTCTTTGTTCTTTGTCTGTAGCTGAAGATTCCTCATATAGTAGTGGAATTTGGCATCCAGAGAGAGCGCGCTATGCGCGTTAGGGCCAAGTCCAAAGGCCAGCAAAGCACAGACAGGTCACGATCAAGCCAGCAGTACTCAAAACGAAAGACTGGAAAGTCGCAATAGTCTCGAGGCGCGGACACGTAGAGTGACAAGGCACACACAACTGAGGGGGGCCGAGATGTGCGGAATAGCAGAGCGAGGCTGAGAAGAAGGGAGGCAGGCGCTCAAGAGGGTCGAGAAAATAGAATATCAAGGTCGCGAAAGATAAGGGAGCTTCGACGATGATGATGATGTGGAGTTTACAGGTTACCTACGGTACTTAGCAGGTCCCCACAATCACCAGAACGCCTCTGTGAGCGCGAGTGTCCAGGCAGAGAGTCCAGGCTGCGGGAGGCACATTAGTGGCCGCTTGGCGACCTCCAAGGTGGGTTCGGTTCAGGTTTTGAGACAGCTCGACAGGATGCTGACATCAGTGTCGCTTGTCCCCCCGAGCCCCCTACCAGACCCTACCTAGATACCTACAGGCTACAGTACTGTGTAGGTAGGCTCCACTAACGTACAGCGCCTGCCCCTCCGCCCCAGCATGCGCGTCAGCCAGGACACAGCCAGGATAGAGCCAGGACTGGCCCAGGCAGACCCAGGAGCTTGTGATGGAAACCCATCATAGGTATCGCGTTTCAGCATCTCGACAACCCTGGGATCCTTTCAAGGTTGGCATCCGGTCTCATCTTCTACCCGTTATGTGTCCCGAAGATATCGCCTGGGCAGAATCGATCTAAACTGCCTGTCCTACTTTATGCCTCCTCTTCATTTTCCTCATTAGCGAAGAGGATGTACACTGTGACCTGTCATATCAAATCTGAGTCACAGCTACTTTTGTTTTTGGGGGCCATAGTTTTTAACTATATCGAACTACCTATTATTGGGCTCCCGTTTTGGCACCGCGTCGACGAGGCTACCGCAGTAGAGGGGTGACAAGAGTAGAAACAAGATATCTTGCGAACGAGGTATGAACAGCACGGGTTAAGCGCGGGCTCCTGAACAAATTTACATGTAGGTTACTCTCAAGAGATTTTATACATGAAGACAGACTCTGGCAGACCTAATGGTAAACGACCACAATACACACGTTGCCTTTCCTCCATAGTAAATATCTTCAAGCCAGGCATCTGCACGCCTCGGCATCTTGGGGGGGGCATTGTGTCCGATACACACCACCTCAACGCAACGCCGAAGACGTAACATGCCCAGATGCATCCAATAACTTGTTCACAGCAAATCCGTATACCTATCTAGTGTCGCAACCATCTGCCACGATCACCGGCCACGATCACCGATGACGACCACCGCCACGCCTCTGGATTCATGTCACCCTCGTCACCCTCCAGCTGCACACCCAACTAACATCGTCAGCCAATCAGAGTTGATTGATCATCCGCTAGATCTATCATATTGCAGGGTGCAGCCAACCCAAGACGTCATGATCTAGCAGCTACTACAAAGTATCTAGGTAACCTTAGCGATATCATGTGTCTGGGAAGTTAGATGGACACTCGGTACATATCTAGCACATGTTTTTATCAGAAAAAGGCTCAGGCATGAAGTTCGTGCAGTTTAATAATAACGGTCACACTTAGCTAGGTAGCCCTCATCATTCTGTGTAAATCCTGCTGCTTCCGGTCACGTCGTAAAATTCTACTATCCCAAGCTAATCCGATGTAGCTAATAGTTTGGCTGTTCTCGCCTGGCTGTCCTCGCCTGGCATTTGGCCAGGTTGAGGGGGGAAGAAACCCCCTTTGTTATCAATCTTGAAGATAATTTACCTGCAGCAGTACATGCACTTTCAGGCCTTTTAGGTCGCCGTGCATTACATCAATGTGGCTCAAAACTTAATTGAACTATTCAGAACCCAATTCACATTTTTTTTCCCGAAGGCGCAAAACTGCAAGATCTACCTATCTGGGAGGTCGGCTGCATGAATCAGATGGCTGGATAAGGCCAGATCGATTCAATGAACTATCAAAACATTATTGTTATTATTAGGTGGAGATGATGCCCGCAGCTCTAGAGTCTAGATTGATGACTTGCGCTGTTAGCACTAGGATAGGTCATGTATGACTTCTCTCAATATTTTATCAAAACATTCTGAGATCCCCTACACTTCAAACAGTAACAGGAGATACGCGCGCTTCGACAGTACCCACGGATATCTAAGCCATCATGGTTTGGATGGATATACTTCGTAAGAACTAGCCTGCTTGAGGTGCTTGATATTGAAACACCCAAGACACTTATATCCGGCACTACAAGTCGGCAAGTTGCTTGAATTACTGAATTACTGTAACACGGTATGACACAGTAGGGACAAAGGGCAAACTTGCCGGGAGTGGCACTGTAAAATTAATGTAACACTGTCTGTTGGCACTGTATATCAGTGCCACAATGCAAGACCCTCCATTCATCCTTCCTCCAACCGTCATTGAACAAACATCGCGGCACATCATCCAGGGACCAGACAACACTCACCCACCCCCAAATCGACGTCAACTCTACCTTCAACTTCGATCTTGTTTGCTTCAACCTCCAACTCAACGGCCGAGTCTATAGTCGCTGTTCTCTTCGTCGACCGATCCCGAAGAAACCGTCGCTCCCCAGTTCTCTCGCCACGGCAAGCATCATCGCCGGAACTGGGTCGGGCCACCTTCACTTCACATCGTCCCCTTGTGCCTAGGCCCGACCCCTTACCTTGCACAACTAGCCGCTCGACATTTTAATCAAGCTCACGCGACTCTTGATTTCCCTTGGTCGCGTCTATCCCTTCTCTGGTTGATTCGCGCGCTTGTTGCCATCACATTTTGGTCATCCCTTCATCTATGGTCTCGATACCTACGCTGTAGCCCCGAGGGCATTCCTCGCGAAAGCCTATATCAAAGATACCCCCTTCTTTTGCTCTGGAACTTTGGCGAAGAAATCCTACATAACTCATTCATAATGGATGATCATATTCCAAGACATAGGGGACCCGGCGACACGCTCCATCCTCAGTCCCATCACGTCACACGAGCAGACATCAGGAGCAATATGATAGCCTCTGGCGATCCTTGGTCTGACGACGCCCCTGTGGATATCGATACCTGTCGAATCTGCAGGGGGGAAGGCACCGACGACGAACCGCTCTTCTTTCCTTGCAAGTGTAGTGGGAGTATAAAATATGTCCACCAAGACTGCTTGATGGAGTGGTTGTCTCATTCCCAGAAGAAGCACTGCGAGCTTTGCAAGACTCCTTTTAGGTTCACCAAACTTTACTCGCCCGATATGCCTAAGCACTTGCCTTTCCACATATTCATTCACCACATGACGAGGTACTTGCTTCGGAACTTCCTTGTATGGCTCAGAGCGGCCTTAGTAACCAGCGTTTGGCTTGGTGGGCTGCCATATTTGATGCGATCGATATGGTCATTCTTGTTCTGGATAAGCGATGAGGGCTTGGGTGGCACAGCAGCGCTCCTTGATTCCCGCAATATGGCTTCCGCGCAAGGGGCTAACGCCTTGTCCATAACTGTGGCGGGCACGGGCACGACCATGTGCCCATCGACACCCCTCTTAGCCACGGCCACTACACCTGCCTCTCTAAGCAGTCTTATGCATGAGCTTCCATTATCTGCAATGTTGAAGGCTGCAGGTAGACCTACTAATATTAGCACCACCCATACATGGTTGCGCATGTTGTTCGGCCTACCACCTCAACCTCACGCTCCCGCCCTTGAATTTCCCAACAATGTAAATGTGACGCTACTTCACAGGATGACCAAGACCGTATTATCCGATTCCCGGCGATCTCTTCTGAGTGATGTTGGTTTCTTGAATCGTATAACTGGGAATCCAGCCGTGAATCGAATCATCATACATATACTTGAGGGGCAAATCATCACACTTCTTGCAATCATCTGCTTTATCCTAATTATTCTGGTCCGTGATTACGTCGTCCAGCAACAGCCCGAGATCAACATGCGTGCTGCTTTTGCAGCTGTTGAGGATGCTGAAAACGATATGGCAGCGGCTGCCCCCCCTCCACAGCCAGCACAGCAGGCACCACAAGCACCAGAAGTACCACGAGCAGCACAAGGCCCACCTCTTCCACACATCGACATCCCTATAAACGATTCGGATTCAGACGAGGACAGCAGAGACGATGGGGAAGATGGCGACCAGAACGATAGTAACCCTCTCGCACACGATGAACATAGGGGTATGCGTCCAACCGAGCCTTTGCCTGAAATCATTCGGCCCAACTTGCGACCTAGGCCTATTGTGGGTATGGGAAGACGTCCCATATTGAATATCCCTGATCAAGTTCAGACAAGCCGCGGTTCTTCACCAGTGTCTCCAAGGAGTCCTAGAGGATTCCTTGACGACGGGCAAGCAGGATTTTTGCGTGAGCCGAGTCCACTCGGAGTGGATAGGGATAGATCTTCAGGACAAAATAGGATTGGTGAATATATGCGAATTTACAAGGCTGCCGACGGGGACGATGACAAAATACGCGAAATAATTCGACGAGAAGGCCTTGACGAAGCTCGATTTGGTCATTTGTTGCGTAACCGCTCAGTATCGCCATCATCTGTGGTGGCTGAGAAGGCGTGTAGTGACAGCTCTAGTTGGACTTGGGCTGGCTCTGATGATGAAATTGAGGTAACAACTGCACCATCTACTGTGAATAAGGGCAAGGGAAAGATCAACGATACTGGTGATGAGAAAGGCCAGGCGCCACTATCTCCTGCCAGCCTCATCCCTTCGAGTTCTCGACCGCGGGCCATATCCGACGGACCACAGCCCCATGAAATAATCAATCCCCTGGCCAATAACAGCTGGTCGTTTTCTAATCTGGCTTCCGACGACACTGCTCACACCCATGATCCTGAATCGGATGCATTCTTGTTTGACTCCACAGCTTCTGAATTCGAGAGTGATTCCGCCATCCGATCAAATACTAAAGCAAGAGAGCCCTCGGTAGCTGGCAATCCTCCTGTTATCTCGTCTTCTCCGAACCAGTCGTCTGATCATTTGCCATCTCGATCTGAGCCGGGTGTGGCAGCAGCCCCAGCGAATCTGACAGAAGAGATGCTTATCAATGCACCGCAACCAACGGCCATCGAAGGTGAAGCCGGCTCTGTCATAGCTGTGCGTGGTCCGGACGCAGATACCCGACCTATTATAGCACCTCCGCAGCAACCTAACACTATTGCTGGCCGTGTCGCAGATTTCATGTGGGGTGATGTTCCACTTGCTGATGCTGCTATGAACCAGGAGGCGGTGGATATCTTTGGTGACAATCAGAATCCCCCATTCATGCACGGTGGCCATGGCGATGGAAATGGCGAGGAGGAACTACCAGAGGGAGATCTGCCGATGCCGGAGATCGCAGAGGCTGCTGTTCCTGCCGGCCTTGACGCAGAGGCTGTTGACGATGCCGAAGATTTCGATGGTATCATGGAGCTAATAGGCATGCGAGGTCCATTAGCTGGTCTCTTCCAGAATGCTGTCTTTTGTGCATTCCTCGTGTCGATCTCGATCTTCTTTGGCATATTTGTCCCTTACAATATCGGGAGGGTAGCTGCCTGGGTACTTGCCAACCCTACTCGTCTCTTGAAGATGCTATTCAGCTCCGCCAAGCTTGTCCAAGACGTTGTGCTCCTCGCAGTTGGCTATACATCTACATTTATTTTCAACATACTCGAGGCCTTCAGACTCATTCTAGGAGCCAGTCATGGTAAACACATCTTACGGACCTTGCGACTAGATGCGAGGCAGATTACCGCCAGTGCCGTCGACCGAATTGCGATTAGTTTCACATCCGAGATGCCCCTGTTGTCCAGTATAGAGATGCATAACTTCTCAGCTGTCAGCCATCAAGCCCTTCTCGACCTCAAAGGCAATTTACGTTATTGTACATTGACTTTGGGAAACGTGCTGGTATATGTGTTTGGAGGCAACTACTTATCGAAATGGTCAGATATTCTGGATCTCTGGACGTTCATTAGCTCTACAATGATTACGTTTCTGAGCCATTTACCTCATACCAGCTTGCATCCTAGCTTATGGATGGTTGACTTCAACTCTCCGGTAGCATCCTCACCGCCCAATGCCGCTCTTGCGTACTGGGGTGCTCAAGATAGAAGTTGGGCGATTCTCCTCGGCTATGCTTCTCTCACCTTCCTAGCTGCACTCTATCTTAGTCGGGGAGCGACGTTCGCGACTGGGCAAGCCGCACAAGAATGGGAGGCCTCCATTATAGACGCACTCAACCAGGCAAGTGGTGTGATGAAGGTCATTCTAATTATTAGTATTGAGATGCTAGTATTCCCTCTCTACTGCGGACTCCTTCTAGATTTCGCCCTCCTACCGCTATTCGAGAATACGACTCTAAAATCGCGTCTGTTGTTCGCCTATAATTACCCATTGACTTCCATGTTCGTGCATTGGTTCATCGGTACCGGTTACATGTTTCACTTCGCGCTCTTTGTCGCCATGTGCCGGAAGATCATGCGGAAAGGAGTCTTATGTGCGTAATTTTGTCCCCAGTGCTATTTCGGTATTTGTATTAACCTGATGATAGACTTCATTCGCGATCCCGATGATCCTGAGTTTCACCCGGTTCGTGATGTTTTAGAACGCAACGTTACTACCCAGCTCCGTAAGATCTTGTTCTCGGCCTTTGTTTACGGAGCCCTAGTCGTGATATGTCTAGGCGGTGTTGTCTGGGGCCTCTCTCTGATATTACCGGCCGTGCTCCCCATTCATTATACTTACAACGAACCTGTACTGGAATTCCCAGTCGATCTGCTTTTCTGTAACTTTCTCATGCCTCTGGCCGTCAAGTTTTTCAAACCTAGTGATGGTTTGCATACTATGTACACCTGGTGGTTCCGCCAGTGTGCTTCCGCATTGCGGCTGACATGGTTCCTATTTGGAGAACGACGCGTTGAGGAAGAAGGACAGCTTATGGAAGGTGAAGGTCCCAATTCCTACAGATTATGGCCATGGCGCAATATGTTCCTTGGGGTCAATGTAGAGAGCCAGGTGGCCCCTAAACGTTGGAGAGATTATTTCAGCGACGGGGATTCGAAGCCAGCCACTAAAATAGAAAAAGAGAAGATGCTTATTATGAACGACCAAAAGAAGCTACTCGTTGATTCTGGTAGGCTTGTTCCCGATGGTCGCTTCGTTCGTTCACCTGCATCGGACCAGGCCAAGATTACCAAAGGACATTCGGTTTTTACAGACGTCTCAGAGCAGGAGATGGGGCAGAATTACGAGACCGATCAGTCAGAGGCCGATCGACCAGGGACAGAGCCTCAGTCAAACAACCAGTTTCAAATAGTCTACATACCACCCTGGTTCCGGACCCGCGTCTCAGTCTTCATCATGTCCATCTGGTTTTTCGCCGCCGTAACTGGCGTGGGCTCTACGATTTTACCCCTTATCCTTGGGCGGCGTATATTCAAAGCCCTCGTGCCTCCGCACATTCGTACAAACGACATATATGCGTTCAGCATAGGCGTCTATGTTCTCAGCTCCGCCAGCTATCTCGTATTCCATCTACACGCTGCTTATGACATGGTTCGAGAATGGACAACATCTGTTGTAAGCTCTATGCTTGACCGTAATGTGTTACGGCGAATGATCCGCTTGGCCTATCGTACGGTGAAACTAGCATACGCATATAGTATGCTTCTCATGGTTTTCCCGATCTTGATCACTGCCTTAGTAGAAATGTATGTCCTCATTCCTCTGCATACTTATATGGGGACGAGCGGTACATTACGTCTTGATACTAGTCAAGATGGGCACACTGTTCGGATTATACAGGCATGGACACTTGGCATCCTGTATCTCAAACTAGGCTCACGGGCTCTCACCCTCTATGGCGGACGACCTTCACATGCCGTCCGCGCCGTCCTACGTAACGGTTGGCTGGAGCCTGATGTCGGCGTGTTGACTCGTGCATTCGTAATCCCCGGTTTTGTGGCCTCCGGGATCATGTTATTGATGCCCCCTCTATTCGCATGGGCCACGCTGAACTGGGCCGTCGATAGCAGCACCAAGGTCTCGTACGAAACGCAAGTCTCCGCATACAGGCTCGCGTATCCACTGACAGCACTGTTCTGGGCCGGCTTGCTCATGCTGCGGAGACTGCTCCGCATCTTCGAGGGCTGGCAGATCCGCATCCGGGATGAGGCGTACCTTATGGGGGAGCGTCTTCACAATTTCACGGGCACGGCTGCTAAGGCTACGGGTTGGAGGGGCAGTACGAGGATGTAAAAATAAAGAAATAAACAAGGAAACGAGAGGAAGACGCTGGAGTTCCGCTATCTATCTATCTATCTATCTATCTATGAAGAGTGTACCGTATATAATTGCATGCACTGCGTTAGACTTGGCTGTCATTAGATTAGTGAAGCTAGGTGGTTTTTATGATGAAATGACAATTACATGAACAGGTCTTAAAAGGTTTCTTTTGCTGCTCGAAATGACATGTATTTATCTTTTCCCTTCTTCATTTCATAAGGTCTGACTCGAATAGGCCATATTGACCATGACAGCGATAATAGATTATGCTGATTAGCGTCAACCGAAACCTCTTATGAACTGATTTATCCCACCAGCGAGGAACCATTGCGCGTGTACCTACCTCCAAAGGGGCCTGCGGTGATATATCAAAGTACTTGTTGTGAGGGCAGTTACAGTCTTATAGACAGTAAGTAGCATAGAAGGCACAGATGGGGAAAAGCATGGATGGATATCTAGGTACCTAACTAGTAGGTAAGTACCTTTGAAGCTTTGCTTGGCTGTCTAGTGAGTATATTTTTGATATGTTTGTTTGCCTAGGTGGGTATTTACTGCGGACAGGTAGCTTGACACTTGCAAGGTACAAGACTGGAGGGTGTGGCAATGTACGAGGAGAGGGAGCCACGCCTAAGACCAGATGTCACTAGAATTTGAGAATGACGCTATTCAGGATAGAATGTTATGCTTGTCATGTTCTATATGATTTATTTGACTTAGAGTTGAAATTTTGCTTGCTGTCTGGTTGCGGTTATTACTCAGTTTCGCTGGGTGGTGACATGCTGCTATTCTTGGGGCAGATTCAATTTCCGAATTGACTTTGGCTTAATGATTGTCGAGATTTTTCAGTTTATTTCAATTATTTACTGGACAAGGCGGAGAAGCGGTAAGCTTTTGTTGTTCTTGTTGCGATGTGATAGATTCAAGAAGTTGCTTGAGGTACTACTAGGCTCACATTCATTCATATACCTAGGTCGAGAAGGCTCTCCTCTTTATTGATGATATACATACGCTGAATATGATGTTCATGTATTGTTCTATTAATTTTGCCACTCGGTAAAAGTACTTAGATATGCTAGGTACTTCAGGCGAACTGTACAAACACAACCTCAGAGCCACATTGCCCAAGCAACAGAGCACATTTGATTGCCTAGGCTCTTTCTTTCATTACAGCAGAAATCCAACCCTTTCCCGGCCATACAACTTTACTTTGAAGACAGTGGATTTTCTAGTCGCCGTTCTTTGGAACTCGACACTACACCAACCATGACACAGGCGTCTGAAACTAACCATGGCCTCTTGGCCAACCTGATAGCCCGGGTCATTCTGGCCTTCGTGGGAATGTTGCTCTGCTGGGTACCTGTCCGCTTACTCGTGCGTAACGGCGAGTTCGCAGCGGTAGTGCTGATCATCGATGTGACGATAATGAACACATTCACCATACTCAACGCGCTGATCTGGCACGATGACAATTGGACCACATGGTGGGATGGCACAGGCCTATGCGACGTCGAAGTGTACCTATCAGGACCACTTCAGACAATCTACGCTGCTTCAATCTTCACCGTCATGTATCACCTTGCTCAACAAGTCAAGGTCACTGGAGCTAGACGGGATCGAAGTCTGAGGACTCGGCGTAATCTCATTCAAGCCGCTATCATCTTCCCCATTCCGGCTATCCAGCTTGCATTCACTTATTTCGACTTGGCGCAGCGGTATATCATCGGGACCCTCATAGGCTGCTCTGCTGTCTACGATACTAGCTGGCCGAAGACTTTGGTCTATGACGTTCCCCCAGCAGTATTTGCAGTCCTGTCTGTTCCCTATGCCAGTAAGTGTCCCTAGTTCGGATGGTTGATCTTATCTATAGCTCATGCTGATAATACCATCGTTCAGTACTCCTCTGGAAACGATATCATGTAATCACAAAGCAGACAAAGGGGATCCTCAAGTCCAACAGCCAGGCCTCGATACGCGCCAGTCGCACGCGTCTACGACTCTATAACATGTCACTGTCGATACTCGTGATCTATCTTCCGGTGATGATTTATTTTCTAGTCTGTAATGTTCAAGACACGCTCTCGTCCGACCACAGCTATGACTTCAACAGAATGCGCTGGTCAGCCACGCCATATCCCTGGGACACAATCCTCTTCGTTCCGTCGTGGATAATTCCATCATTTGTCATGAACCAACCTTGGATTCCCATCGCGACGGCTGCTGCTATAGTAGCGTTCTTCGGCATGACCATAGAGGCTCGAAAGGTTTACCGTCAATATGCAGAATATGCCGGGCTGGGACTATGCGTTCGAAGATTCAGGCCACGAAGTGGTCAAGGTCATAACTCAGTTGACGAAAGTGGAGGATCGAGAGAGAGTAGAAAGACGCTTCTGCCGAATTGTGTGCAGGACTGCACTGGAGATCAGTAAGCCGCCATCGCATAGTCATCGTAGTAACCAAAATCTCCGATGTCATGACTAACAACTTGCTCACTTCACCAGACGTGGACAGAGCTCGATCATACCTACGATTGAGCACCCCGATAATGCTCGAATTCCAAAGCTCCCGGCTTCCTCGAACCTGTTAGGTCAGCTTCCTATCACCACGCTCAAAACGCCGCCAATTATACCACCACGCTTCTCATCGCTACGCCCAAGCTTCACCTTCCGAACACCAACTCTGCAATCGATTCGGCGAACCATCAGGTTCGCCTCAGCGCTGAGCGCATATAGAAGCCATGGTACAAGCAGCGCCAGCAATGCCACAACAGGCAACTTGACTGAGTCTGACCACACCAATTCCATCCCCATGCTACCCCTTCCCAGTGTGCGAGCCGTTCGTGCCTCCTTCCTAGTAACAAGCCCATCAATGGATTTCTGGGCCGAATCAGCCGCTAGGATTCCACGTCCCGTGAGCAGATTCGAGATGAGAACTCCTACCAGTGCGCATCAGCGCTCCGCGTCAGGTAGATACAGTGATGAGTGGCAGATAAATAGCAGTGGCCGTGGAGCTCAGAGAGATAGTTTCCCGCGCGAGGTCACATTGACAAGTATTTATACGACGACAAGTGGTACTCATACAAACATGAGTCACTCCTCATCTGGGCCCGATGGCGTTGGTATCGCGAGTTAGTTCATGTTGCCGTACGGCTGGAGAATTATGATGTCCATGTTAGGGAAGAAACACACGTAGCAAGCTACGATCTATGTAGCTAAGTTTGATGTCGAGCGTATCACGCTGGACAGTTATAGTAATTTACAATCCGGGTGATAACTTTCTACAAGTCTCCTTGATCCACGCAGAGTGTACTATCCCCGGTAGGCGAAATTGACCCCTACTTATTAGAGTGTAACACACTAGGACGATAAGTTGTCTTGGCTGCTAGTTTAAGCTCTGCGGACCAAGACTTGGGAGGTACAAGTTTCAGCTGTGAAATAGTATGTCTTTTCTATCGCCGAGGGCATCCGGAGTCAACGACAAGGTGCATTATACAGTCTACCGCCGCTGCATTTCGGAGCCATGAGAGGCAGCAACATCGAGGCTTGCCTACAAAAAGGTGGCATTTCCCGCCCGGTTTCTTCTTCATTCATTCTTCATCGTGCTGTTTTACTTCTGTAAATACAACCGAAACTTTTTATCTATCTTATCCTGCCCAGAGCAAAGAAGGAACTATCAACCATGACGCAACCATTGAACCTCACCAAACCTCATCGCCCAATCAATGTGGGTGTTATCCTCAGTACGTATTCGTCCTCTTCCTGACCTCCCTAAATTCCCCTTAAACAGGGACACCCAGCTAACTCACAGCTACAGTGCAAGGGTTAGTACATCAGGCACTCTCTCGCTCCCTATCTTTCGAAAGATCTCGGATCCGTATCTCATATCATAGAAGACTAATCCCCTGACTAGAGTAACCGAGGTGGCAGACGTCGTCCCAGTCGAAATGCTGCACGGTGTCTCCCGCCACTTTGTTACTTCGTTTCTGGATGATATGGGACCTCCGGGATACAAGGACGGCGCGATCGACTTCAACTTCCTGTGGGTCACAGAGAAAGGAGAAACAACCCCCGCCAATCTAACCTCGGCTCTTCGGGTTCTCCCAACGGTATGTTGTCTAGAACCTAATAAACTTCATGAGGGATAGAGCTATGCAGATATCTCGGACCAGCAACCCCTGATAACTGACCGGCAACAGCATTCCTTCGAGACATCCCCAACCCTCGATATCATCATCATCGGCGCACATACGTACGGGTACACGCCAAACGAGGCCGAGCTCGCCTTCGTGCGCAAGAGCTGGGAGACCTGCGCCGCCTTCATCACCATCTGCGGCGGCGTGGACGTGCCGCGAATGGCCGGTATCCTGAAGGGCAAGACCGTGACTGGCCCGCGGCCCTTCCTCGAGCCGTGGCGCCAGCAGTCGCCGGAGACGAACTGGGTCGACAAGCGCTGGGTGCAAGACGGCAAGCTGTGGACTAGCGGCGCTTTGTTCAATGGCTTGGATCTCATGCACAATTTTATCAAGCAGACGTGGCCGTCTAACGTCCTTGCTGATTACATCGCTAAACTCGGCCATTGGCCCGACCGTGATGTCGACTATAAAGATGTCGATTGGGATTTTTGAGGCGCTGGAGAGAGGATGATAAGGATTGTTTGCTGGTTACGTAGGTACCTAGGCAGTAGGTTTAGGGGTGACATTTTATGTGGCAAATATGTACTGAAATGAGGAGTCGACCTCTCAGTCGCGACCCTCGCAAACTAACTGTACTGATATCCCATATCACACAGAGTGCTGTTATAAAGCTCGGTTGCCCTTGAATGAGAATTTAGCTATGCTCCTATCTCCTTTTGTGTACAACATCTTCCTTGATTCCACTTTGCAAAGTGCACGCACCAATCTGACCTATCTAGGTTCACAATTGATCCCAGTCCCATGACAACGGCCTAGGCATACCACTGTAATGCCTGGGCCACGGCAGTGATCAGTAGTAATGACACACATCAAGTAGTGCCAATCATATAGACCTATGCGGATGAGTCTCGTTCGTAGCGAGATTGTCGAGGCAGATAGATAGAATGAGCGTACCTAGCGTACCTAGTTCTTATCTACATAGACTTAATGTCCATGGAACATATAGCCCCTTGAATCTCGACTTCGATGGCCTCTAACGACTTTAGGAACTCTCGGTTGATTAGAAAAGAGTGGACCACGCGCAAGTGGTCGTACTTCATAGGAAACAACGAAAGCTTGCATTCGTCGTACTGTCATAGATTAAGTCTTAGCGTGCGTATGCCATTCGAGTCCGTTAGGTGGATTTTGACCCATTCTAGAACCTCGAAGGTCCGAACGCGATGGGCATGGCTCTCAAGCTGGATTTCAACGCATTTTATACCGGTTAAAATTTTGCTCTCATAGCCGTCTTGCAATCTACGCCTTGTTAAACTAGAGCAGTAATTTCGTTACTAACTAAGTTCGTACCAGTCCAATGCTTGAATACAAATGCTGTCTACACTTCCATCAAATGGTACTGAATCTAGCATAGGCTTTCCATCCTGTCGAATAGCTTGCGCTCGTGTAGCACGACAAATTTTGAACGCAATGATATCTGCCCATAGACGAGGTTTGAGTAAGTGGATACGTGGGTTTTCTATATTACTACCAATAGCACGTTGTAGTTTGTACGGCTCGTTTAGATATATCTAATATTACTGAGGAATATTTCGGTAGGCATAGATACGGGTTGGAGTTCGATCTTGTCTTCGGAAGGAGACACAGCTGTAGGAGTGTCGACACGATCCCGATTAGCCAAACATGTCCGACTGAATAGGAGTCAGTGAAACAGTAGATCACGGATATCATGTATTTTATCGTCATTCTCAACGTCGAAGTGGTCCAAGTCTATTGTTAACGTTCTCGGAGTTGGAGAACTCGCCATTTTCAGAGTTGGAGTGGCAAGCACAGCTTGTTGAACAAAGACGTATGTCAGATAGTCGGTGCCTCTTCAATCTACCAGAGGGACTTCTGTCCAATTTCCGAGCGGTGAACACGGTGGCCATTGCAAATCCATATCAACCGAACAAGAGGGTCTATAGTTGAATGATACCAACTATGCCTACTTATGTCTGGATCGCACATGTAGTTCTCTGCCTCAAGACATTTGTTTGCAGTCAAGGGATAAGAGAGTTGGAAAGCCATAGTAGAGCTCCCACGTTCCATAATTACCTAATGGGCCCGTATAGTAAGACATAGTTTTAAGACCAAAAGACACAGAAGAGCGATGAGATTAAGACAATTTTCGTCACGCATGCCTAAGCAAATATGTCACAAGGCAGCCACGTGCTTCTATATGTACGATGTGTAAGCGAATTCTCACCGCCAGTGGCCTTACAAAGCCTCCAGGTTACCCGAAGGGTAATACACGAGTAATCTATATCATCAAACACGCAGCACCCGATAATGGGAGTGCTTTTTCGCCCGACGAATATCGCTGTGTATCCCGTGATCTCCCATCCCCAATAATTTACGCCGGTCAAGCAGCACGAGAAACAAGTCATGTACTCAAGAAGTGTCTTTCACGGCCTGTCTTGCTCCCCATCTCTTATACCAAACCAACTCATCCAATACTTGGTGAATTCCTCCTTGGCTGGCTCGCTGCCCGGGTCTTCGAGGAAATGCGTGTCCCACTGATAGATCAGGTCGTTGAATGCTTTCTCCAGGCCTTCCCTGAACGTGATGATTTCGAGGTTGTTGAATTTGCCTCGGGCCATATTTATCACTAAGTCTCTAGGTAAATGAAAGTTCAAAAACATAAAGGAGCAAAAGGGGGGGAGGGGGGCATCTAAGAAATCATAACTCACACATCCAGCTAACAAGATGTCTTAAAACACTCTTCTTCTCAATCCTTACACCTCTCTCCTCTCCTGGCGGGAAATACAAGCGTCCCTCGCCATTCCTCTTATCCAGGCGTTCCCACAGCCAATCCTTGAAGTCCTCAAAGACGTCGATCCACTTCTTGAGAAAAACCTGCTCATTATGCCTCGGTCCTTCCCACCTGTACATCTGGGTCTGCGCCATCTGGGCCACGTAGATGATATCCACGACGAGCACCAGGTCCTTGTGCTTCCAACCTAGACGGCGCCACAGCCTCCACGTGTCGGACCCGGACAGCGAATCATCTAGGCTGCCGATGGACATTTCGAGCCTGACCTCGAGCTCCCAGCATCTCCGACATAGACTTGGCGTAGACTCCGAGGTTACTAGGACGTACTTCTTCCCCATCTTGCAGACGCCCGTGTTGATGAACTCATCGCAGAGCTTGGATTCCGTGGGAGTGCTCTGAGGGTCGGCGTGCGAGCATACCGAGTACCCTTTGTACCGCTCGTAGCACATAATCGCGTGGAAGTTTGCTACTTGGGGTTCCTGGGAAGTAATGATTGGTGGAGGTTGGTAGAGAGGCAGTGAAGATGAGATGTGTAGGAGCAAGCGTGTGCGTGGCTCACTCTGAAATTTTCTTGTCAAGGGATTCAGTATTGAGAGTAGAGCAATAAGTTTGTGTCTCGAGAACGACCCTTATATTGCCCCGAGCGCCAGGCCATCGGACAATGTCGTTGGCTAGTCCGGTTGCTCGTTATTGAGTCGTTGGGCGCGTGCCGCATCGCTTGGTCGGTGACTGACTGACTGACCGACTGACCGACTTGACACGACTTTGTCAACAAGCAGTCGGACAGAGCCGCTACCTGGACAGCCCCCAACAATGTCGCACAAATGGCCCGGGCAAGAGGCAAGGGGTAACAAGATCCCGGGCCCGAAGTCGCGTTGCCCCGGCATCTTACAACGGTCGCACGGGACGAGGAAGAATCTTCGAGAAATATTGGATTACCCCAGAGGTTTATTCAATTGATTGTGTGCTACTATTGTTGACTGGTAAGACCTTGTGTTGTTGAAGAAACCCGGAACTGCGGTTGAGGGACAATGCTTCGGTTCGGTGCAGGCGGCCGCTGACAGACAAGGCAAGCAGGCCAGATGCACGGCGCCTCGGATTCGGAACGTGTCACACTCGTGTCGCGCAATCAGTCTGACTGCACCCAGCGCAAGGCTGTGTCACACATCGGACACACAAAGATGGAAGCATTCGCCATTGGAGCCGGGCGGGCGTAGAGGGTCTGCCTGCTGGCTATAAGGCATGCATGCGCATTGAACTACGCTGTCAGCCTCGGGAGGGACACAGCGTCCAGCTTTTTCTGTATTTTCTAAGCCTTCTTTTGGCCTTCCTTCTACTTCGTTCTTCTTTAACAAAAGGCAATATAACATTTACTCTTTAGTGTAATCATTTCGCAGAATCCATGCCCTCGCGCAACGTCGCGATCTGCTTCTTGATTTCAACCCATAATACTAGGCTGTCTAGGTCATCCTCGCTGTCACTGCTGCGGACACTATCATTCATATCATCCTCATCGTCAGATACGTTACACACGACCCAGCCATACTTGTTCTCTCGTTTCAGCAATTTCTTACTGAAACTTTTTTGGTTCGTCGATCTTTCAGTTCGTCGGGCAATAGCCAGGAGTGCCGCCACGAAAGCCTCCTGCATATACGCGAAGCTGAATTTACCCGTGATGTCGGCAATAGCCTCGCACAGCTCGTCGGGGAACTCGATGTCCTTGTTGTCGGCCAGCTTTCCCTGCCAGAACTTGCAGTACGCGACGCGCTGCTCCTTGTTCGGGTCCGGGAAGTAATACTTTCTGTCGAATCGCGAAGGGCGTTTCTTGGATGTATTAGCTGTCGTTCTTCAAGCAATTGTAATCTCACAGGCCCTCGAAACGGTTTAAAAAGAAGGGAGACTATAAGGGATTCATGCGAACTTACAGAGATGCCGGGATCTAAGCGGTCGAGGTGGTTCGTCGATCCGACCATGAAAATACCATCGTTCGCCTTGAGACCGTCGACCTCGTTCAGGAAGTAGCTGCGCACCCCATCCGAGACAATGCTGTCCAGGTCCTCGAATACGAGATAGCACGGTGCGTACTGTCTCGCTTTCTTGAAAATATCGCCAAGTGCACGCTCAGGTCCACCATACTAATGACATGGGTGTTAGTGGTCATTCAGTAGCCATGGTATCATGAGTAGGGCGAACGACTCACAGAAAATAAAGACCGCACATACAATGTCGGGACAGGCTGCTTTCGTTCATGCAGCATGTGCATGGTAGCTTTGATGGAGATAGTTTTACCATTACCAGGTGGCCCGTAAAAAATGACGCCGCGCTTCCACGGCACCTTCAAGCGATCGTACGTGTCACGGGATTCGAAGAACGAGCTAGGGTCCTCAATGATGGCCTTTTTTATCTCCTTGTCGAGAATGACCTTGTCCCAGGACGCTCCCAGGACGCTCTGGAACAGCTCGGTGCTCTTTTCCCAATACCCCTGGTCGAATACCCATACCTCTTCATGTAGCTCATTAGCCCAACTCCCCGCAGAAACTAGCAAAGCTTCTGCAGAGGCGCGTTTATCTGTGAGTATATACTGGTTAGTAGAGCCGCCGTAGGGTTCGGCTCCGTCGCGGCCATCAACGACATACAGCGTAAAGTTGTAGTCGCGCCATTGATACTGGAATATGGCGAATTTGAGAGTATCATTCAGCATGCCCTGGTCACCATCGATGCGCCGCAGCGGCGGCACGTACTCAGTCCATGTTAAGGGGGTGAAGATGCCGCCGTTTTCGCCGCCTGGGCCCTTGACGACAACGCTGCAGGTAGCGTTGCCGGCGCGAGCATAGTTGAGGAGACTTAGATTATTGGTGTGCGGGGCGATTACCAGCTCCTGGGTAGGATACTGGCGCGCGAGCGACTCGGCGATAAAAGTATCGGTATTAATGCGCTTGGCCGACGAGTGGGAGAACCAGGCGGCGTTCGTGTTGTCGGGCGGGTTTCTCAACTTCGGCTGGGACGTACGTATACAACGCCCCGGATTGGTAGCGTTGGGATCCTGCAGCCCGTTAGAATAACGGGAGGGACTGATCGAACGCGCGTAAGGGTTCATTGAATACATTTTTAAATATGAATTTTATGTAACTATAAGTATAAATTTAACGCATCAGCTGGGAAGAGAGAGAAAGTTGAGGAAGAAGCATTGATAAAAAGATGAGAAGCGTTGATAATTTAATGACCCGCGTAAACTACCTAAGTAAACTCTTTTGGTTTGAATTTTGGGGACTTAACCTAAATGGCTGCCTAAATCGTATATACAAATGTATATGCATGGTCGATCCTAACCCTTCGGGCCTTCCAAGGTCTTGCATAAGCTGAGCCTCACTTTAATGGATAATACGAATCATCGAATTCTCGAATTCAGTGATGCAGCCCGTAAGGCTTGCGTGTATATACTATATATCATGTACATTTCGTACATTCAATAGGTAGGCAAGCATTCTGTCTTCTGTTCCCGTTCCAGCGGTAATCACGATAAGCATCTGGCGATAGAGGACTGCTGTATATGGATTGAAAGCTCCGACACGCCTGCGCTCAGTAATGATATGCCGCAGTCACCGGATTTAGAAATGAATCCATTTCTCACCAGTTCTATTCATCCGGAACGGGGACTATAGATTATCACGAAGAACCTCTTGGGCACCCGCAAGTTTCGCGACGCGTACTGAGCAAACCAGGTACTCTTTAAGTTTACTTATATATGTTGCTGAAATGTTAACCCGAATGAGAATCACAAGCTGAAGAGGAAGCTTCACGATTGTCCAAATGAGTCTCAACTAGAAACTTGACAATCACCAAACCAACGCAAATAGTGTTAAAGCTTTCATTCAATTTGGCCTATCATGATTCATTTAGAATTCCGGTACGTATCTTAGTCGTCCATTGATGTTCTTCGTCATAACATGTATCCCGTAAGCATGGGACTTTTTAGAATTGTCACATGCTTTAAGAGAAGGTATTTGTCGCCCAACATAAATCATTCCGTGTACGTACATTAGCTCCGTGATCTGTTCTCTATGCTCAACAATTGATAAACATAGCATCAGCTATAAAGCAGAGGAGGCGGGACAAAGTCATGGGAAATGGCGCATTCATTCGGTCGTGAATATCATGACCACACCATGAGCAGCAAGGGGCGAATAGAATGAATTAACGGAGAATTCGGTTACACGGTCAATGTGTCTGTTCGAAGGGATACGTTTCATCTGTATGGATGCAAACTATTTTGATAAGTCCTCCACTGCTCAGCGTTATGTTTTCACCGAGTTATCGCGCATCAGCAAGCAGCTTTGATTGACCCTATGTGTGGTGCCGCCAGGGAGTGATTTTCTCCTCTGTTCGGTGCAGGCAGTCTTGACGGCAGGGATGTAAGCCAAGCCCATCTGAAGCAAGGATTCAGGCATTCTATTCAAGGGATAGTGAGCGGGAATTATTCGATGTGATAACAAGTTGAGATAGGTTAAGGGAGGAACCGATGGGAAAACACACTACAAGGGCTAAATAAAGCTCAGGTGCTCGACACGCGTGGGCCAGAGAGGATAGACATATCTTCGCCGGTTGTTTGATTCAATTTGGGCTTTGCTAAGCGTATTGTGATTGTCGGTGCATCTTGATATGATAGTATATACTAGAAGAGGAATTATTGAGACGTCCTGTCTGGTCTGAGAGGTTGCCCAACCTGGAGTACCTCGATGCCAAAATTTCAATGAAGTACTGAATGCAGATAGATGAAGATATTGATAGTCAGTAACAAGTGCTATCGATCCATGACGCCCATCGTTTCTAGCAGTTCGCGTCAGCCGGGTAATTCCAATCGCGGTTGGTCATATTCGGTTATTGGCCGCTTCTCGAGAGAACCACGCTTACGAGTTACAAGTTCGCGTCCTTCAATCTCTGCCGGCTGTTGCTGCTGTTGCTGTTGCTGGTCCCTCCTTCTCCTACGGAGGGCAACCCAAATTAGAATGGCCACTAGCACTATACCTGATGCCACACCGACACCTATTCCTGCGGCTGTACCTGCTGACACTCCTGACACTCCTTGTGTCATATCCATATGTTCTGATGGGCTGGAGGCTGGAAGTGATGCTTGTGTCGATACCGTTGAGACAGACGAGGTAGAAGAAGTCGGCTGGTTGGAAAAGCTTTGAGTAGTTTCAGAGCTTGTGGTTGTCTTTGAGCTCACAGGAGCAGTGGCTATTGTGATATTGAAGAACGGCGAGGGCTTCCGAGCAGGCGAATTGCTATCTTGCAACGAGAAGAAGAATAGGGCAGAGTCTGCCAATAGGAGATTATACGTCTGCACAGTCCAATAGAAGCTCTGGGGCAGATCCTGTCCAACATTTTCTAGGATAACATGTTAACTTCAGTCCTGTAATGATGATAAGTTATTTGAAAGAGCCATCTCTTACGATTGTAGACAATATTGGCTGCCTTTATCGCGGTAGATTGCAGCGGTTGTTGCCAAAGTTCGATCTTGTATGCTGTCCAATTGGTCTGGAATGCCACTAGCTGGCTTGATCCGAGTTGCCATCGTGCATTAGAACCGTATGGTCCATGCCCGTTTGGGGGACCAGTTCTCGGTGAGACGAAATGGCTTTCGGCTACAACCCGAAGTGACATTGCGAGCCATAGGAGCAAAGGGTAATGCATGGTTCTCACTAATGTTCAAATATGCCGTTGAGGACAGACTGAAGAAGGGCCAGACGAGTCGGTAGTGAAATACATTGATTAGACGGCTCCTGATGAGAATTGTAAAGTCAAGTCAATCACCAGGCTCTCAATCGGAAAAAGGGAAGTATCAATACATCGATACCACAGCCCTTAGATCATTCTCTGGAGTAGCCGCCTCTAGCCTTGTGCCTCCAGACATGGGTCACGACCATTTGTCAGGGGTTAGGCTGTTAGTCCCCTTGACTCTTCTGAGATACGGCCGCGTATGAACCCGGGTTTTCGGGTAAGGTGGAAATTTCGGTTACACATTCACCAGATCAAAAGCCTGGTAAATGATTTGATTGCACGAGAGCACCTGTGGATTCCAGCTCCTGATCATGGTACCAAATAAAACCGGATAACCACATATGAACGCTGGATAGCCAGGGGTCTCCTCGTTGAGTTCAGGGATAAATAGGGCAAGAGTATTCCACTGATACTCCGCAACGATCTCTCCACTGTCTACTGTTTATTCTGTGTTTTCTGATTGCTTTTCGATTGCCCTTAGCGTAAGGAGTTAATCCAGGCTCGAGTGAACTTCGTCTCACATTGTCTTCGCTAACTCTTAGCCTCCCAACTATTTCCAAGTGCCTAGGGATGATCGGGAATTTCAAGATCGTGCCACGGCCGCCACGCCGGACCTTGATTTGTCTACTGGGCACTTGCATTGTGTTAGCAGCCTTGGTCGTGTGTCGACATACTTCGGAATCTATATTCGAAATCCGAAGCCGAGAGAACAACCCCTTCCTATCAAACCACAGGATTATGCATTCGACCATAAACGATACCTTGGGCTTCTCCAAAGTCTTTGTCGTGGGTTTGCCCGGGCGCACGGATAAACGCGATGCATTTGCCTTGACAGGCACCCTCACTGGGTTCCACGTGGAATTTGTGGACGGCGTTCAAGGCGAATCAGTTCCCGACAAAGCGCTGCCCGCTGGAATTGACAGGCAAGCGCTAAGAAATGAGAACTTAGGGAGTTGGAGAGGTCATATGAACGTCGTGAGGAGGTAGATCAAGAGGCTTGGCTTCTTCAGCAAAACCTAGCATGAGTCCAGGCTTACACAATGCCGCCAGGATAGTTGAAGAAGATATAGAGTCTGCGCTGATTGTCGAGGATGATATGGACTGGTAAACGCTTCATTGTTGCTATCAAAAAGTGCCAAATGCATGAAAACTAACCATATCATAAGGGACGTGCGCCTGAAAACCCAGCTAAAAGAAGTCGCTCAAGGCGCTCGCAGCATCTTGTCACCTACCGGTGGTACACAGCTTTCTTCGCCTTATGGTGATGATTGGGACGTACTATGGCTGGGCCAGTAAGTTGATATTCATGCCTCCCGCTAAATCATGGGTCCAAACCAGCAACAGCAAAATGACTAAAGCAAAGTTGAAGCTGCGGCGAAATATTCCCTGAGACATTGCCCGAAAATCTAGGGAAGCCAGAGTATCCCAAGTATACTATCTATAACGACGAGACCGTGCCACCTCTGAGCAGGATCACTGGCCTTGTGGACTTTACCCGGTACCCGGAATTCACACGCTGGATTCACGTGTCGGGAGGTCCCATATGCAGCTTCGCGTACGCGCTCTCACAGTCAGGCGCTCGCAAAGTCCTCTTCGATTTGTCAGTGGACCACCTCCGAGGCGCATTCGATAACGCGCTTGCCGACCTCTGTAGGGACGGAGCATCAGGCAACCCCGGTGGGCTTCGAGCCAAGTGCATCAGTGTAACGCCGCCAATCTTCTTCCATCATCGAGCGAAAGGACGTGTCACAAGAGACAGCGATATCCAGGATTTCGAAAGTGAGGATCAACCTCTACGCGCGAAGGGGACAACAGAAAACATAGTGTGGAGCGCGAGGAACAATATCAGGAACATGATACTTGGCTTGGAGATGGAGAATCAGTTTGAAGGCCAGTCGAGCCATGATGGAAATATGCACATAAACTAGCTGACTGACTGTCTACCAGCTTCCCCAAGCCATTCCTGTTAGTTGTCCACACGATGCGCTTAACTCCGCAGATAAGGCTATGACCTGAACTGCGGGTGCAAGATGAAGCTTGATGGTCTTTCTACCGGAGGTTGAGCGAGGAACGTTACCTCCAATATATACATATGTATATATGTAGTCAGGAACCTACAGTGCCTAAGTACATACTGGATTATCGTGGTAGAGAGCGTGCTCTTTAGTTCATAATGTGCACTTACAGAAGGTGTCAATGGTGCAGCCATCGGGTGTAAGTACCTAAGTACCTACAGGTTATATGCATGTGTGTCGTCATCTAGGCAGCCGAACCGAGCCTACCCCAGCCCCCGTCTGTCGGGTACTTTAAGTGCCTACCTAGGTCTGCTAGGTGACCTGCTACAGGTATGTACCTAGGCGAGCTAGGTACTGTCAGAAGCCAGTAAAATGCGTTGTGGCTGCGCATGTTGTTCCGATGTACAGTAGTACTACCTACTCTAAGTACTTAGGTACCTACCTAGGTCAGACTAGGTACCTACTTACTGAGGACACTAGTCTCACTTGATCTCAGCTATTGAATCCCAAGAGCCAACACTCATCGCGATCGCATCTGTTGGTAACGAGTCCATGATACCCTATTTCAATGCTTCTTGAGAAGCACTAACTGACTAACGCCATTTCTTTTCTTCGTCGCCTTGATTGGCAGACTTGCGTTCCTTTTCTCATTCCCTAACTACTTACCTTAGCTTCTGCCTAGTTCACCAGACTCGCTCGTTACCTCTCAAACGGCGCATTGAGCGCTCATAAAGAAAAATGCGCATCACCGCGATGCTATCGCCGCCGGTATCATCCGTCATTCTCTCTCTCCTAGCCCTTGCGTCTACTGCAGTCGCATCCGATGCCGAGTCCACCTCGACAACAACTGCTTGCACAGCTTCCTCGACATCCGGCGCCTTCTTTGATCTGAGGCCTGACGCCGCCATAAAACCAAAACCCGATGGCTCCCGGCCCTCCCATAGCCGCGGCGCACCTTTAACCGACTACAAAGCGAGGGGCTGGGACTATGGCTCCAATTTTACCTTGAACATTTGTAACGCAGTCGTTGAGCCTATCGAGGACGTGAAGGATATTGCGGCCAGCAAGTGGCAGAATATCAGCGCGTACTATGTCTCCGAGGGAGAGTACTACAGCCTGGGCTTCCAGTCGGGTAGCCTGGTGACGCGTGGAAAAGAACTAGTTCTACAATACACCGGCGGTTCCCCTTGTGGGACGAAGCGAAAGTCAACATCACGGAGTTTGAGTGACAGAAGCACTATCCACTCCGGCGCAGCTTACAGAAACTACGAGAATGAAGAAGACGAACCGTCCTCTTCAACGCCAGAGGATAGTAACGACGGCGACAGCAACAAGGATGATGAGAAGGACGGCAAAGAGGATGGCAGCAAGGTCGACGACGACAAGGGCGATGATGATAATGAAGATGATGAAGTTCGCAGGAAATCCACCACCATCTTCTTCGCCTGCGATAGAGATGTGGTCGGCGGAAATGCCGCCGTCTCTTTCATCGCCGTCGATCCCGAAGAATGCAACTATGTCTTCAAGGTCAAGTCGGCACATGCGTGCGCCACCGCGGAGCCGCACAAGCCCGGTAGCGTAGGTCCTGGTTCGGTTTTTGCCATCATTCTGGTTGTGGCCGTGTTTGTGTACCTGCTGGGTGGTGTCTTCTACAACCGAACTGTCGGAAATGCCCGAGGCTGGAGACAGCTACCGAACCACGCAATGTGGCAAGGTATATGGAGTTTCATCTGCGTAAGCCGCTCCCAAGTCTCAAAGGACTTACCGCCGCTTAGCCCTCGGTATGATTAACTTCAATCGTAGGACATCTTTGTCATTGCTACATCGTCCTGCGCCCGACTATTACCGAGTCGGCGAGGATACCACTATCTATCGGGGTCCTCCAGCTCGAGGGCAAGGAACAATCGAGACGCCGAAAATCGTCTGATCGATCAATACGATGAGGAATGGGAGGATTGATGCTATAGTCCACCAACAACAAAAATGATAGTTTTATTTAGCTTCTGTTTTAGCAACAACTAGATGGGCCCCGGGTCCTCCATACTTATATACGAGATGCGAGGCAATGATGGTAGGTAGTCCTTCAGGATTCTCGGCATGGAGATCGTGAAGGCTGGTGATCATGATGAGATCAGCACCTACTATTTTGGGTTACCAGTGGCGTTTTTTGATTGGACGGCGGCATCAAGAATACAGGCAGTATATGGGTGTGGGTGTGTGTGGTTGCGCATGCGGTCGAAGTCATCCGTCTACCATGAAAAATGTATCTACCTACCTACTCATTGTGCTCTCTTCGTCCTGTATGATTATAGCCTATGCATTGTACATAACAAGTCGGAAATTTTAGGCAATCTGCACAATCCAATCAAGCGCATGGGTATTCGTGGAGGCACAGTACTTACTTACATAGAGTAAATGTCGATTATGCGAACTCCATTTGGGCCAAACCAGCGTCTGAGTTTTGTTGGGTCTGTCGATGTTGAACCAGGATAACAAAGATCTCGATGGGTCCTCGTCAAGAACCATGATGGCGCAAGAGATTGCTGCGTATTTAATCGAACCACGTCAGTGTAGCCCATCTGATCATATGTGCGAGAGAAATAGTCCGCATGAATCCATCCCCAAGATAGCCGCACTAGATTGGACGGACAAGAATGGATTTGCAAGCAGATCCAGCAGATCCAGCAGACGGACGGACCGATAACCTGGCTGTGTTCGCTGTGTCTGGTTGCGTCTGGTTGTGCGATTGGGCTTGCGCTCTCAATCTGAGACACGTCGTGTTTGAAACCTGTACCGATTGGGCTGGTCGCCGGCCAATGGAAGGAATTTGGTCTGGACCTCGCCGGAGCATTTGGCCTGCGCGGTGCCACAGGAACCAGGATTCGACCATCCTATCTGCAACCTTCCCCTTCCGCTGCCGCCGTGGAGCGTGGAGCGACCAAGCCGCAGACCTGGTCTGACCTGGCTATCCTACCTAGAGTAAGTAAGTAAGTAGGTAGGTAGGCATTAAGTAGACTGGCATCATGATCGTGGGCCACAGGATGCATGCATTGCATTGTGTACAGGACCTACCGAGGTAGGTTATATCTAGCATCAAGGGTCCTGTTGCAGGCATACCTAACCTACTCCTTTCGAGGTTGGTTCGCGATGCGTCTCGCGCCAAACCAACACTTCTCTTCTTGAGTGTTATCTCTTTCTCTTCTTGTTTCTGTGCTCGTCACATTCTTTTCTATCGTTGAATTTCTATATTCGTTTCTTGTATATACAGGTTATATCTTCTTTTTCTCTTCTGCTGTCGTTATCGTGTTGATCATGCATTTCTCGACCTTTCTTTCTCTTACTTTATTACCGGCAGCTTTTGCCAAGGTGCAGTTTCTGGTAAGTTGTATTGCAGTATTCAGATAACAAAAATGAATGTGACGAGTTGCTAATTGAAATGTTCACAATCAGGGAGTAGCTATAGCTGGAGGCGACTTTGGGTGTCAAATTGATGTACGATAATCCTTCGCAGATCAATTAGTTCCGAGGGATTCCGCTGATTCATATGCAGGGGACGTGTCCTCCGGAATCCGCACAGCTACCTTTAAATGATGGACCGAACCAAATGAACCATTTCGTGAAAGAAGATGGAGTAAATCTGTTGAGGATACGTATGGATTATCATCTACCTGGCTGTCGCAACGGGGCGCTGATCGTGGAACAGCAACATCATGGCAATTTCTTGTAAATGGTCAACTCGGTAGCGATCTCGATGCCTCGAAGCTTTCACAGTATGATCAACTAGTGCAATCATGTCTCGATACCGGCGCCTATTGCATGATAGATATTCACAACTTTGCGAGATGGAATGGGCAGATTATCGGTCAAGGCGGTCCAACGGACGAACAATTCGCCAGCTTCTGGGGTCAGTTAGCAGGGAACTATGCCACCAGCGACAAGATAATATTCGAGCTTATGAACGAACCTCACGACCTTGACGTAGGAATCTGGGCCCAGACTTGTCAGAAGGCCGTTACGGCCATCCGCGAAGCGGGAGCTACATCGCAAATGATATTACTCCCCGGTACGAATTTCGATAGCGCGGCGACGCTAGTATCAAGTGGAAGCGCAGATGCGCTTCTTGCTATCACCAACCCGGATGGAAGCACGGATAACCTCCTTCTAGATATTCACAAGTATCTCGACGAGGATAATTCCGGCACCCATGCTGCGTGTACCACCGACAACGTGGACGCCTTTACGACGGTGGCGGAGTATCTGCGAACCAAGGGACGGAAAGGTTTCATCAGCGAAACTGGCGCTTCGAGTGATGCTTCCGTAAGTTCATCCATTCTCGGGCAAGCTACATCTATGGATCATTTCGGAACTAATATGAAAATAATCAAAAGTGTATACCAGCATTCTGCGCTCAAAACACTTTCATCAACACCAATTCCGACGTATTCACAGGCCTAGTAGCCTGGGGCGCCGGCAGCTTCAGCACATCATACGTACTAAGTCTAACACCAACGAACCAAAACGGCCGTCTCGTCGACAGCACGCTCATGACACAATGCGTCCTCGCGACCTGGAACAACGCACACAGCAACAACGGCACCATCCCCACGCCGACATTATCCTCGACCAGGCCAACCGCGACGAGTTCTAAGGCCACGTCAACAATAATCACACGAGCCTCGACGTTCATCTCAGCGACTTCGTTACCCACACCCCCGGCGTCGCTGACCGTGTCGCGTGGCCCAGCGATATCCCATATCCCAAGCAACGACAATAGCTCCAGCTCAGCTGCTCCAGGGTCAACCATCAACACCTCGGACGTACTCATTCTCACGGACGTGTTGCCTGCGAGCACCATGACGACGCTCGCCATCGCCACGGGCACCCCGCCCTCGCGCTCCGGATTCGGCGGCCTGCTCACCGCGCAGTCCGTGCCATTGCTGGCCACACCGACGGGGGCGTCGACGTCCGCGTCTGCTTCCTCGACGCCAGCTGCGGCGGAGGGCGGTGCTGGATCGATTGCGGTGGGCGCACTTACTTTATGGAGTGCTGTGTTTGTAGCCGTTGCTTCACTTGTTTAGCGAAAGAGCAAATTGACTTTTAGACCGGATACCCGAGAGCGTTTTGCCAGCATTATCATTCTTCTGCATGCACTTTTCTTGCCAGTATCCAAGCTCCGAAGTATCTGTATATAGTGATCCTCAGCAGTGTAGATAGTGAATGTGTTTTGTCTCGAAAGTCTCTATGTATATTTAACTGTATCACTCTCATGTCAATTACTTATCCCCGGTGTATTAGGCAAAGGCTGTTAGGCTTCAAGTCTGTAGCTACAAAGTTCGGCATCAGTAATGTCTCCGGCAGCAACAATTAAAAAAGCAAGGATGAGGAATCTCAGCCATATCACTGCCCCTTCCCTTCCCTTGCACTCTCATGATGTGATTAAAAATAGCATCGACCTGAAAACGAACAACTCCACTGCGTCGCTTTATTCATGTTTAAACCTGCAAATCCTCGGGTGTCTTTCACATTACATCCATTTTCGTGTCAGCCACGAACGCGCAACTTAGATGTCTTCACGCATCATCCGCAATATCTACTACACATCTTTAACACTATTGACCCGTGATGCCTTGCCAGATATCCCAGATGGGGCCGTACCGAAAGACACCACCAGTCGGCCTTATGGTGGACGAGTGCACTTCGGCGATGGTGTTGTTATCAACATTGGCTATGCGTTGTTCTTCGAACTCACCGAGGACGGCAGGAAGATTCAACGCACTATGAGGATATTACTGCTTGATTAAGCGCGCTCTAAGGGTGATGCTGTGAAATATGACAAGTCTCGAATGCTGCTGAGTGAGACAGGACAAGAGATGAGAGTTGATCGGAGGGTGACGCCACCTCAGTGAGGTCGCATAGACCTTGGATAAAGGGTAGAGGTGATGGCGAGTGGGCGTAAACGGGTAGCGGCAAGGACATCGTATGGTCGGTCAATCAACCTAATTTCTTGCCCGGGATGATCAGAAGATGACTTCATGAAATCATCCTCACAACCTCGCCTGCCTGCTTGAGCTGAGCACAGAAAGATGTTAATGTGTCCCACATAGATCCCTCTGAACGAGATGAGATTATGCGGAGTTCAAGCTCCGCCTTGCATATCCGATTACTCCCACGATATTGCGGCTCAACAATAGCGATTTGGCAAAGATATAGTTAGTTCATGTTGTTGCCATCGACCGTAGTTATCATATCAAGAGCCAAGCCAGGCGAACCATTCTGTCACTCGTGTTTGAGGCATTCTTAGCGTGAATCGGGTTATGCAGGAATTGAAAGTTGATAGCCAGGACGAATTTTTTATTTTATTTTTACCCCCTTCCTCTTATCCTCAATGCATGAAAAGCTTTTTCAATCCTCTAATGAAGTTGAGTTAGTTGGCTCACCTCGGTGTGAGGAGGTGTAGCGCGAGGTGTCAATGTTTCATTCCATGGTCGGTTTGCTCCACGTGGAGGTGGTACCTTGCAGGTGGGTTACTCGGAGATGAGCTCCGAGGAGACTTAAAAGCAACCCAAGCTGTTATCTAACTGTACCTACGTGCAATGACCTGCTGCATGTACGTACCTTTGGCAGGTAACAGATTTGGATCTTGAGTCGGAAGTCGGAAGAGAGAAACCTGGAGGTGAATGCAACTTGGCGGTGGGATTAAGGGCCAGGTTGCCACCACCATACTACGTATCTGTACGTAGAGATGGCAGAACACTCATTCTCGCGTGACCAAACCAGTCCTACTGAATAAGTATTAACGAACCTGCAAGATAACTGTGTATATACAAGTTTACGAAAGTTCGTTAGTCGGCCAGCCAGTGAAGACGCTGTTTGTTCTATGCCAAAAACGGGATGATTTCATCTTGACATCATTACTGAGTGGCTTTGACTCCACCTAAGTCACTTGGCCCGGCGATCTTACTTACCTGGTATCGGATACTGGCGGCGCTGCCATGCGCCAACATCGCGACGGCCGACACGGCATCTTATATTACGTGTAAAGCCCTATGCTAGACGTTCCGTACTCTCTTCAATCCCTTCAACTAATCCCCATCAACGGACATTTCGTTCCGGTTGCCTCAGTATCGTGAAACAAGAGATTTTCAAGCTGTACCTAGAATATCAAATATTTATAGCCCACGGTCCCGTTGCACAGTCGCCCGCTGTCGCCAGCGTGCTCTAATACATGCATTATATTTTTCAGCCTCCTTGAGACTTCAAGATAACAGCATTCAAGTTATCGACTACCAGCGTATTAGCGCTTCGAAAACGTCCAGAATGCCACAACCATTAATGAGAGTAGTTGCCCGCCGCTGTGGCCAGGGTGTAGCCAGGATCCCTGGAGTAGCGCCGGCAAACTCTATTTCGATAGCTCAGCGCAAATTACTTCATTCCTCCAAGCAAGCATCTTCTCCTGCTGCTGCCGCTGCTGCCGCGACTTCCAGTAAGGTACCACCAGAACCCAGGGAGAATCCTGCTGTCGGACTAGGTCCAAGTCGCGATGAACCTATAGGCCATAAAAGATTGGCCGACTTCGATTTGGAGGGACGAGTCTTTATTGTCACTGGTGGTGCAAGAGGTCTAGGTTTATGCTTGGCTGAAGGTCTCGTCGAGGCAGGTGGTAATGGTGAGTCTCGAAAAGCATCTACCAACTTCACAAATTCCCGATTATATAACGAGACAACGAGCTGATTTACGTCTAGTCTATTGCTTTGATCGCGAGGCAGAACCATCCCAGGATTGGGATGAGGCCGCCACGAGAGCGAAGCAATATGGTGGGTCGCTTCACTACTGCCAGCAAGATGTTTCAGATACCAAGCATCTAGATCAGACCATTGCATCCATTGCAGACAGACATCAGAGGTTAGATGGTCTTATTGCGGCGGCTGGGGTACAGAAGATTTGTCCTGCGGGTAAGCCTAGCACTCATACCGTCTTGGTGGAGCGTTCCCACGAAATATAAAGATCACTAAATACAACCTTCCCTTAATTGGACACATTATTGACTTGAGATGTCACAGTTGAGTATACCGCCGACGACGTCGCGCAGATGATGGCCATTAACTACACAGGTGTCATGATGACAGCTACGGCGACTGCTCGCCAGATGTTCAGGTATAAGTGTCACGGTAGCATGTGTCTCATTGCGAGCATGTCGGGCCAGGTAGCCAACAAGGGGCTCATTTCTCCCGTAAGTGGCATATCTATGAGACTACTTTCGTTTCAAGATCACCTACTAACATTTCGCTATAGGTATATAACTCCTCGAAAGCCGCTGTTATCCAGTTGGCTCGAAATCTTGCGATGGAGTGGAGTCCCATCAGAAAGGACGGCACAGGAGGAATCCGTGTCAACTGCATCAGCCCCGGTCACATCTTGACGCCCATGGTTCTCAAGAACTTCGAGGAAGTTCCTGGGCTACGAGCCAGATGGGAGTCTGAAAATATGATGGGCCGTCTAGCTGAGACTACCGAGTTCAAGGGCGCGGCGCTGTTCCTGCTCAGCAAGGCCAGCAGCTTCATGACGGGCAGCAATATCGTTATCGACGGCGGACATACATCGTGGTAGAAATTTTCTATACCCTCGCGTTTGGCCGAAATGTTTGCGGATGTCTTTGAAACTATTCTAGCGATCATGGTTTTGGAGTTTGGGGAGATGATAGCGAGAAGCTTTTGGTATTTCCGTAGGTAGGTAGGAGAGCGTACCACAGCTCCTTCTATCGCCTCAGGTAAACGCGGCTGGTTTCTTTAGGCCTTGAAAGGTCTCATATCAGGGGCCATTTCAATACATACTTATCTCTAAGTACATATCTTGGCTTTAGTTGTTCATTGAAGATTTATGTCTAGGTAGTGTTCATTCTGTCTCAGAATGTGTTAATTATTACTTAGGTACTAGCTGTGAAACAACATGGTCCTCATTCTCACTCATGATTTATATTCATCATTATCAATCTCATTAGAAGGTCAACATGCTGGATAGGTAGTCTTCAACTAAACTCACCTCACAAATATCTGGATGTTCTTGGATAGGTACCTGGTTCAAACATTAAATATTTGAACACACAGCTAAGGTCAGTACCTAAGGCTGTAAGTAGTGTCCGAAGCGGGACGATATCCACTGATGTGATACGCCGGCCACGACTTGTTAGCGATTGCCGCAGGGCCCTCAGTGACGTAAGTCTCCACAACAGCAGTTCTGAGCAGGAGTTGGAGGTCTGGCCAGCACTTGCGGTTGCAGGTTCCCCTCCTCTGGGACCTTCCCCCACGTTCATTACACGTAAGTCGCTAGAAGTCCCCGGAAGTCCCTCCTAGAGTACCTAGAGTACCTAGAGTACCTAGAGTACCTAGAGTACCTAGAGTACCTAGAGTACCTAGAGTACCTAGAGTACCTAGAGTACCTAGAGTACCTACCTAGGTAGAGTAGGTACTTACCAGCTGGGGGGGTGAGACAGACATCCAGGTCACGATCTAGAACACTGCCCCTCACGCGTCTCTCCCAGGTCATTGAGCTCCAGTTTGTTTAGGAAGTACATATCGCAGTAGTGATCCTGATATTCCTTTTCTTACTCGCTCCGCTCCAGGTTATCGCGAAACTGTTGCTCCGAGTCGTTTCTTGCTACAGAGCAGAGCGATCGAGATGCCTGAGCTATCCGAATCCATCACGGCCATCCAAGAGGGTGCCAAGGAGGACCGTTTTACATATCTCACCATCTTGCAGTACCACGTAAATACCCCAGGAGCCCTGCCCGCCTTGGATGAAGTCCTCCAAAATGCCGACCTCACCTCCGAGATAGGTTGGGATCTCGTGCAGATGCTTATCGGCATCGATGGCTACGAGCCTTGTCTGGAGACCGTCGCTCGTCTGGGAAATCCTCGCGAAGTCATCATAAAGGTTATGGAAACGCTGGCCGCCTTGGCCAAGCCCTTTAAAGAAGACCCAGATGGCGACAAACCTGACGAGACATCCCATTTCGGTCTAAAGCCCAGCGATGTACCTAGTCGCCTCATCTCACTAATTGGGGTTCTCGCAATTCTTCAACGCCGGATCAAGACAAAGCATCCTTCGCGATTCCTGGGACCATCGCTAGTCTCGGTCCTTGAAGCTTACCAGCCAACACCCGAGGTGACAGCTGCCGTGATCAACCTTGTGCGATCGCTCTCGGGCCGCGTAAGGCCGCCTCTCCCTACACGCACTTCTAGCATCAACGTAGCCAACCCGGATGAGAGTGGGGATGTGTCTAAGAATGCTCCCGACCCCGAAGCTGAGCAAGAAGAACCAAAAGAAGAGAGCTTAAAGCGGAGACTGTTGCAATCTTTCACTACTTGCATTCTACAGCGCTATGTCAACGTACATCAAATGCAGTGGTCGAGGCGATTACTCGAGGTGTACTACCCCGGCAGGCTCATTCCTGGGAGAATGACGGCGACGCAGGCTTTTCGGGAAGATGAGGTTTTACAGAATTTGGACGCTGTGACGGGACAACTTGTGGTTCGTAATCACCCTTCCTACCATTTACAGAACTTTTCTCTGACCTAATTTCATTATAAAGGCTTTATTACGAGATCTTGGCATCGATGATTGCTCCGCTGCCTTTGTCCGGGAGGTATTGTGCCATCCAAGCGACGCCAATCCCCTGCCGGATCTTGATAACTTTGAATCAGTTGATGACATCCACCTCTCACAAGGCGGAGCTGCATGTTTAATTGCCTACTGGATCTTCTCAGCAGATTCCTTCGGGGCAGATAGCCCAGATCCTAAGATGCACCTTTTCCCAGATCATCTAGATATGATGCGATTGTTTCTTGGTACGAACCCTAATGATGAAATTACCAACAACCCCGGCGTTGCGGACGCTTTGTTGGCCATTGGGCTTGGGCTGCACCACAGGGGCTTGATATCATCCAAAGAAACTGAAGAAACAGCTTATATGGTCTATCATCACAATTTGACCTTGATAGCTGTGTTCCACCCAGATATCCAAGTCAGAAACGCCGCAACGAGATTTGCTGGCACCCTGCTACATTCCGATCCTGATGATGAAAGTCGACTGGATATACTGCAGGATCTACTAGAGAACTGTCAGTTTGCATCTTTGAAAGCCTGTGCTGTCCAATGGCTTCAGGAGGAGATCATTTCGGCACAGAAAAACAATGTTTCCAACGTATTTTCAAAGCCTGAGGTCATCGAGAGGCTTCAATATGAGATTTTTCCAGACGCCCAATCTGTTGCTAGTATGGAGAATGATGAAATTTTTGAATACTGGGGAGAGAATCAACAGTTCCTTCATCAGGTCGCGAATTTCGCGTACTTCCTCTTCAATGGCCGCAAAGATCTAGTCCCCGCTGGCATGGGCGCAGCAGTTGACCAACGCTTTGCCGAGCCCTTGATCGCCGCCGCAACCAAACTTGAAAAGGCTGAAGTGTTAGATGGAAATGAGGGTTTTCAGCTTGGCTTCGTAGTAGCTCGTCTGCAAGAACTGAACATACAATGAGTTAAATACGGCCCTCTTTTCATCCATAAACGAAGTCATTAACTACAGGAGGAGTCTCAAAAGGAACAAGAAACATCATACAGTTAGCTAGATTAGGATTCGACGAGTTATTCCTTTTCTAACTCTGGCTTGAGTTCAGCTAGAGAAAGCGTGTCTCTTGATTTGAAGACAACGTAGTAGACTAATGCGTCCAGTATCAAACTAGCTCAAAGCTCGATTAGCATTGCTTATTTGGTACAAGTATCAGACTAGAAACATACTGTTTGTATCAGGATGATAGTCTATCAAGAATTAATCTAGCGCATTCAGAATTACAATTTGAATTGCGCCGTAGGGGGACGTGCTATTCATTTCTGCTATGGTATAACATGCTCTTGTGCATGCTCCTGCGCCTTACTAAGTATCTCTTAATCATATGATCGACCCATGAACTCGAGCACATTCTTTTACGAGAGAGGTATACACTCTTATCAGATCTCTCTGTACACGATCTTGTCCGCAAGTTTTCAATTACCGGATCCCAACAGACCTAGTACGGCGCGCGTATGAAAACCTCATGGCCGCCCCCACAAGGCCAACAATAGATCAGACAATGAATGTGCGTAAGCACGGCACCGGCACGGTCCACGCAAGTCGGCCTATCGTGATCATGTCACACTTCATTCAATGATAGAGCACCATGTTAGACGTGTATGTGGACTTCGAGGGCCAGCTGCGCTGGGATCAAGGCATATTTGTGTCTCGTCTTGGCGTTGCGCGATTGTGGTTATTGATAATCCTCCTCAGTCTGATGCGAAATTCTCTACAGCGGTTAGTCTACTCCTACATGGGGGAGGAGACAAGAGCTGATTTTTGGCGTGATCGGTTTTTTTTTTCTTCCTAAAAAAAAAATTGCTGTGAAAACTCTCAGACTCTCGGTAACACCGTACGACCTAATGTGGCACTCAGCTCACGCAGTGTAGTATCGCGAGATGACGCGCATATTGCTTTCAGGGGAAACTATCACTGGAATGCAGTATTCACTTCGGCCCCCAAATAAAAGCCTTAGGTTACACCAAATGCTCTTTCAGCTTGTTATGATGCAACGATGTCCCTGCCACATTGGTTTTGAAAACGCGCACACACATTTCCCCTCTATCCCTCCGTGTCCGACATGTTCAGACCTACACGTAACAACGCATAAGATTACCCGTCAACGTTTAATACGCCAAGGCCAGATACGTGATACAGCTACGACGATGCAAAAGGAGCTTTGACAGAACACCGTGTCAGCTGCTATCTGCGTGAACACTGACCTGCGACTCCGCGCAGATAAAGCGAATCTATTCGAGTTTGACCTAGGACGTAAGGAATTTGGTACAGCATAACAAGATGAAGCTACGCGATATCGCCATTCAGCTTGTTGAAAACTTCTATATCCGCCGATGCGAACTAGGATGGGGATAACATGTGAATGCACGGGGATGGTGCGGCGCGAGGCATACTGTGGAACATATGCATCGTCTCGCACGAATAGTGTGCTTTCAGCCGCGAATCTTCAGTTTCACGGGAGAGCCTTTCCTCAGAATAATAAACCTCTTATGTCTCGCCAGGGAATCTCGCCTACACCGGTCGCCGCGAGAGACTTAGATCCCGGCAATCAGGGGTGGGCTGAATCTCGCTATGGTAGAAAATGGAGGGTTGTAAACGACGAGGAAGACTAACGACAACAAAAATGAAATCTATCCCCTTCCAAGCTGGACTGGCCAAGGAAATCACGTACAAGTATTCGCTCTTGAGACGAATGCGAGCGGCGGACGTAACAGGGAGCTTATTTTGAAGTCAGAGCAACACGGCATCGCCAACGCCACGAAGAACAAAGGCCAGTGCATGTATGGGTTCAATACAATCAAAAAACATATTTAATTTGGTCCCATTTCCACCCATCCAGAAATCCTTTGGGGTATCGCTGCATGGCGTGAGAATCTTGCCACTGACAGTCCCTCATAACTCCAATTTACCAAATTTGCCCAAGGCTCAGTTTGAAGTCTTTCCCATCCTTCGACCTGTTCCGTTGATCCAATCCTTAGCCTACTCTATCAAAAGTAGATATTAACAATTATAAGATACGATAAGAGCGCACTAGAACTCTAGCCGCAGCAACTGTCCATATGTCTTCCAAGACGGAAGCAGGGAGAACACCGGAGTGAAGAAACCCAGACAAGGTGGTGCGGCGGAGGCGAACATCCCAGGCAACAGATCCTGGAAAAGTACTGCCTCGGCGAGGTATAGACGCGGATGAGCCCTCGCAACCTCCTCGCCGTCGTCCACACCCCACTTCATCCGTACACTCGTTCCCCGGAACAGCGGCATGAAGGAATGATAGCTCGTTAATATTGTGCCCACGATGTCCATTACAACACATCCCGACACAGCACGCTTAACCAGCCTCCGCAGGAGTGCCATGCCTTCTTGTGGTGTTAGGTAGGGGAATATGCCCTCGCCTACGACAAGCAATGGACGGTCGTGCGGTATCTCCTCGATCCAACTCTCGTCGGTCGCCGAAGCGCCTATAAGCCGGTACTCCCACTCCCTATGCTCGCCTCCCTCCGCCGGGATCGCATCCGGGAGGAGCCTTCGGCGCAGGTTTACGACCTCGGCCTTGTCGAGGTCGATCCAGTGCACGTTCTCGCCGCACCACGGCTGTAACCTCATGGCCCGCAGGTCAAGCCCGCATGCTAGATGTAGCACGGTAACAGGCTCGTGTGCATGTGCCTGGAGGAAGACCTTGCACCACTCGTCGAGCTGTTTAGCGCGTACGGTGATATAGTTGTGGTACCGATGGTCGCGGGGGAACAGCGTCGGGCTGAAGCTATCGGCGTCGACGCGGTCTAGAATCTTCTGGGCATGAATGTCGCCCAATATGGGGTTTGGGGAAGCGGCGTCGCGGGCACGGCTCCATAAAGTCAGGATCATCGTCTCTTCCACTGGGCTCAGCTTCACTCTAATTAGATCTTGGGCCAGATCTTTGGGCTCGCCGCTCGACGCCATTATATTTAAAACAATCTAGATATATATTCAGCCGGGCCTATCAAGTCTAGAAGTTGGCGTTTTCGCTCCTCAGGCAGGAATGAGCAGGATTCGGGCTTCCTATACTGCCCTCGTTTACTATACGAGTGTATAACATGCTCTATACGTCGACAGAGTGGGATTCTGGGGTCATTGGACGTGGGTACTGTTCGCGGGAACCCTTGTGACGATCCCTATAACCTAGGATCATTTGGCATCCAGGGTAGTATCCGTGCTGTCAAGACCCTTGCAACACGGATGCAGCGGTGAGCTCCAGATAAAACCGACGAGGAAAAATTACTTCAAAGCGGCCTATACGTTGTGTTCGGTCAGCTCGAGTCTACGTATTCTCCCCGAGCATGCCGAGTCACTGTGAGAAAGGTTAGTTCAATAGTCAGCCGAATCCATGTTCTGACACCATGCCTCGCCATCTTTCACACCCTCAGAGAGAGCCCAATTGCGTCACCAGAAGAGCCCGGATAGGCATCACGAGGGGCCACACAGGGCTGATGCCCAGCCTCAAGCTGAGAGGTGTTTTACTTCCGTGGGGTAAGATACGGGGATACCGCTCTAGATTGAGTATTGTGCCCCGAAGGAACCACCCAGCGTAGGACGGCCGTTGGTTCTGTCTCACAGCGACTAACGCACGAGAAGACGAAAATAGGACTAATGATTCCGTCTGTAGTCGGAGAGATAAGGTGGACGAGAGGCTTACTTAATACCGCCAGTAGGATCTAGTCACGTCTACTCACCTACCTATGCTAGCTGACCAAGGGTTGATGAGCCAACGTGTGATAGCGGCGTGCTTACACCAAACCCCGATCAATGCCAAACCTATAAGGTTCTTGTTATACATTACGGCACACAAAAACTACGAATCTCTGGCCTTCTTTCGAGCCAGGCGAGACACAAAAGCTGTCTTGATTGCTTGTCGATGTCCGCCCTTGACGCCCTTGTTCTAGTCAACGTCAGCCTATCAAAACCACACAAATTTTTTTAAAAAAAAAATTTAGGATTCTTGTCACAGCGCGCTGTTTACTGTTGCCAACAAAACGTTTCATAACCCGAACTCGGACTTGATGGTTAGTTACGCTAGGTATATCCTCCATACATGGTACGAATGCACAATACTAGCCCAAGATGGGCAGATTCGCCCAGGGGCTCCTACTAAATCGAAATTAGACATCCGAGGCTGAACAAACCCTTGAGGAATTCCATCGACGGGAATAAGCAGCATTCTCATCACGGAGAATCCTACCGCGAAATCGGTAATTGTTCGTCTCCAGAGTCCGAGTTTGAACTCTTCCTCCGTCCTGTCTCATGTGGTCCTCGTAAGTAGTACCGCTGTTCTTCAAGATGCAACGCAACACACAGACATGTGATTTGTAACCTACATAGCTAAGAAATGACAAGACAATTATGTGTGCCAAGTCACAAGACATGGGGCATACCGCCGGATAGTCCCACTCTCTTGCATCCAGCCAAGTCATCGTGGGCTTGTCAGGGACCCTAGCAATGTCTAAGAGCATTGTAACACCTCTAGCCTTATACGAAGCAGATCGTATTCAGTCCTCCCTGGCCAAATAGAGTCCTCAGTCACTTCAGGGTCGTCAACTCATGTTGCAGCGCAGAGCAACGTGGCGGGTGTGAATGGTTGTAAGATACAGTGTAACCGAGTTGGTTTCAGAGCTCATATCACTCCAGTTTCATTGGCTACCCATTGAACGACCAATATCCCGTTATGTCAATGAGCCAGTATCGTAAAAGACGTCTATTATAACAATAAAATATCTATAGCCGTACAACTGACTGAGCATCCTTTGTGACCAGCACAGCACCGTCAACCTTCGGATCCTCCATCGTACTCTTCAACCAGCAGTAGTTCAGGTTCGTGCCCTGCGGACCAACGTTGTACCACACCGCACCCTTGCAATGGGTATTCTTCGCGCACATGCTTATGCAGGACTGCATCGAGTACGTCTTGACGTTCTCGATGTCCTGTCCCTGGTGAGACACGGCGCACTCTAGGCGGAACTTGTCTCCTGTGGCAGGATCCGTGTACGTGCTACCGTCGTCGCCGATGCAGACCCGCGATGATGGGGAGGACGTGGGCGAAGGTTTGGCCGACGTTGTCTTCGGGGATGGGGCACTGCTAGCTGTGGGCTGCGAGCGAATTGAGTCAGTAGGTGAAGGCGGCGGCTGGGTTACAAACACAGTAGCAACAATGCCATCTCCGCCCCCTCGTCCTCCCGTCGCGGCTGCAGTCATCGTAGGTCTAGAGTCTTGGTGAAACAGCGACGACGACGACGACGGTATCTCGGTCTTGAGAAGGGTTACGAGGGTTGAAGAGTGACTTGCCACGGAGAGAGAGACGGTCTCGGTGATGGTGATGCCGGTGGAAGACATCGAAGGGGAAGTGCTGCTTACTTGGTCATCATCAACGGTCGCTAACGAAGTCGAACTGCTAGATATGGGACGCCATTAGCATCATTCCTTTATATTCGTTCTTCAGGCTTGGACTTACTGGGAATTCTTTTGCTTCGTTACGCCTACGGCAACGCCAATGATGAGAGCAACAAGGGCGAGAATTGCGATTATAACAAGAATCTGAAACTTCCTCCTCCGGTACCATGCTTTTTGATCTGGCTCTGATGCTATCGACAAAGCAGGCGCGGGGTTAGGAGAGGGAGCGGGCGGGGGAGCGAGGACAACAGCTTGTTGGTTCTCTTCTTTTTGGATTGTTTCGGTCGAACAACTCTTCGCTTCCGGTTTTTGGAACTTTTCCTCGTGGCTAACTACCTGTGGTCCAGAAACAACTATGAGGCCTGGTTGGGAATAGCGGTGGTGGTTAGGAGCTGCGACCTCGAGCCCTTCCTCCGGCACGCGAAATTCCAGGGTCGACGCCTGCGAACCCGCCGGATAGATGCTGTTTATTCGAAGACTCTCGTCCCAAAACCCGAGGCTCTTTCTGAATCTCCTCAGCCTCTGCCAGGCAGGCGAATTGGCCGCGCTCTCCGTCTCATGGGGAGAAGCGACGTGCCCTGCCTCGGCACAGTCCCAACAGATTGGCACGCCCTTCTCATATGAATGTGGGCACCGTGAGCTCGATGTCGAGTTGGAATTCCAGGTGTCGGATTCCATTATATGATGCCTTCCCTTCTCGCCCGCAGAAAAAGATCCAGGCTTCCCTGTACAGTAATGTGTGTTGATTGACTAAGTGAGCGGCTTGAAAATGTAGGTTCAAGTTAAATGATTGGGCACGTCTTTACCAGACGATGAGATTTGTTTGATTATTACAGCAAAAATGAGTGTGGTCTATATCAAAAACTGCCTCCTGAGAATGTAAATGGATGAAGCCAGCAATCCGAAGATTGGTATTGGTGTGGAAGAAAGAAGGGAACCTAAGAGCTCATTGAGGAGCGTCTAGAGGCGAATCGACCAACTCCTTGCCCCTACTAAAAGGCTCGGGGTGTAAAAGAGGCAAGTGCTGAGACAAAGACTGGTGCTCTTCTAGAATTTGCCTCACTTCAAAGGAGAGGTCCACGAGATGATTGCTTCAGACAAGGAGCCCACGTGGCTTTGGCGGCCAGGTCACGTCACCAACAAAATGTGGCTGTCATAGATAAGTGATGTTCGTTGACAATAATCAGCCTCGAGAAAAGGGGGCCGGTTCCCGAGCTTCCAGAGTTAAGGACTTGAAAACTAGTAAAAGATTCGGAGAACTACTTCTTGACACCATTCGAAGCTTTGGACAACTCAAAGCAAGCGTCCCGTTAGGTAGAACAACTCTTCAGTGGGCAGCAGTACCCTATATAGATATACGTTAGATGTTGTTGGTCGACCTATGTTTGCGTGCCGCACGTGCCGCAACGCTCGAGCATCCTCCATGTTATACTTCACATAGTCTTCCGTCATAACATTATTTAATTACTAAGTACTGACTTCGAGGATCCGGAGCTACCACGTCTTATCAGCTGATCGAGCCATTTAACTGCCTGAGCTACTGTTCTGTACTACCAAGTCGAGGCCTGAAACATTTTGGTTGCAGGTCATATGATGGTGATGACAGTGTTTTACAGTTTTAAACAACAATAATAAGGCAACCTGCTTTATTTCACGATGATCGGGGTGCGGTAATTCAATATATTTCGTTTAGGTTAAATTGAATCTCTTCACCACGGGCTCATACTACCCTGTGCTGTCTTGAACCCTATTGTGTGTACATCCTTAGAATATATCTCTGTTGTGTAATATTTCAACAGCTATTGCCACTAGTAAAGATTCACGAGAACCGAGATGCCGTATACAATCCCGAAAATATTATACTTCAGTTCTACTCAAGCCAAGGCACGCAGTCCCTTCTAAAAGATCAAGATCTTGCCTGTTTACATAAGTTGAGTGGTCCGTGGTGATGCATCAGCTTACAGCCCAATCGGAGCCAGTGGTGTCATCCTGATTCTCAAATAATATACGTGAAGTGTCACAGAGCCTTGAACACAGTCAAATCATCATCAGTCCTCAAGGCTCTTGAAAGACATCGAGTTTGTAAACCCATCCTATACGGCGTATAGAACCACTCATCTATCTACCGACGCAGTCAGCCAGTCACATCAAGCGCGAAACCATGCTACAGACTTCAATTGTCACAGCAGGTAAATACACCTACGACAAAACAATAACCTACCGTACAACCAGCTCTGGCACCAAAACACTTACTCATCAAAACTTACCTCGCACCTCCATCAGTTCTTTCACAAAGCCCACTCACCAACCTGCTTGCGATGCCACACCGCACACATTCATCACCATTCGGACAAAGGAAATACACAGCACGCAGTATACAGACGTACTCACCCACTCCTTATTCTCACTCAAATGATACCTACCTACCTACCTACCTACTTACCACACGAACACACGACACATATACACCACCACCCCCTCCTCCCCACCTACTTACTTACCCAAACCACATTCCCCAGTCCACGAAATCACACCACCATACCAAAAGAAGTGCAAAAGCCCTCACATATCTAATGCGAATACATACTGCATCGTTAACCTACAAGCAGAATGAACATACATCGTTAATCACAGGTTGAAAGAGAAAAATATTAATTCGTCTTCATCGACCAGCCCATCTTGAGATCCGCTGAACTTATGACGTGGTGGATTTTTATTGACCTAAGAAAGGCCCGTGGCGTATGTTTACAAATATATCATTTTCGATTGAAAATCTATGAAACATCATTGCGCCGCATTACTTGTCCAGGCTCAGTAATTAGATATTGGTGAAATGATAGGACGGACATTCCTATAGAATAACGTTGCTACTACCAAGGTGGTATAATAGTACTCGACCGCAGTACATGTCACATAGCAACATAGGGAAGATTGAATTGAGTGGGTAACTTCTGGTATTTTTTGAGTGATGGGAGACTATCTAATACCTAGAGAGCGAGTTAAAAGCTAGATCCGCTCACCAGGTCAACGTCAAGAGTGTCTACTGCCGTTTGCCAAACTTTATGATCCAACAAGTGAAGGCGCCCAAACATGACGGTGGGCCCTTTCCTCATTAACATCCCAATGTACCTCCAAAAACCAAAATAATAACCCGCTATCAAGAACAAGAAAAAGGCAGAATAAAAAAAAAATATCAGTAGACACTCAAGACGAAGAACCCGTGAAGCATGAAGGATGAGCTTAACCACAAGAGGCAACACCGGCGGAAACTCTTAGTGAGCTTCTTGCCAATGGCCAACCCACTCAACGTCACCGAAATCGTGGCGTTTTTCGCGCCAGTTCCAATCTCGGCCCTTGTTCCATGGACAACCACGCGATACTGAACGGTCTCGATTCCACTTGTGATGGCCGAGGTTGTCCCACATTCCTGTTCCCATTCCCATCCCCATCCCATAATTGTTGGGATTATGTCCATACTGCCGTCGCGACTTGACACTGAAATCAATCGGCTTGGATTCTGAAACTACAGCCCGACGACGTTCTCCTAGAGCTGTCCACTTATCGATAGGATTGCGCTTCGATGGTGGCGAGTAGCGAGGTGGAGATGGCGGAGGTTGTTTGATCGCGATGGGCTCATGAAAGAAAAACCCATCAGCAACCAAATCGCCATCAATATCATCCGAGATAGTACTAGCGGCAGTTGGCTCGTTGAACTTCTCATCAGAAACGGTCACAGAGTCAGATGCCGAATCATGGTGACTTGCACTAGCATCAACGTTGCTCTCGTGGCTCCACGTTCGACTGTTCAGTTCTTTGAGCTCCTGAAGCTGTCGTGCACGCGCCTCTTCTTCCTCTTCGACATCCTCTTCCCACATGTCACTCCAACTCTTCGAGACGGCTTCGTTCTTGCGACCGAAGACCATTGACATGGCACTCAAGGTTGGTTTTGGCCGGGACATGTTGATAGGCAGAGAGCCAGCGACAGGAGCAGCGGGGACCCGAGCACGACCAGACGCTTCCATGGGACGGGAGATGCCTAGAGAGTTCACAGACACGCCGAAGTTGGAAGTAAGGACAGACGAGATTGAAGGTGTCACGAAGGAGCTAGCACACCAATCCCTTCGGCCTTCCGACTTCGGAAACAAATCCTCAGTGTAGCTTTCATTGTCGTTGTCGAGTATAATGCTTAATTGACGAGTATGCTGAGCGGGTGTAGCATGGAGAGCCTTAGCCCATGGGAATGCTCCCTGATCAAGCTGGGGACTTTGAATCGAAGGGGTCCGAAGAGGTTCGCGATTGGCAGTGGCCAGGGTTGTGTGCTCTGTGGCGCAAAAGTCGTCCACATCCTCTTCAAGGGTAGTGAAGGTGATGGCCCGGGTGAGAGCTTCCCTAGCCCCTTCGAGAGACCGCTTGCGGGGATCTAAGTTCATGCACTGGACAATGACCTCGTAGGTGTCCTGGGACATTGATGGGAACACGTCAAAAAGCGACTGCTTGTCTCGAGAGAAGTCCAGGAACAGCGGATCAGCTTCAGTGGGAGTGGTAAAGGGATTGCGGGAGAACAAGATGTTGAGCAAACAAACGCCAATAGCCCAAATATCAGCCTGAGCAGGCGAATACCCGTTGCCAGCCGAATCGTATTGCTCAGGAGACATATATCGGTCACTACCTACTGTCATCTCGTAGCTCCATTTCGAAGTTGTTGCCAAACCAAAATCACCTAGCTTCATGGCTCCGGACTCGGTAAGAAAGATGTTCTCTGGCTTGATGTCCCGATGGTAGATGCCTTTCGAATGCATATAAGAAACAGCATCCACGAGCTGGAGCATGAACTGGCGCACATGCTCAGTCTCCAAGGGGCCGTATCCAGTCCGAATGGCCTCGTACAGATCTCCACGGGAGCAGTACTCGAGAACGAGATAGAAATGGGCATCCGTCTCGAAGGAGTGAACCATGTTCACGATGTTGGGTTGGGCTCCGAGACGAACGTGACAAAGCTGCTCCTCAGACTTTTCGTCCATAGCAAACTCGAGTCCAGCCTCGTTCGCAGCAGCTCGCTTCGTCATGCATTTGATGGCAACATTGTCACCAGTTTCCAAATCTTTGGCTAGGAAAACCATTCCAAACGAGCCATGGTTGAGTGGGGAGATTGTCTGAAACCTCCCATCGAGTAAAACGCCATCGTGAAAGTTGTTTCGCAAGCATTCCATGACGCCGTCTCAACGGGAGACCAATGATTGAATGAAGCAGGAAGTGGTGGAACTTTGGTCAAAGCCACCAATGATTGTACACTGTACAGCCCCTTTATCCCCGACCGTCTATTTTGGTGAGCGTAACTTAAGAAAATCAAGATTACTTTTCAGTCTTTTGTGTACAAGTTTTTTGTCAAGTTTAAAGAATCGTTAAAGTTGGTAGAAGTGGAATAGCGGCCAGGCAAAGAAATGATAATGGTGTTGTCACAAGCAGTGACTAAATAGATGCAATATACAGGGTTTTGAGAGTGAGAAAAGAAAACATAACACTCCAGGTCGTTAATGGGTCAGAGGCTCATCGAGGGGTATTCGGTTTGTAGACAAATGTGAAGGAAATAATCGTCAATAGTACTGGTGGACAGGCGGTCCTGAGAGAATGAAAATGAAAATCGTTATGAGGACATGAGTATAATTTATGAAAGTTGAAAGAGTGTTGACGAATGTCGATGAGATGTAACTTGGCTTAGGCGTGGGTAGCCAAGTTGCTCGGTCGTGATAAGAGGCAGGCGTGCGTTTATAAGTCAACACAGTTCCGAGGCACCAGGGCCTAATAGCGGAGTTCCTGCAATATCAACACACCGACACGGTCTCGATCACAGAACCATCCGATAAGACGATCACACGAAGATGTCGATGTGTTGTTCTGGTTGTTGACCGAGCTGAGCCAAAAGGGGCTTTTCGGGGGATTAAGTTCAGTAGGGTCTAGGTGTTGAGTGTTGTTTAGGCGGGTGTCAGCTAGTCGAAGATAGTCGAAACAAACAGTTCACGGGGTTGACTATTGCAGTTTTATGACTCGACAGGGCAGAAGATGATAGATATGACTCCTCGGGTGCTTGTTCAGCCAGCGATTGCGGCGATCGGTGTTATTGCAAGGTAGGCCTGGCACAGAAGCGGATCCGAATTGGCAATGGAGTCGGGGGCGGGTGTGACGTGGTGAGCACGCTATCCGATCGGAGTGGATGTCCTGGAAATTGAACTTGCGGAAGCAGTGCTACTAATAGACTTGGGGAGGCGAGAGGTATTGGATATGATTACGAGTTATTTCGACAAAGAGGTAAAGCACAGTCGACTAATTGCTTGGGTCAGGGGTCGTGTGATGCAGGAGCGAAGCTGCTTAAAGGGACCTCAGGTGCTGAAAGGAAAGAGGCTCGTTGTTTACGGTACGGAGATAGGTATTAGGTACAGTTACGAGTGCGTTGGCTAGCTGGCTGACTGGATTGCTAATGAGTCAGGCTTGAGTCTCTCGGTTCAGGGCAAGTGATTGATTGATGGTCGAACCCGAAGCACGGCTGAGCTGGTAGTAAGGTGACGAAGGCGAAGGCGAAGGCGAGAGAAGGAGAGAGAAAGAGAGCAGAGAGTGACGATACGAAGGACAAAGGTGGATGACAATGGCAGGTAAAAGAGGAAACAGGTCGGCTGGCTAAGGATTCGATAAAGAGAAGAGCGGTAGGAAAAGGATGGGATGGATGGGTGGATGAAGAGATACAGAAGCGAGCGACGGGGACAGGCGTGCGAAGGTGCTCGAACGAACCAGACTAGTGGCCCAACTAGGGGAGTAGCCAGTCTTTGGTCATGGAGGTGGGTTGGTCATCATCTGGATTGGACGGGACGACAATGAAGCAATGCAGGCGAGACTGGATCCCACCCAGAAGAGGCATAGCATGAAAGGGTCTGAATAATAACAACAACACTGCCCAGCCAAGACGGCCAGTTCGGTGACGGTACTCAGGTACCTACTCACGATGGTTTTGATACGGTACGGTACAGGCACCCCTTCTACTTACCTAGGTACTCTACATAGCTAGAGGTAGGTACAGAATGTACACGACAGTGACGTTACCTACCTACATACTTACATACCGGTAGGTAGGTATGTATAGGAGGGCTGCCTGGGGGACAAGAGACTGCTACAGTACTTACAGTAGGTATGAGAGAAACAATGACTGAGAAAGATGTTGAGGAAACCAGACAAGGAGCAGCGGCCGGGGGCAGCGGAGGCTAGCAAGTGACATGCTTCGTAGCTGAGCCTAAGGGGGAATCAGAAGTCACTGACAAAGATCGACAGGGATTATCACGATAGGTACAGAAGTAGGTAGTCGAAAGTAGGTAGGGTGGGGAGCAGGCAGACAGGCATGAATGAATGAAAGCGACGGAGTAAGTAATGTACTGTAGGTATCTGCAAGTACAGGTTAGTGGAGGATCTAGATGTACAAGAGCTGTACAGATTACATGGAGACTGGAGACATCTGCGAAGGAACAGTAAAGGATAAGAGACCAGCTCTAGGTAGCGAGAACAAATGAATGTCTTGGTCTCACGCTACAAAGGCGACTCAACATACTCTGGATCTTTTGGTCTGGCTTGGTCAGAATGGTCACGCTGTCGGCAGGGCAAACGCTACGCAGTCTATTCTGTACAGTAGGCTGGGCTAGACTGAGGGTAGTGGCAGTCTGGTTTTATCGCTGCCTTGAATTGGCCCTTGAATTGATTCGGAGGTGGACTGACTGGAGTGGCCTGTTTTACATGTACCTACGTAAGTAAACACGGGTAAGTGTTCAAGAAAGAAGGTTGAGTTAAGTTGAGTTGACTTTGACTTGACTTGACGTGTTGGAGAGACAACAGTGCAGCTGACTGTGGAATGACAGCGCTTCAAAGTCAGAACAAAGTCCAGAACAGCATCATTGACGGCACACCAGCCGATAGCGAGACACTTGGGGCGGGACATGGACACTAACAGGACATGGTGAAGCAGCCATGCAAGTGCTGATGCGTCCACATGTACCAATAAGTACATCGCTATCGAGCTGCAGCCGTGTCATCAAGCCGGCAGCGCAGGCGGCGCGGAGACAGGCTGTGCTGTGGTTGGTGCGTCACAGTGCCCTACATAGTACAGTCCAGTACAATTCGTACCTACATAGGTACCTATCTTCGATGACATGATCAGAGACCGGCAGGCCTGTCTCCATAAGTATCTACAACAGGCCAACAGCAGCCAACTACTGTAGAGGGCTGTCTCGGCTGTCTCTTGGGCTATCGAAGCCGCGAGCGCGAGCATGCAGATCACGACGAATTGTGGGTGTTGGGGAGGACCACGCGGACAAGGTTCGCTGGACGCCGGCCGCCCTCTTGCACAGTAGACAGGTAGGATTAGGACTAGATCATGCACCGTGTACGTTGGTGTGTCGACGCTTGCAGGGGCCGCGGACTGGAGATCGCCACACCGCCAGATACCCTTCGCGGAGGTAGCTCTCCACGCAAACCACAGCATGTAAGAGACCGCATGGCCAGGTACATAGTAGCCAATCCAACGTGTACCTACCTACTTACAGTACCTAAGTACATTACATCCAGTACACACATGTACGCTGCCATGCAATGTATAGTACATTCAGCGCGCTGGGGCTAGCCCCAACAGGTCTTCCCCCCAGGCGCCCTCGAAGTAACTGTAGAGTGCACTATTCGAGCTATCCAGGCAGCGCTAGAGAGCTATTTGGGCAGGTCATCGCCCCGTTCAAGCAGGTCCCTCCAAGTCCCTTCAGGTCCCCTTTCCAGGCACAGAGCAGACACAACGACACTTGGACACGTTGCCGCGACCCAAAAATTGTCGCTGGCCCGAATGACCAATCAGGCGCCATCGAGGGCGACTTGCGTGTCCCAAAGCCCTTCCAGCATCTTCGGTTTCACCTCACACGCTCGCCGAGACGTCATTGGCTCGAGACATGATGCCAGAGCCACCAAAGGAATGCACTCCTTTTTGCCTGCAGCGTTGGCTGCTGAATCCGTCCAGCAACTTAGCACCTTGTTCTACAGTACAGTACCTACCTAGTCTAAGTTGGATATGGAATGTGCTGTGATGGACTGTAGGCATACCTACTCGTGTACCTAACCCCCTGAATACGAAAATCATCATGTAGGTAGGGTCTTCTTCATCATGCTATGCGGGGAGCATCATACAGAGTTCACGGAAATCAAGATCTTGAATTCATTGCAAGTCAAAGCTACCGCACAGCCCCATACAGAAAGAACCGGGTCTTTGTTTATCAGTCATGACATCGCCAGACTCGATGGGGCCACGGTGTGTCGAGGTGGCCAGTAGGAGAGCTATCAGCCGTTTGATCGATTAATTCTCCGAGCTTTTAGGTTTCGACTTCCATCACACCCCAAGCCAATTCAGAGGGGGTAGAGAAGAGGGGGGTTAGGTATTAGATAACGAACGCCTGGTCTGGCCTCTTGCGATGGAGACCTTCGCCGCAGTATCTGAGGTGCGCGTGGCCATCAAGGTTAGTTGGCACATGTCCAGGTAGGTATCTGTTTTCGGCTGTGGCGGTGTTGAGCGCTCGCTGTCGCCGGAGGAAGGACATGTAAATGATGCAAGCTGTCATCATCTCCTTTGTAAATACCTACCTAGATCCAAATCCAAATCCAAACCATTAGTCATTTATCCGTGGTCGAATCTCACGCAATTGACAACGCAATGCGCTAACAGAAGTAAGTACTAAGTAAATAGGTAATTATTAAATTACGCATTGTGATCCTTTCCCCATAGGTGGACGAAATGGTCACGGCACTCGGGGCTTATGGCGACAGATACGTACTCACGAAGTAGTAAGGGCAAAAGATTGTTATGTCGCAACATGATGCAATTGCGGTGATCGTTTCACCCGTTTGGGCAGGACTGAAGCTCACTCATTCCCATAACCACGAAGCATAGCGGGCCGCTGTGTGACAATTTCTCGGCTACATGCCCCCCATATTCGCATTCCAGTCGTGCAACGTGTCAGCCGTGTTATGGCATCAGGTACCTGTCCACGCCTGATTCTATATGTAGGATACATGGCTATAAACATTCAAGGCAAGTCCTGTCTTAGCTCTCCTATTTTTCTGAACTTGACAAATGGCATGCGGGAAGACATTTGTCTAAGCACCACGGGGTTTACTACACCGGCCGGCGCCCCGTTCGGCGTACCACTGATCGTCGAATGGGTGTTATGTGACACGAAACACATGATCTAGAGAAATTACTCGCTGTCCTGGCACCTGAATACACATACGGCTGTTTCGCAGCTTTGAAACAGATACTACCGACTACGACCGTACGGGATTGAAGGAAAGTAGGTCCTCGGGAGGGTCCGATATGGGTTATGCTTATAAGCGCCTGTATAATAATAGATCAACAAAATGTTGGGGCAGAATTGGGGTCCTAAAGCATTGTAGATTAGGTATAGTAGTGACGACGATTGGCAACACATACCTTTGGCAAGATAATAATACGCCCATCCTGAGCAAATGATAGGCGAATGATAGGCCAGCTACGTTGCTACACTGCGTATCGTCGTTGCCGTGTTATGCGACGCCGTGTCGTGCCCAAGTTTTGGTTTTGTATCGGCGCTATCACTGGCCTCCAGTACAGATCGTCAGATTGATCAACCGGCCGGATGTGCTGCCAGGGTGCGACAGAGTCTGAGAGGGGAGGCACTGCCTTCTGCTTCTCGTCATCTCCTGTCCAGACGATTTTGCTGGTCGCAGTCGCACGGCTAAAACGATCGCAGAGCGGTACTGTTACAGCTGTGCGCGATCGATCATGCACATAGCCGCTGGAATACCTAGCACGAATATTGTGCCCCCGCTGCAATTCAATCAACGGCCAGGCTGGGCGAAGGCTGCCCTTGGGGGCAAGCCATGCGGTACAATGTAAAACCGCTGCTGCTATAGGCCGCGGGGGCATATCAATGTGTGTGGCCGGAGGTTGCCGTTCTCGCGGTGGATGGGTGCACAGCAGAAGCATTAACACATTCCGGAATGGACACATACTCATCCCACCCGTAACATATAACTGGTTTTGCCTTCTGCAGGCATACCTTGAATGCATATCTCCACATACATACACCACACGTAGACGGAGATTAAAGCATCTTGTGTCGTTTCTAACTTCTAAGCCACCATGATTGTTTTACTGTAGTATGCTGGCAGGCGGCAGGTATGTAGGTGGTTAGTCTGTTACAATGAAAGATGCTGAGATATCTATCTGATTGCCCGCTATCTCCCTCCCTGACTATCTTTAGCACTACGGCAGCATAACAGAGGATGATACGTTTTAGCCAAGGAAGGTTATACGGCAGTGTAAGTAAGTAGGCGGTGAAAGGGATCGTTAACGACTATGCTAAGGCAGAACATCACGTCCTACGATGATATACAAATTGTACACACTTCGCTCCATAAGTAGTCGTCCTGCCTTACTGTTCATATCATACTACTATGTGTGCATACATGCAGGTTAGTAGTGCAGTCCTGATTTTAGATATCAGACCTTTGACAGGCTAGGTACTGTAGCATACTCTGTACTGCATGCTAGGTATACAGATACATACTTACACCATACTACTCTAATAGTACTTAAACCATTGCATGGCAGTGTGGAGTGAAGCCACACCCAACAGGAGATTAGGCTTGGCTACGCTCGATGCACATGATGCAGTAGTATGTGCAGTAGTAGCTGGCTGAACGGGTTGTGGATTGCATGTGTGGTGATAACGAGCGTGGTGGCCCAGGGGGTTCTCTGTTCTTCTTGGTGGCTGCCGAAGACCGTCTGGCTCTCTGTCGGTCTGCGCATGTGTGACATACATGTACCGTAGGTAGTGTACGATGCGATGCGATGATGTTGTTGCTGTCGTTGTCGTTGTTGCTGTCGTGGGCTTGTGCTTGGGAGCGTTGTGTTCTCACATTAGACCAGCCACAAACTTCAACGTCTTTTCGCCTAACAGATCAGGCCCGCTTACCAGCCAACCTCCCACCAAACCCTCCGTTTTCGATCTTGTAAGGAGAGACTACACGTGCTGTTGTCCAAATTCTAGATAGTGCCTACATCTGGACGTAGGGAGCAAGTATGGGATTTCATCCCAACCTTCCAATACAAACAGACAGCCCCTTAATTGTCTGTCTCATGCACTACCTACCTACATAGTAGTTGCGCTACCCACCTCAAAATGCAGTCTACTGCAATGCGACCGAGCCTAACTGGGTCACCAAATATTCCGAATCAGCAGTTATCGACCGGCTATCGACAACCTAAAGCCTGTAGTTGCGTGTCCCGCGCAGAAATGGGCTACACTACAAGATTCATAGTACGCCCCGGATATCGTGCATTGATCGGGTGGGCCCTTCTGGGGTTTCCCTTTGTCTTGCATCTTGACCGCCTTCTCATCAACGCTCACGACACACGTCCTCTACGCATCTGATCCGTCTAAAGGGTTTGACTTACTCGTCTATCCCGGTCACCTTCTCCGGATACCTGCAACGCTATTGAGGACAGAACAGGCAATTGACGAGAAGAAAAATTTTCGTGTCCGAAAGAGAGCTTGCTCGCATTACAGAGTCCTGTCCCAAGAGAATCAATCCTTCACCGCTCCCTCTGCCAACCTTCTCCAAGTCGTGTATCCCCGGGACTTGTGAAGATATTCGAGGATCAAAAGATAGAACTGCCGAGCATTCTACAAAGTTCCCACGAGCAAAGCTGGTTACTACTACCATGACTGCATCAGCTGGTCTCGATGTCAAGGCGATCTTGCTAGACATTGGTAAGGCACCATGCTTTTCCTCCTTCCATAGTCTTATCATTACTCGTGTCGGGTTCCTTATCGTAGGGGTCGCCTGCATTAGCCTGAAGTATTAGCTAATGGCGTCGCGAACAGAGGGCACTGTTTGTCCAATCTCCTTTGTCAAAGATGTCTTGGTAAGGCCCAGCCTTTTTCGCTTCATGTGAATGTGTCGCGTCATATTTGCGTCTGCGAGACCCCCTACAAGTAGACTTAGACAACGTTGTCAATCTTACTGCCTACCTACCTTGCTGGCACCCCACGCTATTCAGAATAGGGGCCTCGATCAGCAACCTCCCGCGTCGTGACCTTGTGACCGTTACATGCTCCGTAGCTTCGGGCATTGGCTTGTCGCAACAAACACCCCCATACAGTTTGGGCCTTCGCTGATCTTGGAACATGTCTTATTATTCGTTATTCATTGACGTCTACCGGCTGATATTGTCGCAGAGGCTTACCCTTCATAATGTTGTGAGCTAACACGTCGTCTCAGTTCCCCTATGCTCTGAAAGTTCTCCCAGAAACTCTTGAGACCCAGTGGGATAACCCAAGTTTCGCCAAGTACAAGGATGCATTTCCCCCGGAATACAGAACATCCAAGGATGAAATGGCTGCCCATGTTCGGGATCTGATGGACAAAGATGTAAAGATCGCCTACTTGAAGAGCCTTCAGGGATACTTGTGGGAAGAGGGTTACGCAGCGGGACATTTGAAAGCGCCCCTATTTCCAGACGTAGCCGAGAAGCTCCGTACATGGCATCAAAATGGCCTCAAAATCATGATTTACTCCTCTGGGTCTGTCCCGGCACAGAAGCTATTATTCAAGCATACAAATGCTGAGCCATCGGACCTAACGCCCCTCATCTCGGACTGGTTTGATACCGTAAACGCTGGGTTGAAGCAAGAACGAAAGAGCTACCAGACGATCGCGGAAGCTCACCCGGAAATCCCGGTTGGGGAGTGGCTATTCCTCAGTGACAACGCAAAGGAAGTTGACGCAGCCATTGCCGCGGGGATGCAGAGTATGGTTGTACAGCGTCCCGGCAATCCAAAGCTCCCACCAAACGTGAGAGGACGGCTTCCACTTATAGAATCGTTCACCCAAATTTGAAAAATGGCGGGGTAGAGGTGACAGCGCTTCTCTGAGCCGATCTCCGGACGAGAATTGACTTGACCCGAGTCAAAGAGGCCGCCGTAGATGGCTGGATCGAGCGGAGAATGCCAAAAAAGCAATTGAACAGCATTATGTCGGCGCCCATACTAGCACGCGAACACCCACCTGCTTGCTGTAGGCAGTGTCGGTACTGTAGACGAGGCAGGCCAAGGTCACATAGTCATGTCGCTTATAAAGACATTCGCCTGAAAATGGTTTCATGGTTCAATAGATTTTGTGACTTAAATAAGTTAGACTAGATACAAAAGGTAGCTGATGATACACCTGCGCTACGATATATTGATGCTTCAGAAAAGTGCTCATATCGCCCTCACGTGATCACCTTTGCCAACCAGCTGGTCTTGAGATATAAATGCAAAGGCTCATTAAACACCCCGAGATTCAACGAAGGCTTTGTACATGCAGAATGCATATTTACATTAGACGCTCGCTACAGCTGCTCTACGCTATCCGTAGTGGCCTCTACGCATATTTTTGAAGCGCTTCTCGTGGCACGAGGCATGGTAGCGAGTCGTTCACGTCGCCACTAGGTATGCAGGGGGTTGCATTTCTGGCGCTGCAGCAGGCGGTAATTTGCCATCCATTGGCAAAGTAAGGCTTTAAGTCTTGCGCCAAATGCGGTGATAGGGGATGGCGTTGGAAGTTGAGACCCTGGCGGCCGACCTAGAGCATCTTCCCCAGCCTGGGGTACGTTACAAGAGCGTTACCGGGGAGCGCCTCGAAACCGATGGCGCCTTCATGTACGATTCATTCGTTTTTAAGAAGTTAGACAGATTAAATGATTTTAGGATTGATTACCTATGTTTCATTTCAATCTTCGCTCCACGAAAACCTGCAGCTACAAGCAAGATACTCCTTCACCCCATGCTGCTCTGCAACCTATCTGAGGTATCTCGATATAGTAGACCATGGAGATCGCATTAATTTGTAAATACCTAAACTTTGGGGAATTGCCAATCGATTGATAATTCACCCATTGCTATCGCAACGGGAGTGGCCAGCAAATGCCGATCTAATCTTAACGGTCGAATGCTGGTTTACTTTATACCTACCGTACCATGACGACAACACGGCATATCAGCCTTCCAATAAGATATGTAACTTAGCATATGCAAGACATTGGCTAAGTAGCGAGGTCGCGAATATACATCGTCTCACGTCAGCTCAAACAGAGACATACATCCAATGTAGGGACATAGGTATCTCAACGGGTAAATCAACGCTTAGACATAACCAAGACATGAATAACATGAAGTTTGAATACAACGAGAACGTACCTGGTAGTCCATTGCAGGGTACTTCATGTTACCTACTAATTTGATCTTTGCTTTCTACTATGTACAAACGAAGAGATCCTCACGTGGGCCAAGCAGCGGCGCGAGAAGCGATATTGAAACCGACATCCACATAGCCACCACTTCATACACGGAGATGAGCCCGGTGTGTTACGCATACGTAGCACAGCACAGCATAGCATAGGTAGCATAGCCCAGAGGAACAATGCACGACCAAATATATTTATCTACGTACCGCATGTGTCTACAATACCTATGCAATTGCACTGCACCACATGGCCCACGCAATTTTGCCAGACATGACGCCGAAGGGATGGATACACGACATGAAAAGGGAAGTTTCTTAGGTAGCCCTTTTTCCCAGATGGCATGCAATGCCGCAATGTCTCGATCGACACCTATAGGATTACCTCCCCATACACCATACCTACTGTACCAGGCAACAATGTTTCCCTTTCCCCCAACATTTCCTTCTCGACTAGACCCAAGCCCGCCCGCCCGCAGATCGCGCCGGCGCCTCTTAGAAACGGGGCGGGCGGGCTTCGGATCTTCGCCACTTTGGACGTGTAATGTAGAACGTGAAAGAAGAATCCCAAGACAGCGTAATCGTATTGGGACTGTATTACACAATATGCGAGTACTCAGGTATCTGATAAGAGCAAGTACATCATGTATCCAGCACTTAACTAACCTCTAGATATGTTTAAGGGCCGAATGCTTAACTGATCGAAGTCGGGGTAAAGAGGATCTAGCGCAGCGTAGTGTTGAAGTCCGGTCGAGCTTCGCGGAATCAGGAAAAGCTAGGTTCGCATAATGCATACAGGCCGTCACGCGACGAAACGCGCTTGCAGTTAGTCGATATCGTCCCACGATCTCATGATATCTACCTATCTATTCCCACCCATATCTGCGTTAAAGTAGCGCAGAGTTGTAATTTCCCATGGCGCACGTACTGAGTACAGCAGCTGCCATGCTATTCGCAATGAGATCAAATGAACACACCACACAGCCAAGCTAACTTTCAAGATTTGTTGGGTTTTGGCTACATGACTACGTGCAGCTAGCTAGACAGCTCAACTCGCATGGGATGCTTGAGGCAGCGAGCAAATCATCGATGGTACCGCTCGAGCCCCGTCCACGGTATCATTCCCAGACTTGTGCAACCAATTGGCGTAGGTTCCACAGTTTGAGGATTGAACAGAACGTCTTAAGCATCCCGAGTACTGATGCGTCCCGTGTTTGCCTCTTCATTGATGGAATACTGTGTACTGTGTGTGTACTTCTTCTCTTACATCGCATTGCATCGCATCACCATGGTAATGGCCCGGACCCTGATCGACGCGTGTTCGTCACCCCTTCGTGCTGAGAGGACTCCTCGAGCTCTCCAGATTGTCGAATGAATGAACGCACAGCGCCGGCATTTTGAGTCGCCTGACTTCATTTGCGCCATCTCGTTGGTTCGGCCAACAAGGCCATCCCCGCTCCCAGACACCCTCACTCTGGAGGGTAAAAGTGGTTGCGGGGTAACTATCAAGCGACTGATAAGCCTAAGTGGCGATCTCTTGACGAAGGAAGATAGCCATTGGGGAAGCCTTGGGGATTCCAAACAGCGGTCGCAAATAGATTCCTACGCTAGGTAATAAGGAAGCTCACGGGACTGGCCGAAGACCATCAACGTGCGTTATCTGAAGCCAATTCTTGATCATCAGTTTATCAGTTATGAGTTGTCCCAACAAGTTGATGGGAGATCGACAACCTACCGAATATCCGCGCTAGCAGGTAGTCTTTAGTTAATTGCGCTTGAATGGTTAGGAGAATAGCACCGAGGGTCGAACAACTGACTCGTTATCTATTCCTCTCAACCAGCCGAACCACGGAGGACAATTGAGAAATTATTCCTTGTGGAACCGGAGCGAAGCTCAACCTTCTTGAAGATTGGAATTTTGGCCGGAGCGCATGATGTCCTCCTCCAAAGATAATAAACTAGTTTTTGCGTGACTTTGCTGTGATTTTTGACATATCCGAGAGTGTTCATGATCATCTCCAATAGCGCTTCATTCATGTACCTTGAATTCGTGACACATGGTGCGGGCAGGACTAGAAACAGACATGGAAATGCATCGTGCGATGATGCCGTATGAGGCTTCAAGAAATCCAATGTTCGTAGAAGCATCTCACCTCGTCCTTGAGCATCAGGAACGAAGTTCAAAACTAGTGATAGGCTAATGATATCAAAAGTTTCCGTGCCATCTGTTGGCAACGGCCTTTTCATGAAGTCTTGCTGAATGATGCCATCACCTTGACTATTGAGGTCAATTCTCTCCATGTCAAAGAAGCCACTCTTGGAGCATTCATTTGTCGTGCTAAGGGCACCGACTTCTAGCATACGCACTGAGCCATCCGCTGTCAGGCCCGATGCATGAAACTTGGGCTTGAGCCATTCCATCAATACTCGTGAGCTGTCTCCACCACGATCATTGCGCTGGCCTTGAAGGCTTGCTTGTTGGTACTTCTGAATACCACCTAAAGCAGAAATCTCTGCTTCAATCTTGGTCTCGGAAGCCTTGTCCCCTTTGGCAACAGCTTGTGCCTTTTTCTTCTCTAGCTGGTGGATGGTGTTAATGAGTCCTCTTGTGGCTTTGCGTGATATCGATTTTGATTTTTTGATGGTTGGTGGCCGTCCTTGGGCCAATGTCTTGATTGGTCGCTTCTTCTTGTTAACAGTCATCTTATAGATAGATACCTGATGAAAGCAAAAGTGAGAATCAGGGGTTGAGACATCGTCAAAATATAGAAAATGTGATAGAGATAGGTTAAGACACCCCTGGTGCATGAATAATCCGTAGTAATTGTTCATAAGGTGGTCAATGCGCTCCTATGTAAACTCGAGCCTTAGTGCTTCCAAAGGTTCTCACCAATGCCTTATCTGACCTTATCAGAAGCTTATCGAGCGCTTGGACCACTGATAACACTTTGACCCTAAACGCTCCACCACAATTCCCTTTGTCAAGTCAAAATTAGCTTTGGTGAAATTCGTCTTTTTCCTCCCCAATCCACGACGCCAACCGACGACAACCTCATCACCGGTCGCCCAACGCCCAATTCCGACAACATGGGTCCCAAAGTTTCTGCGAAAGGTACTACCTGAACCTCCTATCCATCGACGACAGCGTCAAATCTCCGATATGCCTCCAAAGGTTGATTCCCGCATGGGTTCGGCCTGTCCGTCGCATCAGCAGTAGACAATGTTGCGTAGTTCTTTGAAAAAAGGGCGTATGCTGATGCTTCTCAACACAGACGGCAAGCCCAAGGGGCTCAAGAAGGCCTCTGCTGCCGCCAAGGCTGCTGTATGTATTTGATGGTTTACCCCGCGACGGCATATTCTCGATTGATTCACTGACTCTATTTAGCTCCGTGGTGACAACCCCAACAAGAAGCGCAAGGTCAGAACGTCTACCACATTCCACCGCCCCAAGTAAGTCAATCGCAGTGTACTTGCCTAGTAAACACCTGGGTTTGTTAAATACGTTCCTTACTAATATCATCTCCAGGACCTTGGCTCTGTCTCGGGCGCCCAAGTACCACCGAAAGTCGATCGCCCATGAGCCCCGCCTGGACGAGCACAAGAGTACGTTATCCCTGGAATCTTCCTTTGTTTCGGTTACTGGCGAAAGCGAGTATATCTCGACAAGGCAACGAACGTGCCTGGGAGCATTAGGCCCCCCTGTGTCCGTGTCTATCTGTAATTGCTAACTCAAATGAACCATAGTCATCGTCCACCCTTTGAACACCGAGTCTGCCATGAAGAAGCTTGAGGAGCACAACACCCTTGTCGTACGTACACAGTCTTTTTGCGCTGCCAAGTGCAAATCATTTCAGTAAACTGCAACTAACACTTGCGAAGTTCATTGTCGATGTCAAGTCCAACAAGGCCCAGATCAAGCAAGCTCTCAAGAAGCTCTACGAGATCGACGTCGTCAAAATCAACACCCTCATCCGACCCGATGGCAAGAAGAAGGCCTATTGCAAGCTCACCCCTGACGTCGATGCTCTCGATATCGCCGCCACCAAGCTTGCTCTGGTTTAGTAGCCGGGTGTTTTTTGTGTGGGATTGGGCGTGTATGGTTTATGCTGCTCGTACTGAGTGTTACGAAACGCTCCGAGCTGAATGAAACTGGCATTGAGAACGGCGTTCCATCGGATCATGGTTATGTGTTTAATGAACAAACAAAAAGTGACCTTCATGCGCCAGGGCAATGTGAATATTCGCCTTCTATTCTATCCTATTGTTACAACGTGAACAGCCATTATTCGTGACTTGTAGTAAACTCGCATCATATAGGCTTGAAGAGATACTCGGAAGCCCATAATCTCCGTTTCGTCGGTAGATTGAGACCTCTTACGTGATAGATCATACGTAGAGCGCCAAGCGATGTGTATACCGATAATTTAAAGGAAGTTGTGTGATCTATTTTAGTTCTGACGAATGTTCTGTAAATGCTTCATCGTCAAGGTGCTAACGTCGAAGAAGCGCTCAGCGCAGTTCGCCATACAGCTCTCCTCCGTCTTGTCGAGCTTGCCGTTCCTGATCGATCCCGTGATGCACTTCCTGAAGCAGACGTCGGTCAGGGAGTGGACGGCTAGAAAGGAAACATGGGGGGTTAGCGCACGATCTCTTTCGGAAGGGGTTTTGGAGGGGTGGGAGTGCTAGATGAGCTTAAGCAAGAGAGCAATGGGGCTTGTTAAGTCTTTGGATAACGTATGGATGTTTGTATGAGTGTATACGTAGATGTAGACGTACTGGCTTGCACGCGAGCCTTCTGGTTCTCGTTCTGCAGGAACTGGCGGAGCTCGGTCTTGTCCTGGTCGTTCAGCTTGTCGAGGTCAGCTGTCTCGAGCGAGAGATTGTCCATTGTGACTGGCTGTCGGTCTTTTTTGGTCCTGCTGTGGTTCCGTAGCTTCTGTCGGTCGGCAAACGGGAGGGTTAAATGGATATCGGAGGTTTAGGTTGGCTGGCTTTGGAGTATGATGAGCGGGCGCGGTGTTGAGGTTGAGTGAGGTCGTTAATGCGGGCAAGGAAATTTCACGGTGCTCTTATCTTATCACCGATGGGGAACTTCGTGCAGTTGTAGGTGCTGGGGAAAAGCTGCACAACCTACGGATATCTACCTCCTTCAGCACTTGATGAGAAATTTGGAATTCTATAAAGCTGAGGATTATATATAGATATAAATTCTAGTTATTGTGGCTATTGAAAGGTTTGAATAGAGCCTGACAACGACCGAATCGTGCGGCCGAAGGTGGTAGTATACGATGTGTGAGCTGAGCCCGGTCCTTCGCTTGGACTAAAAATGCAGTGAACTTCTGCTCGGTGTCTAGGATTTTTGGGGTTGTATGAAAAAACCGCAGCTCGCCGTCCATCGATATCATATAGTGAAAGCACTAGTTATTCCTTCTTATTTAAAGGACAGCATTCGAGATGCTGCAAGGCAATTCGGCTTGTTAGGTGTAGCTATAACCTTTGACTAGAAAACTAAAAGCGCCTAGAATTTGTCTTATCTAGTATCACATTTTGATTTCATATTATAGATTCTATCTACACGCTATATATATTTGTACGGGTTCATGATCCCATTCTGCAACAAGTATTAGTGGTAGTGGTCAAATCATCGGCTATGTACAGCATAGGAAACTTACTGGATCGTATAGATTCTTGATTTGCTTCATGAGATCGATCATAGCATCGTTTCTGCTGAATCCGAGGTACTTCTTCTTGGCTATGCCAATACCGTGCTCAGCACTTATACTTCCGTTGATCTTGCCGATCCATTCGTAGACAAATGGCTCTAGCACCTCTTCGACTCGCTTGTCGTATCTCCGGACGGCAACGTTGAGATGTAGGTTGCAGTCACCCATGTGACCGTATCCGACAACCTCCACGACAGGGAAATCATCAGTGTCACCTTTCAGTCCGGCGGCCTCGATCCTTTCCCTAGTTTCATCCACTAGCCTATATAAATCTTTCAAAGGTATCGAAACATCGTATTTGTAGGTACCTCCAAAGTGGCCTACACACTCTGTAATACCCTCTCGCTGGCTCCATAACGACTTAATCTGTGTTTCGTCTTGCGCCACGACGCCATCAGAGATAATTTCCTTTTCCATGACGTCCTCTAGGAACTTCTCCAGCTTTGCAGCATCGTGGTCTGAGTTAGACCCAGTGGTCTCGATGAGGCAGTAAAACGGGTGTTCACCCTCTAGAGGTCGCTTGTTCTGGCGTACTCTATACACCATGTCCTGGCTGTAAGAGTCCATCAGCTCAAATGCTGAGAGAATCTCGGAAAGCTGAGACTTGGCCTCTCTGAAAGCTTGCTGGATTTTCTCGAAAGAGTCAGCGCCAAGGAATGCAACATTGACAGCCTTGCCCCTTTGCGGGCATTGTATTGAAATTGCAGTGATCATGCCGATGGTGCCTTCACCTCCAATGAACAGCTGCTTAAGGTCATAACCAGTGTTATTCTTGCGTAGCGTGCAGAGGTCTTCTACAATCGTACCGTTGGGGAGGACCGCTTCTATGCCCAACACACTACCGTGCAAACTTCCGTACCGGAGTAGACGAAGACCACCAGCGTTTGTAGACACATTACCGCCAATGTGGCAGGATCCCTTCGCGCCGAGGTCAAGAGGGAATAAGTATCCTTTCTCGGCGAGGAACTGGTCCGCTACTTCTAGGACAACACCAGCATCGGCAACCAGGACACCGCTCACTTCGTCGAAGGACCGAATCTGGTTCATGCGACTCATGTTGACGACGATCTCGTCAAACACGGGCACCGAGCCTCCAACTAACCCTGTATTGCCGCCCTGAGGCACCACAGCCAGCATGTTGTCATTGCAGTACTTCAGGATCTTGCTGACCTCTTCAGTGGATCCAGGCTTAAGCACAAGCTTGCAGTGGCCGCGGTACTTCCTCATCCAATCGCAATTATAAGACTCCATGTCGTCGACCGAGACGTCGGCGGTGACGCCGTCGATGAGCGCCGAGTCCTTGCCTAGCAACTCGCGGAAGTAGGCCACATGGTCGGCGGTGATCTGTGAGAACCGCGGGTCGCGCTTGATCTCGGGATAGCTGTCGGTGGTATACTTTCCTTGGCGCGGAGCCGAGGCGCGGAGACGCGTCGTCGGCGTGCTCGAGAGGCAGCGGTGGAGGGCAGCAGCGGGAGATCCGGGGTGGCAGGCGCTCAGGGCTGTTCTGCTCAGCAGCCCGCCGGGCGTCGACATGCGCCGGGCAATCGGCGCTAGTCTGGATCTGCAAGCCATTTGCTGAGAGGCGCCCTGCTTGTCTGAAGGGATACGCGTGGATCCTGAGAGAAAAAAGAATCATATAAAAATAAATTCATTAATCGGAAACGAAGAAGCGACGGAAAAGTGGCGCCCGCCCGATAGGTGCGGTTTCGGAGCTCGGCGGCGATTGCCTACTTAGTCGGAACATGTATCGTCTCTTCGGACGCCAAGTTTGATTTGTAGGAAACATAGCTTACGGTAAGTACACACGTAACAACGGCAAGGTGTCAATTTCCTCGTAGATTATGATTCCACGAGGTATTCAGTGTGTCTTCTTATACTATCAACGATGCCCACGTCTGTGCAGACTGGGGTTGCTCTAATAGCCTAAAATGTTCTCTTACACGAACGGGCGAGGCAGTCAGATACAATATTAAGGTTCTTGCTGATGGCGGCTGTTTTGGTTGCGGACATCAAACGACCAACCGGTTTTCTAGAACCTAAGGTTAAATTTTAACATCATCCTCTTGCAGATATGCCTTGCTCTGCAGTAAGTTCGAATGACGAGGCGTCAGCTAAACTTAGTGGCGCTTATTCTGACCGCTGGCATATAGCAGTTTATATCAACACTGCGCCTATTTGTTGAAGATAGAGATTCTGGTTATAAATCGGCTGTTGCTATTCTGGGCAAGTGATTGGGTGTTGTAGGCTGTTCATGCATTGTCCTCAAGCTGACTGGGCACTTCATGCAACGAACCAACTGGACTAGGGGACATTGTCCTCTAGCTTTCGTTTGTGAAACGACGTAAATCTCGAAGCTTTCTGGAAATCGAGTACTATTCACTCATGGTGCTTATGTGATTCTATCCCACTTCGTAGAGTGTGTCTAGAATCGAATGTTCAAGCTCTCATTACAGGACACTGAAAGGATGCGAGAGTAAAGCCAACCCCTGACAGAGGGCGAGGGTAGATGACGATGGGCTACGGTAGGCTGCAATGCGTACCGCCTCGCAGCTGGGGTAGACGGACGAATGACATGCATTGCATTGAAGCGAGCTAAGAAGAAGGAAATGCCGTGCTTCGAAAGACAAGATACAAGATCCGCTGCATTGAGAGATGGCGAATGCGGGAGGTCTAGTTGTTTCGTCTCAGGTCTGATAAAAATAATGCCCGGCGAGTGCTACACTCAGCCTGAAGCCAGCCTGAAGCCAGAAGCTAATTGCATTCCCCATTGCTGTATATGAAGAGAGTGTGTCGCACGTCGCGCATCCATCCAATGCCCTTTTTGCATTGATTTTGAACCCTTTCGAATTCTGGAATGCCGGCAGACATCAGGAATCTTTGCTAGGCTACTTATCAGACCTGACTGACGATCACAGCTAAGAGGAATCTACAGGTTGCCTATTTGGTCGTTTTCGGGCCTGCAACCTCTATAAGTCGTACCCCACAAGATCACCAATCACCCTGTTTAGGACCCTATTCGGTATCCATTGGGCCGCATTGGGGTATTTGTATTCCCTGTCTTCTGCCCTGTCGCTTTCTGGTAGGGCGAGTCTGGGCGAGAGAGGCGAGAGAGGTAAACAAAAAAGACTTATCGATAAAACAAGAAGAGTGGAAAGATGTCGGCAGGCCCCTCACAAGCGCAGCCAGCAGCGGCACTGGCGGTGACACTGCCGCTACCGCCATTCCCTAGCGAGGAGAAAAATAGGGGCGTGGACCAGGGCACCAGCACCAGCTGCTACGAATCCCCCAGACAACCAATAGCAGACGTCAAATACACATTGGCCGCTGCATTGCCAATATTGCATAGCACCACCACCAAAGAGACCCAAGAGACCCAAGAGACCCCAGAGACACCTTCTTCGATCTCCTCATCCTTCTCGAGTAGAAACAGCGCCTGTTATGGTCTCACAAGCGGTCTCACAAGTGGTCTCACAAGCGTATCCGTATCAACACCAGCTTCATCTCCCGTTTCCACCCCGTCGTCTGCCGTCGTCTGTCGTGGTACGCCCTCCCCCGCGCCAGCCACCAACACCGATAGCAACTCTCGTCACGACCATACCCCCTCACCACCACGGTCAAGGAGAACCCGTACCGCTGTCTCTCATCGCTCCCAACCCGAGCTGCATGCCGCCCGTCTTCAGAGGTCAGCAACCCTCTCGGCCTCGACCCCACCTCACCCTGTTGTTAGGAGAGAGTCCATAAGAGAAACCAAGACCGGCAATCCAAAGAGGTACTCCCTCGTCTCTACCGTTTCCACCGACTCTACCTCAGAGCATCCAGGGCTCAATCTAACTAAGATGGACGATAAATGGATTATTGTCCAACAGAAAACCTTCACAAAATGGTCAGTTGTCGACACTTGGTGTCTCTTCCCCTGAGATACATATCCGCCTCCCTCTCTACTATCGTGGCCATGAGGACTAATATTATTGGAATGCTAGGCTCAATACAAAAATCGAACCGAGAGGGGTGCAGGTTAAAGATCTCGTCACCGACCTAAGCGACGGCGTAAGCTCCCCATGTTGAACCATCCTGCGTATTTTCTATACTGATTGATTTGCATCGCCAGATCCTTCTAATACATTTACTCGAGTGCTTGTCAAATGAATCGTTAGGGAGATATGCCGCCAGACCCAAGCTACGAGTGCAAAAGTTTGAGAACGCCAACATAGCACTCAACTTCGTCAAGTCGAGAGGCATTGCCATGATCAATATCGGTGCGGAAGATGTCGTTGACGGCAATAGAAAGATTATACTTGGCTTAATATGGACCCTCATCCTGCGCTTCACCATCAGTGACATCAACGCCGAAGGAATGACAGCTAAGGAGGGACTTCTATTATGGTGTCAGCGAAAAACGGCTTGCTATGATGAAGTGGAAGTCCGTGACTTCAGCACCAGCTGGAATGATGGCTTGGCATTTTGCGCTTTGTTAGATATTCACCGACCAGATCTGATCGACTACGACGCATTAGACAAGAGCGACCACCGCGGCAATATGCAATTGGCTTTTGATATTGCTCATAAGGAGATCGGTATCCCTGCCTTGCTGGATGTTGAGGATGTGTGTGACGTGCCTCGGCCCGACGAGAAGAGTTTAATGACCTATATCGCCTATTGGTTCCACGCCTTCTCGCAGATGGAAAAAGTTGAGAATGCCGGTCGACGTGTCGAAAAATTCGTGAACAATATGCAAGGGGCATGGGAGATGCAGAGCGCCTACGAGAGAAGGATGGCCGCATTGTTAAAGCAAATCAGAGAACAGATCGAACAATGGCAGCAGGCTACGTTTGAGGGCACCTATATCGATGCCAAGCAACAGGCTACCGAGTTTGCATCCCACAAGCGAGGCAAAAAAAGGGATTGGGTCGCTGAGAAGAGTGACTTAGCAACACTTCTTGGAAACATCAAAACCAAACTAGGCACGTATCGCCTCAGAGCTTACGAGCCCCCGCCAGAGCTGTCATTGGAGACTATGGATGCAGAATGGGCGAACTTAACTAAATCAGAAGTGATGCGTGGTCAATTGATCAACGAGACTATCAGAGAGTAAGTTTCTCGAGACTTGGCGTTTCAACCTCGTCCGTTAGCTAACTGTGATGCAGCATAAAGAACGCCCTTCGTAAGTCGTTTGCAGACAAAGCCAACGACTTTGCTTTAGCTCTCAACACCATACAACTAGCCATATCAGGACTTGAAGGCGAAGTAGAAGACCAGCTTCTCCATGTAAGGAGGCTCAGTAGTAGCTTGCCGCCTCTCGACCTATATCTCGAAAAAATTGCCGCCGTCGATGAACAATGCCAGGAAGCCAACATTGAAGAGAACGACTTCACTACCTATACGTATGATGAATTATCTTATGAACACGGACTTGTCAAGTCTTCAGTACAGAAGAAGCTTGCGTTCTTAGATAACCAAATGGTTGCTCGAAATATGACAAACTTGACTCCAATCCAGCTAGAAGAATTCGAATCTGTATTCCGTCATTTCGACCGGGATGATACGAACTCACTATCTGAACTCGAGTTTTCGGCAGCGCTGGCGTCCCTTGGCCTTGTATTCAGCGAAGATGAGATGCACGACTACTTCCTCGAAACGTCGCATGGTCGTGACCGAGTTTCTTTCGAACAGTTCATCCGCTTCATGGTTGACGTGACTGAAGATCAGAACACAGCTGAACAAGTATTCCAATCATTCCGAGAGGTCGCTGACGGGAAACCATATGTTACTGAGATGGACCTACGGCACTCCCTTGTTCCTGACGAGGTTATCGAGCAACTGTGTAATATTGTGCCGCTCCACACTGGCCCAGATATGGCGGAGGACCGCGGTGTGCCTCAGTACGACTACATCAGCTTTATGGAGAAGCTCATTTCGTCCGACACAAGCGCCAACCTCCAGAATACAAATGGGAGAAGTAGCCCTACAAAAAAGACTAATGGAGTGCACTCATAGGATCAAAGCCCCATCAGACTCATCTACTAGCTAATTCATTCTCTTCGCTTCATCACAAAGCTTCCCAAAATCAGTAGACACAAAGCTCACGCTCGCGAGCACGTCAGTCAGTCAGCCTATTACCTCGCTTCTTCTTCTTCTTCTTCGCTTAATAATACCCACCGTACAAAATATACCACATTTTCTAATCAAAGTACATAAGAGAAGACCAACGAGACACGTTTCGCGTTTTTTTTTTTTTTTTTCGCAAAGCATACTCTATCCGTTTCTACTCCCCTGAAATATTCCGGATGACGAAAGATCCGGCTGGCTTTTTCTCCTCTCTCTCTCGTCTTGTCCCTTTTGTTACAGTAGCATTTCCACATAAGCATCGGGAAGGAGCCGGGGGAAAACAGCGCCCGTCATCTGCTTTTTCCCCTCCTTGCTTGGTGGTTTCTTCATTTTGGCCAGGGTTGCAAGGTCTCTATAGCATTGATCGGGGTGTTTTCTTTCTTTCTTTTTTTCAAGCTTTTCATTCTTATTGTAGTGTTTCGTAGCATTGGGAGGGGAAAATGGGAAATAATTGGGAAAGGGACCTCATGGGCGTGGAAAGGGGGGGTTTTTTCTCTCGGAAATCGAATTTTCGATGCTTCTTTCTTTTTGCTGGACGGACGTTTCTAGCGATGCAAGTGGCGGGCTTGTTTGTAAGAAATTCATACCAAACGAGCAAGCAAGCAAGCAAGCAGAAGTTTTACTTAGCACTTTACAAAAACGTAATATACTTCCAAGCCTGGCTTTGAGATCCTCCGTTCATGTATATACCGAGAATAGTACGGGGGAATGCATGGTAATTGTGGATATCATTTTATCAGAGATCATTGCAAGCACAGCCCTATGATATATACATTCTGGTGACATGTGTGGAATAGTACTAGCACGAATTTCAAAATCGATATTCTATCAAAGTAGAATGAATATACTAACTTTCTCTCTCTCAAAAAGAAAGGCAAACCCAAAACAGGAGTAAATCAGATGTGCTCAAAAAAGAAAAAAAAATCCGTTAACGTCCGGTCCAATGTTATCTACACCAATGCCATGCAAATGCCCCCCAAAAAAATCAAGTTATCCGCCGTGTTTTGTTGTTGCCCCGTTTCTATTCTACCCAGTTCCCACACAGAGCTCTGACAGTATTGCGACTTTGTCTTGTGTGTCTAAGTCCAAAATTGAAGAAATGAATGGATGAATGAATGAATGACTATTATGGCTCTTCGACATGGCGCCATTCATTCCTTGAAGGCATTCATATCCTTCAGTGCGCCAGCTAGTCTCCGGTAATCCCGTAGTAATTCCAGTACCTCACCGATCCTAAGGTCAGCAGGATTCTGTAACTCTATGAAGCGCTTCTTTGGCGGGTCAATTTTCGGCACGTCTTTTGGCGGTAGGGAGGCCGCAATGTCTGGAAATGCCTAATGTGGATGTCAGTTGTAAGTATTCCTAACTTCATTGAACGCAGCTCAACAAAATGGGTATACATACCGCTCCCAAGTCTCCTCCTTCAGTCGCCTTGCCCGGGGCATCCCTCGGGTTAGCTGGCGCAGGCGTAGTCGGTGTTCGACCAAAGCCTCGCATCATGCTTATTCCCGAGAGCCTACTGATGGGATTCAACGAGTTGCCAAGATTCCGCATTGATTCAACGAGAGCTGGATTGGAGCTTGGGGGTGTTGAGCTTAAAGGTGTGGTCTTTTCCCTGTTGTCGTCGGCGAACAAGACCTTTTTGGAGCTGCTGGTGCTTCGCCCGCTGCGAATACTGTCCGTGCTATGGTCCCGAACAGCTTTCTTACCCACTACTAGAGAGACAAGCTTATCATCTCTGCCACCCGGCGATCGGTCGAGATCATCGTTTTGTGTTAATGCAGGATCATCGAGAGCCATGGCGTCGTCAGGGGATGGCGTTTCTACTAGTTTCCGGGCGTCGTCCAATGTGCGCGGCACGACAACTTCGCGACCATCAGCCGACTCGTCACGGAGTTTCCCAAGGAGGAACCGGTAGCTCTCATTCAAACTGTTTCCAATAGTCTTAATGCCCTGGTCCGCGGTATTAAAGAAAGAATCACTTGCAGTTCCTATAGCTTGGGCAGGTGTTTGAATAAGATCACTCAACCTGCGGCGCTGAACTGCGGCCCTAAAGCTACTTGCTGTTTGCGCTGATTTGGCGCCTAACACATTTTCAGGCGTTGTGACTACTGAGCTGCTAGTAGGTGTAGAAATACCAGCGGTAAAAGCAGGGGGGAAGGTATCTGTCCTAGAAACGCCAGGTTTGCTTGGCGTCGTAGAGGCCTCATCGGCCCTCAAGCTAGCCAAATCCACCGTCTGCAGAAAGGTAATGGCAGCTTCAAGGTTTGTCAAACAGTAAGCGGCCTCCCCTTCGAGTTTCTCTTCCCAGCGAAACCTCTGAATGAAATTCGAATCACTAATGACATTAAGAGTCTCGGGGGGCATGGTTATCAGCGTATAAATGAGCATAGGCATGATTTCGTCTGCCGATGAAGAAGGGTGAAAATACGATAATGTGTCGACGATGCTCTTGTGAGCAGCCTTGAGACAATTGAGCTTCCCCAAAGGATACCGTTTCTGGTTCATAAGGACAAGGTCTTTCCGCGCTTGGTCTAAGTACTCTCTGATCTCTGCGTTCTTCTTCACCAACGCTTCTGGCCCCTCTTCTGAGGATTCGCCTAAGTCAACCCCGAGGTCGGCTGGGCCAATACCTACAACGGCTAGCGCAGCGGTCTTCGACCTCAATTTATCGTCTTGTGCTTCATCCTGTGTGGTTCTGTGGCGATATATTCGATCATAGATGCCCTCACAAAGCCGTCTCTCTACTGCTTCTTCAAGCAGCACCTTCTTCTGTTCGAGGGCCTTCCTGGCTCGCTTCCTATCGGCAAATTCTTCGGCTGTGAGCATTTGCTGCTCCGGTTCTTGTGTTTGTGTGGCCTTAGCCTTGTCTCTGGTTCCGATGGAAGCAGCCTTTGCGCGTAATAAGCTTGCAGCCGAGGCCCGTGTTGAACCGGCAGCGCTTAGAGAATGTTCGCGAGTTTGTCGAGTAGCCAAAGAGGCAATGTGAGTTTGTATATGTTGTGCAGCTGTATGGTAGAAATCTTGGAACAGCTTCGCAAGGTTATCGATATTAGGAGGGGTGGGGTGAACCTTGGCAGACAGAGAATCGATAAAACTGAGGACGAAAGAGATTAGTTGTCAGTCGCCCTTGTGCACATGATCCGGCTTCGCCTACTTACTTGTCTGTCATGCTCACCAACTCTATGGGAATGATACCTATATCGACGGATGCTCGAGGAATTTCGACTTCTTCCTCCTCCGTAGGTTCGGATTCGAAAGTATCAGGTTTTTGCTCGCTATCTTTTGTAGTCGCCACGGCTGCTCCATTTTGAAAAGTATTTGCTCTTTGAGGCTTGCTGGAACTGCCATCTGTCGAATCTGAGACAGAGGGATGTGGATATGATTTCGCAGACTTTGGAGGCCCGGGTCTGGGCTCGGAGCCCTTGGGTGCTGTCGAGGACGACATATGGATGGGCTAGCTTGAGGATACTGGAAACACCATGATTAGTCTACGTTTTATACATACTGAATGAGTGGGATTCCAGGCAGTTGTCAATTGGGTTTGACATGGTGATAATACGCGGGTAATGCTGGTGATAGCGTACCTCTTTTCGTGACCAGTGTCTGACGTCGACTTAGACTGAGCTGGACTAGGAACATGGGTAGATATCCAATGAATGGTATTATTCTAGTTACGTGAGGAGTGCTCAGAGCAGCATCAAGTCACAGGACAAATTGCAAGTAGGGAGATAACTGGAGACGTTGTTGCTGCTTGTAACTGTGTCCCTTTCGTGTGAGAGGGAAGTAGGCAGGCAATAATCAGGAGGCCGTCGAGTCAAGGTGGATCGGGAGCATAAACGCAAGATGATAGAAGCTGTCGCGTTTGGGGCCGGGGTTGCGTCGCACATGCGAGACAGGGCTAGTACCTACCTAGGTAGACAGTGAATATGGCCACGCCAAGTCACTGTCTAGTATCTACACTAAACCAGTGAGGCAGCTAGGTCTAGGCTGGCTTATGCATGGACTTAGGTACTGTACTTACTTCAAGAGGTGCCTAAGTAGGTAATTCAGGCTTCTACCTACCTACAGTATTGAGTAGATTCTCGGGAGATCTTAAGACTACCAGGAGGCATACACAATATATTTCGCCTTTCTTTCGCTTTGAATAGGTAAGCACTTTAAACACTCGAACGGTCTGAACGGGCCAGCGGAATGTTGCAAGATGCAGTTGATATGAATACCTATTTCGTACCTCATGCATACAGTACTGTGTAAGTCGGCAATGTACCTAAGCCAGCCCCATCAGTCACTCGAGGTCCACTACCACATGTACCCAGTATCCGCTGCGTGCATTATCTGATAAATGCCCGCAGGACCATCCATTCGGTTGGTACGGTATCTAGGTATCTCACTCCGAATGCAGCCTAGAGTTAAGGTATTGCACATAGTAAGTAGATACTTAGATTAGGTGCCAACTTGAAGCGTTGGCTGGATTAAGACATTCTCCAGTGAGCCGGTTCTTGGGGAGATGGGACAGGTATTTCAGGTCTCGAGAATGTCCAGGGCCTACTGCATACGTAGGTACAGTGAGGACAGTCAAGGTCAGCTTCCGATCGGAATGTTTCTGTAGGCATGCATAAGTAGGTCATAGGTCATCTGCTATCCGCCCCCTCTGTGGTGTGCCATGGGATACAGTGGGCAGTGAGGTAGGTAGAAGCCCCCCAAGTCTGCCCAAAGATGCTGTGGGGACCTTTGTGGGGAGCCGCCCTCCATGAATTCTAGCCATACGCCGCCTAGAGGCCGCCTTATCATTCGCTAGTGCACTCTGCACGATGTACACTAAGCCCTCAATAGCCTAGCTTAGTACCTACGTAACAAGGGGCCGCCCTGCCACTCACTCCCCCGTCCTACATCTACACCCATCGTCATCCATCATCTGTCCATACAATCAATACACCACCTCACTCACTCTTCTTCGCCTTCTCTATTATCATACATACATACATACATAAACAACCTTACCAGGCAACCATCGGGGGTTTCATCTTGGTTCTTTCATTCGATCAACTCCTCTTTTCCATAAGTCAGTCCATCGACCGTTAACTGTTTCCAGCCTTGGACCCTGCCATTGCCGTGTTCGTCTGCCTAAAGCCGATCGATCACTATGAGACCGAGCCGGAGACGGTCAACATCAACAACTTGCGATTCGGCTGGTCGCATAACCGCCAATCTTGTTCTATCTTTCCTAGCCATATCCGCCGCTTCTCCCGCGGCTGCCTCTATATACAACACCGATTCCATATTCTCAGATACTCCGATATTAGGCCCGTTAGTGCCGGAACCCCCTTCTCCTGCTGACCACACCTTCGTATGCCGCCTCTTGACCTATCTCTTGACCTACTGCTGCAGTGCCTCTGTACTGACTCCATAAATAGACTCTTCGTCATATCCTCCATCACGGAACCTATCAACACCCTGGACTCCATCGAAAACGGGACGTCCACCACTCAGAGGCCCAAGTATGGCTCGCCGCCGAAGATGGCCATCCTGCTGAACAGATCACGGCCCTAAAGGCCAAGAGCCGTGCCCAGAGGATAGAACGCTTGGTTGATAGACGGCCAAGCACCGTGGACCCTTTGGTTGCTGCAGCCCGCCAGCGAGGCTATGTGTTTGCGAGCTCCCCGTCCGCCTGGACCATTGACGATGTGCCCGCCCCTGACGTTACCGATAAGGAGACTGTCCTCACCATGGCTTTGATAGTGGCGAACGCCTACGTGGAGTCACCCGCATTACCAGACTGGGACGAGGTTGGCGAACCGTTTAACCGATCTGCCGATTTCGGCTGGGAGTCGGATGGGCTACGTGGGCACATTTGGGCTGATGAGACTAATTCGACCATCGTCATCGGTCTAAAGGGCACCTCGCCCGCTGTGTTTGATGGCGAAGGGACAACCACAAACGACAAAATTAATGATAACCTTTTTTTTAGCTGTTGCTGCGGCCAGCAGGGTCAGTGGACCTATAAGCAGGTTTGCGATTGTGCTACGGGAACATACAGGTGTAACAACACTTGTGTCCGAAAAGCCTTGACCGAAGAAAATCGCTACTACCAGGCCGCTAGGGAGCTCTTCGCTAACGTAACCGAACTTTACCCAAACACCAACATCTGGGTTGCCGGTCACTCACTTGGCGGCGCCGTCAGTTCTATGGTTGGTCTCACCTACGGCGTACCCGTCGTTACATTCGAAGCTGTTCCAGAAGCACTAGCGGCCTCGCGTCTCGGGCTACCCATCCCTCCCCACGCTGACCCTGAGTTCCCTCAAACCCGTCAGTATACGGGAGCATACCACTTCGGTCATACCGCGGATCCCATTTACGTCGGTACATGCAATGGTGCCACCGCGTCATGCTCCTATGGTGGCTATGCCTTGGAAACGGCTTGCCATGCAGGGTATGAATGCACTTATGATACCGTAGCTGACCATGGCTGGCGTGTGGGGATTGGCACTCATAAGATTCGTTCAGTGATCAACGACGTGATCAAGAAGTATGATACGGTGCCAGAATGCCAATACACTCCGGAGTGCCGAGACTGCGCGTCATGGAAGATGTATGAAAGCAATAGCACAGATGGAACAACAACAACCACAAGTAGCTCGACGTCCACTAAGACTCGCACTCGTACGGCGACCTGCGAGACTCCTGGATGGTGGGGCTGTAATGATAAGACTACGACTGACGCGACGACCACTACAACTTCCGAAACCACATCAACATCGACGTGTAAGACCCCGGGTTGGTTTGGTTGTAATGATAAAACCACAACCACAGAGACAACGTCCTCTCAGACTACCCCGACCATTACTTCAACGACGACGTGTGCTACACCTGGTTGGTTTGGGTGCAATGACGAGACAAGCACCAATTCCCCCCATAGTACCGCCACTGCTACGTCGACAAGTTGTGCTACACCAGGCTGGTTCGGCTGTAAAGACACAACTACCAGAACGCCGACAACAACTACACAGTCTCACGAGATCACATCACCACCACCCATGCCTACAGATACCTCTACTGGACAATTACCAGTCACTGTCCCGCCAAAATCACATTGCATTGAAAGACATTGGTACGGAACATGTAAGAAGTGGGCACCAGATGGCGAAGCAAACGCGCCCGGAAGGTGGGAGAATGATGAGATTTAGGAAAGACACTTTGCATTTGCATTCTTTCACAAATTAGATGGTTATTACGAGCTTTTGTACATACACATAACCTACATTTTAGATAACGAGGCCGGCGAGTCAACGACAATCAACGCATTTACATATATATATAACTACATATTTTTTCTAGAATATTAAAGTAATCACATGGGATATGGTAAATTCTTCGTAATGTTCAGTTACAACGGCTTAGCTACTTTATTTATTCTTTTGAGATGCTTGATAGTGACTCCTGATCCTCATATTGCTACGGCCTCACCATCCATCATGCAATCAAATGTCGTTCAGAATGAATACAAACAAATCAGGAACGCAAAATCACTAATTTCCCCCCTTTCCCAAGCCCCCGAATCCCAATTTTTAATTTACAGCATTTATTTTTTTTCTTCCCGCCAATCTTGACATTTCAACGACTTTCAACTTAGGTTGTTTAACCCTTTTCCTCGCATTTCGTTCCTAGGTATCTTTTTTTTTTCTCCTTCTCATATAGCCCCCTCACCATGACTCCAAACCCTTCAATACACAACCCTCGCCGCCCTGTGCGCGCGACACGAGTTTACCAATGGTATACACCGTCTCGCCCTCGTCGCGCAGCGCGCTCGTGACCTGCTCTACGTCGGCGGCGGCCACGACAGCGACCATGCCGACGCCGGTGTTGAAGGTGCGCGCCATCTCGGCGGCTTCGACGTTGCCTGCTTTCTTGAGCCATTTGAAGACGGCGGGCAGATCCCACGTGGCCACGTCGATCTCGGCGGCGAGGTGTGGCGGGAGCATGCGCGGGACGTTCTCTGTTAGACCGCCGCCTGTGATGTGTGCGAGACCCTTGAGGTGCGGCAGGGCTTTGAGCACGGAGCGCACGTAGATCTTTGTGGGTGTTAGGAGGGACTCGCCGACTGTGGTGGATGAGGAGGAGAGCCATGGGGCAGGGGCCGAGTATGACAGGTTCTCGCGCGCAAGGATGCGGCGCACGAGGGAGAAGCCGTTGGAGTGCACGCCTGAGGACGCGAGGCCGAGGAGCACGTCGTCGGGTTTCATGGCGTCGAGGCGCGGGAGGCGGTTCTCGGGACGCATGGCGCCGATGGCGGCGCCCGCGGCGTCGTAGTCGTCTTCCTTGTACATGCCCGGCATCTCGGCCGTCTCGCCGCCGACGAGCGCGCAGCGGGCCTCGCGGCAGCCCTTCGCGACACTCTCGACGAACTGCGCTGCCACGCCTGCATCTAGACGGCTGCATCCGAAGTAGTCGAGGAACATGAGGGGCTCGGCACCCTGCACAACCAGGTCGTTGACGTTCATGGCCACGAGATCAATACCCACTGTGCTGTGGTTCGCCGTTGCCTGCGCGATCATAAGCTTCGTTCCCACACCGTCAATGGCGCCCACCATGATCGGGGCGTCGCTCGAGAAGCCCGCCTTCGAGAGGTCGACTTCGCCGCCAAAACCGCCGATCTCAGCATCGGCGCCGGGACGCCGCGTCGAGCGGACGGCCGCGCGGATCCGTTCCACGAGTTTATTTCCCGCGTCAATGCTGACTCCGGCTTGTGCGTATGTCAAGGCTTCCTTTGTATCAGCTGTGGGTTTCAATGCCCTGTGTGCGATGTCCTTGCGGTAGTACATGTCCTTGAACTGGATGAGCTTGACACCTTCGTATGCCTTGTCCACGGCGGCTCTCAGGCTTTCGCTAGCCGTGGCGGTTGCTGCTATGACCCGACCACCTGCTGTCTGGAGCTTGCCATCCGTTAACTTGGTACCCGCGTGGAAGATATAGGTTCCTGAAGGAGGGTTTTGAACGGTCATCTCGTCGCCCTTGGCATATGACTCTGGGTAGCCACCAGCGGCAACAACAACTGTTGTGCTGAATTCGTTCTTGATCTTGATCGATACACTATCGAGGTGTCCTTTCGAACAGGCAAGCATGATCTTTGCTAAATCAGTGTCGTCGGATAGCAGGGGTAAGACAGTCTGAGTTTCTGGGTCGCCAAATCGGACATTGTACTCCAGAACTTTAGGCCCTGAAGAGGTAATCATAAGACCAGTGAACAGGACGCCCTTGAAAGGTATCTCATCCTTGCGCATGCCGTCGATGCTTGGCTGTATGATATCGCGGTCGATTTGCGCTACAAGCTCTGGTGTAGCTATATTGGTTGGCGCATAGCAACCCATACCTCCCGTGTTGAGACCCGTATCACCTTCGCCAACTCGCTTGTGATCTTGCGCTGGAGGAAGAGACTTGATGGTGTACCCATCGCTAAAAGTCAGGATACTCAGCTCATCGCCAGTTAGAAACTCCTCGATAACGACCTCATCTCCAGCAGAACCAAACTCGTGATCCAGCATGATATCTTTAAGCGCTTGGTGGGCTTCCTCTTTTGTTGTAGGGATGATGACACCTTTGCCGGCAGCAAGGCCGCTAGCCTTGATGACAACGTCATGTGAAATGGTGTTGAGGTATTGACGGGCTTTCTCATAATCAGAGAAGTTTTCATAAGCAGCAGTCGGAATATTGTGTTTTTTCATGAAGTCCTTTGAGAAGGTCTTGCTGCCTTCCATGTAAGCGGCGGCCTTTGAGGGACCGAAGCACCTGATGCCGGCATCTTCGAAGAAATCTACGGCACCAGCGACCAAAGGAGCCTCAGGACCAGGGACGACAAAGTTGATGTTCTTGCTCCTTGCTAGATCCAACAGCGCTGGGAAGTCTTCGGCAGATACTGAAGAATTGTTGGTGGTTTTGGGGCATGTTGCTGTGCCTCCGTTACCGGGCACTGCTATTATAGATTCGACAAGGGGTGATTGACTCAACTTCCAGGCGATAGCATGTTCTCTTCCTCCATTTCCAATGAGCAGGACACGAAGGGAGTTAGCCTGTGCACCCATATTGAGTAGATCTAAGTGAACTAGTGGATTTGTACAGATTTCTCCCGTGTCCAGAATAAGTAGACAGTTAGCTAGCTAACTGTCGATATGTCGCAGAGTGAGAAAGACAGATCGGATCCGCAACTAAGCTTTGCTATATGGCGGTAAGGAGTCACACTGCCAGCGAGTGTCAAGAGTTAGATGGGATGTAAGTAAATATCCACTTCCTAGGCAACTCCCAGGTAGACACTCTAGCCGTAGGTAGACTGACGATGTCGGACTGGGTCCGTGAATATCCTCAAATTTTTGCTCCCAGCTAGCAAAATGCCCCTCCAATTGTCACAAGTACCCCGCCCCCGCAGCGCTGCGTTGACATACAGTAGGTAGGTACCTACAGATAGATGCCCGTGGCTGCAGCGCGATAAGCCGATAAGTGCCTAAGTAGGTACCTACTAGGTAGGTGGGTAGGTGGGAAGGTACATAGAAGCATTGGGGGTCGGTGGGGCTGATACATTGCAGCAGTGAGGTACCTAGGTATGTACCTACGTCGGTACGGTACTTTCGCATGAGGCACCCCTGTCTTGGGACGACTCCAATCTCGAGTTGAGCCTCGGAGCCAGTCCACTTCATCTCATACCCGTTTACCAGCCAATTCAACGTTAGCCTTTAGCACGATCGCAACTGTCGATCAAATTGTGACCACTCATATATCCTATATGCCGCTATAAAGAGTCTAGATCGGTAAAACGTCGAAAATACAGTCGAAATGCTCTTCATCGGCCTGACTGGGTCCATCGCGACCGGCAAGTCTACTGTATCATCCATTCTCTCATCACCGCCTCATTCCCTGCCCATCATTGATAGTGACATCCTTGCCCGCAAAGTCGTAGAGCCTGGCACGCCTGGCTACAATGCCATCGTCAAGCACTTCGGTCCTACCACTCCAGACCTTCTAGTTCCCGTCTCTGAGTCCATGCCCGAAGATGGCGTAGATGGGAAGGGTAGACCGCTGAACAGACCGGCATTGGGCAGGCGTGTATTCGGCGATGGCGAAGAACAGAAGACAAATCGAGGTGTTCTAAATGGGATTGTGCATCCCGCAGTGCGCAAGGAGACATATAAGGCCATACTGCGCAATTACCTGAGCGGACACTGGGCAGTGGTGCTCGATGTCCCCCTGCTGTTTGAAAGCGGCTGGGATAGGTTATCGGGGGTCGTCATGGTTGTTGCAGTCAAAGACCCAGAGATCCAGATGAAGAGGCTGATGGAGCGCGATCCCCATCTCAGCGCCGAAGATGCAAAGAACCGCGTGCTCAGTCAGACAGATGTCAGGCTGAAGGCGAAGAGATGCGAGGCGAGAGGGAAGGGCAAGGGCGTGGTTGTGTGGAACGATGGTTCACGGAAGGAGCTCAAGGCCAACATCGACTCCTGCCTGGCAGAAATCAGAAGGAGCAGCCCGCCATGGTGGAACTGGCTATGCCTTCTCTGCCCTCCGCTGGGTGTTGCGGCCGGAACTTGGGTTTATTGGCAGAATATCAAGATCAATCAGAGATGGCAGGAAATGGAGCTGAATGAGAAGGCAAGGCTCTAGTTCCCACGCGCAGTCATTTCTCGGCCATTCACTGCGGCCATTCACTGCAGCAAGCAAACCATCTTTAACAGATATTGATCATGATCAAGGTACCTACCTCCCCACGCCACCATTGTTGACATTCATTCCCTAGCAACATGTCGCTTTTTCACACACATCTATTATTCAAGTCCTCAATGTGCACCCAAACAGCCATATAATACATCCGGAAGTACCTGTGCCATGAGCCTATGTACTTAATGGATAATGCAAAAAATATTGCCGCCGGTTTTGCCAACCTACTCAAACTGTAGCTAAGCAGCACACCACACATAAAATGCCCGCAACTCTTCCAGTTTATTTATGATTGCATACATCATCCTTCTTCTCGACTTCTTACTACTAATGTGATTTTCCATCACTCTACCCTCCTCTCTCGTACATTTTACTTGTCACGGGTCCAGCACAAAGCTTCCTCTCCATCACCCCCTCTAGGTTGATCTCTCTTCGGCCAAGTTCGACTGCCTCTCACATAGTTTTGCACATGTCAGTCTAAAGGGAACTCTGTTCGCACCACACCGTCGATATGCCGCCTCATTCCTTTTCTGAATGGATAGTGGGCCAGAACTACAAGAAGCCACACAAGAAACACAAGGAACGCAAACCCTTACGCCATGTTCTCTCATTCGAGGTACACACAGACGACGAATTAGGCATTGACACCTACGCATTTGCTGTACCAAGAGGAAGGCCTGCGCAACCCAAGAGTACTCGAGCTACCCCAAAGCCTGCCTTGAGGTATTCTTCCCCAGAAAGGTCGAGTTCATTAGAGCCTGAGATCGGTATTGATGTGAGTGAGGAAACTACTGAAGATGAGGCCCCTTTGGATGAGGGGCTTGATTTGACCTGCCCATGCCCCAAGATGTGTTAAAGGACAAATAAAACTAAGATTAAAAATGCAGGCAAACGCCAGGGGAAGAAGAAAGAGAACTGTCCTTGTGCCCGAAGAAGAGAGTGAAGATGACTCTGCTGAAGCTATACATGCACAGCATCAAGCAAGGAAGGGGAAGAAGAAGGTTTCCTTTGCCGATCTGTCACTGGAGGAGAATGACACAGGTGCCAGCGCTGAGAGAGTGAGTACTCGACCCAAAAAGGCCAGGAATGGAAGTGCTGTTACCATTTCTGTGTCCTCTGGGCATGAAGGTGAGCGCGAAGACGACGCTGTGCAAACGAAAGTAAAGGCAAAGAAGAGGAATGGTGGTGTATCTGTAGCTGTGGCAATGTCATCTGGAGATGAAAGCGAAAGCGAAGCAAGCATTGTCAATGTGAAACCCACAGCAAACACCGGGAAGAGGTTGACCGGCATTCTTAAGAAGACGAACGCTGCTGTCACTTCAGACTCGTCTGCTGCTGAGAGTGAGACTGATGATGCTTCCTCAAAGGGCAAGAAAACCAACGCATCAAAGTCCAAGAAGAAAAACAAGTCAAAAGAGAAGAAACAGAAGAATGATGAGACTGATACCGCTGAATCCACTGAGGATGACGATTCAGGACCTCCTACTGAGACAGAGGAGGAGACAGAGGAAGAGGCCAAGGCTCAGTTCGTAAAGAAGGACAAGCAGAAGAACAAGACTACAGACAAGAAAGCCAAGGCCAAGGCCAATACCAACAGAAAAGAGGACGAGTCAAAGTCCACGAAAAAGAAAGACGGCAAAAAGGATGAGCAGAAGCAGAAGTCCACGAAGAAGAGTAAACCAGTTTCAGAGTCAGAATCCGAGACCGTATCTGAGAGCGAGCCTGAATCAGTAGTTGAAGTCAAGTCCAAGTCCAAATCCAAGAAGGAAAAGGGGAAGACACCAAAGGAGGTGACCAGCTACCCACCAGCTCGTACCCCTCCCTACTTACGCCAGCCCAACATGTTGCTTCCTCCACGAACTTCTGTGATGCAGGTTGAACATGCAGTTGAGGTCCCGGAAGATCCCCGTCCCAATGCCTTCTTCGACAACGATAGTGGTACTGCACGCGTCTACCATGGTCCAGCGTACGGCAATCCATACGGGATGCTCTACCCCAAACGTGTCTACGACTACCAGAATCTACCAGTCGGCGTCCCACATCCCCAACAGAATCCGTGGTATTATGGCTTCCCGCCAGCGGGCGGTCAACCCGCCCCTCCAAACATGCCGCCGCCACCATTTGAGAGAAACGCTGCTGACGAGGCTAATCCTTGGTTCCGAGGCTATGGGGTAGTAGGGCCAGGACCAGCACCACCTAATATGCCTTTGCCTCCAGAGTTTGCACAAGCGAAAGATAAGAGTAAAAACAATAACGACGGGCACTACAACCAGTTACCACCAAGGTCGCGCGGGTCCAGAGACCGAGACGCAGGCTGGGACTCTAACGTTATGCCGATCCCACCTGCCGGGTCTCCCACTAAGGATTCGAATGCATCTCAAGGCTCGAAAGCCTGTAGCTCTACCGGAAGACCGTGGGATGCTCAGGGCGTCCCAGATTCTCCATGGAGCCCAGACAAGCAGACGGAGAAAAAGAAGAAGGACAGAGATTCAAAGGCTGCCAGTGCATCCATGAACGCCACAGTTGCTGACATCGGAAAGGCACTACAGCAGGTCGCCGCCAAAGACTCTGCCGACCTACGTGCTAGGGAGGAGCGCTGGAGCAACCGAAGTGGTAGCAGCAAGGTTCTCAGCCCACAGCCTGACAACTCGAGCTGGAATAATAATGTTAATGGCGGCGGATGGAATACTGGTAATGCGAATAATGGTAGCAACTCGGGGTGGGATAATGCAGCAGCCAACAACAGCAACAACGACTGGAATAACGCCAATGCAAACAACAGCAACAACAATGACGACTGGGGCGGCAATAATAACAATACCGGCGGATGGGACACCAATACCAACAACAACAATGACAGTGGATGGGATAACGCCGGACCAAGCAATACCAACAACAATGACGCAGTATGGGGTAATAACGACACCAACAACAACAACAACAACAATAACGATAATAACGACAAGAACAACGATTGGAAGACCACATCCCCTCCGATGCCAGGGACGTGGGGCAGTCCCGTGCCCTCCAACAGCAGCAACCGACCCCCGTCGAACTGGAGCGGCGGCAACGTTGCCGGAAACACCTCCTCGCCTCCCGTCGCCAGCAAAAACGGCAACAACAAAGGCAAGCAAGTCGAATCGGGCCCCAACTGGGGAGATACCTCGTTGGCGCAGAGCTCACGTGGGTACTGGAATACGCCCGAGGGTAAAGCGGATCTTGCCGAGGGAACCGGTCATCGTAAGAAAAATGACAACAATGAGTCTTAGTGGTGATGATTTGGATGATACATTTTCTTCTGATGTATTGTGTTGTTGAGGGCGATTGATATCGTCGGCGCAAGGAGAGATCAGGGGTTGGGGGCTCATCTGGCTGGATGGGAATGGGATTCCCTATTCCCTGTGCATGAGTATATACTTAAGTCTTGCTGTGTACTTAGGCAGATGGCATCGATTTCACGGTGCTCACTGAAGAGGAACTAGTTCAGACGTATAAATTTTAACTATAAGTACTTAAAG